CATGTAGACGTCGGCGGCGCTGATGGCGGCGGAGACGAGGGACACGGCAAGGAGGCAGAGCATGATGCGAGGCCGGCTCGTTGCGAAATCTTGGTACCCTGTTGTTGCCTTGGCATTGCGAATTGAGAATTGAGAATTGCGAATTGCAAATTGCGAAATGAGAATTGAGAATTGAGAATCCAGAATTGAGAATCCTGGAATTCCGAGTTTTTATCTTATCTTGCGCTTTGTATGAAATACAATGCATTCGCATCGGACGCAGTGGTGCGAATTTAGCGACGGTTTCGGGAAAGCGTGCGATGTGATTGGCTATCGCAAAGATCCAAGACCATCGTTTTGACTTGTTGTTTGTATGCCGTGCGCACGCCTCGGTCGAATTCGCCTAACAAGTAGTATCGGCCTCAGCACCACAGCCATGCCACGTCACGACCATATTGCATCAAGTGCGCCCAAACGCGTGACAACAAAATCCTAACAATCATGCTCCAATGCGCTTGCATCTTGCAAACGCATGGAATGATAAGAGTCTACTACGTAGTACTTGCTTCCTTGCACTATTAATAGTCTAACGTTAGTGGGTATCTATTTAGGCGGTAATTTGTACACACTAGCAATGCCCTCGACACTAGGCTATCTAACCAACATCGTGACTCGTTGGGTGTCGATAGGAGCGCAGTGAAATGCTTGTCCAAGCACCTAGTCGGTTGCTGGTGTAGTATGCCCGTTTAAGTGTCGAGTTGGGTGCATGTATCCAACGGCTTTCTCGATGGATCCGGATAAGAGAGTCCGGATAACGTGTATCCGGTCGGCTTGAACGGATTGGTCGCCACAGAAATTCATAGAGCATGGCGGACTACGGAGGCGGCTACGGCGGTCGGGACGGAGGTCGCGGGTACAACGATGGCCCTCGGGGCGGCTACAACGACCGGGGCTTCCAGGACGGCAACCGCCGCCGGAAGCGCTCAGACGACATGTCGGACAACTATGGCAACAAGCGCCACCGCAACAACTACAACCAGCGTGGCGACTACCGCGACAACTACCGCGGTCGCCGCGACGACAACTACCGCGACAACAACCGCAACGGCGGTGACGACGACGTCTTGGAGCTCAAGCGACGCGTCATTACGCTCGGCGACAGCGTGAACGTGAGCGACACGCACGCCGTGCGCGACGTGCTCTCGCGCTGCGGCGAGTGGCTCGGCGAGCAGCTCATGTTCCAGGCGCAGGAAATCGCGGCGCTCGTCGTGACGTGCGCGGGTCGCCTCAGCGCCAAGAGCGAGTGGTACGCGCTGCTCACGACGCTCCTCAACGAAAAGAATGGCGTCTTTGGCAAAAAGGTAGTCGAGCTCGCGTGCCAAGCGATCCAAACCGACCTCAACTGGTGGCAATCCGAGGACGACCCCGCTGAGGGCACGACCGAGCTCTTGCGCATCAAGCTTCTCGTGCGCTTCCTCGGCCACCTCGCAACGACCAAGATGATTGTGGCGGCCGACGTGATCCAGCTCCTCGCCCACTTTGTCGCGCTCTGCACGCCCGAGCCGATCGAGCCCGACAACCGGGCCCAGCAAGATGCGACCGCGATCAAGGACTACATTGCGTACATCGTCCTTGACACGCTTCTCCACGTACGTACCGCTTCCCATGGCTTGCACCCCACGGCTCTCACCCCATATTGTCTAGTGCGGGCATGCGCTCTCGGTGGCCGCCGAGGAGCCGTTCGACGAGCTCATCGCACAGCTCACGACGTACATGGCGTTCCGGGAAGTCGACACGACCCACTCGCGCTTCGTGCCCTCCAACAGCTGGGTCGTCCAGCGCGTGCGCCTCAACATGCTCTGCGACCCGGAAGACGACGACGTCCTCGGCGTGGCCAAGGTACACGCCAGCTCTCCTGAATCGTTGTAACGACATGCAGGCGCTGGACCCGCTGGCCGCCACGTGGACGGCGGTCGAGCAGCTCGTGGCCGGCCTTTCGCGGGACTCGACCAAGTCGGACGTCGCGCTCTACAATCCGTCGCAGTCGACGTGGAAGGTCGCTGCGCTTATGTACCCGCAGCAGTTCTTCATGACGGTCATCAAAAACACGGTGCCCTTTGCGCTGCCAACCTCGGCGTTTCCGTTTACGCTCGAGCTGTCGGCCGTACGCCACTCCACGTCCTATCCGCGTCCTTAGTTCTATGTCTTTTTTGTAGATTCACGCCAAGAAGCTGCCGTCGTACTCGGTCGTCTTTCGCATCCTCAACGACGAGAGCGGTCCGATGGGTATCGCGATTGCGCAAATGCACTTGCCGTCGTACCTCGTCGCCCGGAGCTACTTTGAAGACATTCTCAAGGTCGGTTTGTTTCAACGTATCAAGCGATTTTATGGAATGTCGCAGGCGTTTGCGCCGTCGGTCGCCGAGACGTCCAAGCAACTGCTCACGTGTGCGCATTGGCTCAACGCGCGCTTGGACAACGTCCAGGCCGAGTTTATTCTCGTCGAGACGCTTCTCGTGCACATTTTGCAGCACCGCGACGTGCCGTTTGGCGGGGCCGTCCTCTACCAGATGCTCAAGCAAGACGCCAAGACGATCCAGAGCGCGCTCGCGATCCTCATGGAGCTCCTCTTCCGGCAGATTCCCAACATGCAGATGGGCACGCTCGACGTCTTTGTGCGCTTCTTCTCGCTCTTCCTCTCCAACTTCGAGTACAAGTGGCCGTGGGCGCACTGGAACTACGTGCTCGACGCGCAGGCCGACGACGCGCAGCGCCTCTTTGTCTCGGCCGTCCTCGAGCGCTGCGTGCGTCTGAGCTACCGCCAGCACATGCAGTCGGTGCTCCCCGAGGCGTTCCACATGCTTTTGCCGCCCAACCCGCTGCACATCATTCGGTTCCGCCAAGACGAAGCCGGCGCGTTTGAAGCCAACATGAACGCGACGCTCCAGGATGTGTACGAAGACATTCTGTCCAAAATCAAGGCGCGGGACGACGCGGCGGTCATTGAAGCGTGGTGCACCGAAAAGAAGGCGTCGCTCGACAAGGCGATCGTGCTGGAAATGGTCGTCTCGGCGCTCCTTGAAGCCGGCTCGGCCACGTTTACGCACTTTCGGAGCCTCTTGGAGAAGTACCAAGAGCTCTTGGCGACGCTCACGGCGTCGACGGACGATGCGCTCGCCGCCATCAACGCGGTCGGCGCCGTTTGGGAGCAGTCGCCGCAACACGTGATTCTCATTCTGAGCCTCATGATGCGCCACAAGGTGCTCACGTCGACGGCGATCTCGACGTGGATGTTTAGTGCCGACGCTGTCCAGCAGTACAGCTGGTGCGTCGACGTATTGCACTTTTCATGAGTCTCATACGATGGGTAGGCATTATGTGTGGGAGATTCTCGACAACTCGATCGTCTACGGCATCGAGCGCGTTGAAGCCAACCCGGAGGACGCGGCGGCGCTCGACGACCTGCAAGCGATGCTCCGCGCAGTCCTCGAGGTACGCTTGATTCCGTCAGGCCAGAATTAATGATCGTGCGTGGTTAGGGTTTCATGAAGGTCATTGCGGACCACAAGTTTTCGTGCGACAAGGAAGGCACGTCGTTCAAGGACAATTGGTACAACAGCACGCTTGCGCGCATGAAGGCGGTCGGTCGGCGCTTCCGCGTCGCGCTCCAGCCGCTGTTGCCGGCGCTCGAGAGTGGTGTGTTTGCGGCCGCCGGCGCCGAGCAGGACGTGTGCACAGTCTTCCACTACATCAAAGAGTCGTATCAAGCCAAGTAGGATCGGTCGACGACGAAACAACTAAGAGCAACTAAGAGCAGACGACGCTTATATATCGACGGCAAATTAAGACTTTTCCAACTCAACGCTCGCGTTGAGAAAGCTCACGTTGACCGGTCGCGGCGCGCTCTTGATCAGACTTGCCACTTGACTTGTTGAGAGCGCTTGCGTCGACTGCCCGTTCACCGTGACGAGCTGCGCGCCAATTTGGACGCGTCCGTCGAGTTCGACCTCGCCCTTGGTGCCGAGGGGCCCCGGGAGGAAGCTCGTAATGATCGGGAACTGGTTGGGCTCAATGTTGGCGAGCGAGAGGTGCAACGACGCCTTGTGGACCAGCACATGGATCCGCCGTGGCCGGCGCGCACGGCTGCCAATCAAATCCGTCTCCTTCGGACTCGCATCGGGCGATGACGACCGCGGCTTGGACGTCAGTGGCAGCTTCTTCGTGCTCGGACTCTCGGTGGCGATCGGTCGCTGTGACGCGGTCTGTGCACGAGGCCAGGATGATGAGAAGCTATGGGGGCATCATCGAGTGGGACGTACAAGTGCGTCCGACGTTTTGAGTTTCTTCGGCAGACTTGGCATCTCAGCAACAGCCTTGCCCGACACCGTCTCGGTCGCTGGGCGCTTCTTCGTCGCATTGGACGGCGACGGCAAGTTCTCTGCCTTGATTGACGGCTCGGGCTTGCCCTACGCGTGCGTGTGTTGAAGGCGGCGCTTCCATCGTGGGTGACCGTACCGACACGTCACTTGGCTTCTTGTTGCCAACCTTTTCGCTGTGTGCGGCGGAAGGTGGTGACGACGCTGCCGTGGCGGTGGTCGTGGCAAGCGTGCGCTTGCTTGGGGAGGTCGACGGGCGTTGTCGTTCTTCTTCCTCCGCCTCGTCGTCCGACGACGACTCTGAAATGGTATCGTACGAAGACGCCTCGTAGTCAGCTTCGGCGCTAAGGTCCTCCGTCCCATCTGAATCTACCAAGTCCGAGTCGTCGTCTGAGGTCATAAAGACTTCCAAGACCCCACCGACGACGGCTGCAATGACTTCCGAGCTGAGCGGTTCATGGCGTGTTGTCGGTGGAGGGAGAGGTGCAACAGCAGGCGCTGCCAACGGCTTAGCAGCAGATGCTGCCGACGGCTTGGCTGCAGGTGCTGCCGACGGCTTGGCAGCAGGTGGCGGCACGACTGGCACAGCCGTCGGCTTGGCAGGCACTGCTATCGGCTTGAGAGGCACTGCCGTCGGCTTGGCAGGCGCTGTCGATGACTTGGCAGGCGCTGTCGATGACTTGGCAGGCGCTGTCGACGGCTTGGCAGCGGGTGGCTGCACGACCGGCACTGCGACTGGAGTTGCCAGCGACGGTCGCTTTGTGGCAGGCTCGACGCTTGGCCCGGGTGTCGGCTTGGGGGCCAGCGCAGGCGCAGTTGACTTCGGCGTCGCGGCCTTGGGGTTTACAGGCTTGAGCGTCGGAAGGCGCGCTGCGCTTTGTGCGAGGGTGGGCAGTGGGGTCGATGCCTCGGCAACCGCACTCTTCTTGGACCTGGGCTTCCGGAACGAGAGCGTCAGTGGTCGAGTGCACCCGTTGATCATGTGCGCGACCTCCTCGACAGGCCGGCCACGGATGGGCACGCCGTTTATGGCGACGAGGATATCGAGCTTGGAGATGGCGTTTGAGGCCTTGGCCTCGCCCGGCTGGCCGTCGTCCGTGTTGAGGAGGTCGTTGACAATCACATTCGTGCCCTTCTGCCCGAGCGCAATGTAGATTGAGCGGCCCCAAAACTTAACGTTGGCGACGGCGTCCGGTGCCTGGGGCGCGGTGACGGCGTCGGGTGTGTAGATGGCCAGGTCTTCGACGCGCACGATGCGTTCGGTCGGCATCTGCAGGCGATAGAGTCGTTGAGCACCCCATGCATTCGATAGGGATCGTACCGCGGGTGCGAGCTCGACGAGCAAGTCGAGTTTCTTCATGTAGTCGTAGTCGCCGTCCTCAAAGTTGAGGCGGTAGACCAACTCGCCATCGTCCATCTTGGACGACGCGACCGTCACGAGGTACAGCTCGTCGTTGTCGTACGTCTTGTAAAACTGGACGCCAAGAAGGAGGTCGGGAACCTTCTCGAGGACGGCGACCAGGTCGACGTGTGACGAGCGCGTCGTAGGTGCGTCGTGCGTCCACTTGACCTTGACGAGCCCACTCTCGTTGTAGTCGGCGCTGTAGAAGCTCACGCCGTCGAGGGAGCAGACCTTGCCCGTTTGGCCTTCATCGAACGTAAGCTGCATACCTGCCGCCCTCGTCATGAGCCACCGAGATGCCATGCACGTTGCCAACTGTACCGTCCAGCTGCAGGCGCTTGGCTCGGATCGCGAGCTCGGCCGAGACGACGACCGTCGACCCATCCGGCAGCTTGAGCTTGTAGCTGACGTTCTTGACGAAGGCCGTGAGGACGCCGGCGACGCCGCCGCTCGAGAGCTGCGTGCCCACGAGGTGGTCGTACCACGTGCTGATGGCCGACATGGTGCTGGCTGGCCGATCACAACTGGCCAAGTCCGGGAATTGCTCCGGGTTTTTTCCGTCCAATCAATCGAAAGCTATTTTTTGTTCACGATGTGGAAGCCAGGGACCGCCAAGCCGACCGAGGCCAAGCCGGTGGTTGCCAAGACGCCGGCCGCCGAGGCCAAGAAGGCTGCCGCCGAGGCCAAGAAGGCAGCGGCGCCCAAGGCGCCCAAGCCAACGCTGTCGCAAAACACCCTCGCCATGAAGGTACGACGCTCGACCATCATGACGAGAATGATGCTTGACAGCATGCGATCCACTAGTTTATGCAGCGCAAGAACACGGCTGCGGTCGTCCAAGAGGTCAAAAAGCACGACGACGATGACTGGGACATGGACGGCGACGCTGCCGACACGGACGGCAAGTACGTATTCCTGCACTTGATGCCAACAGTCGACTCATGCATAATGACAGGCTCGTGGTCATCAAGGACCCGTCCGACCCGGCGATCGAGAAGCAGCTTGGCCGGCGGTCGTTTGGTGGCTTCAACGCTGCTGTCGAGGTAGGCTGCGACTGGCGCGCGGCGTGCATGGATGCCAGCATGTTCTTCTAGGAGGAGCTCAAGGCGGCGACGACGCAGCGCCGTCACTCGGAAGCCAACAAGCGCGCACTCAAGGAGGAGGTGTCGGCCGAAGAGATGGCAGACCGGTACGTCCTTGATCTCGCTAGCAACGCGCTGCATCATGCTGCTCGTATAGCATGATCAAATACACGGGGCTGCGGAATAACGGCGCTGGCAACCAGCGGGACCGCCCGAAGAAGCGACAGAAGAAGGCATAGTTGTCCATATTGCCATAGACTAGACCCGAGCATAAGCGCGTTCAATATGACAATATTCGATATTAGGTAAAAATAGCCACACCACGCTAAATTCGCAGTGCAAGGTAACGTGGATGGTCATGGCCGAGGCGCCGCTCAAGGCGTCGTCCGTGCGCCAGCTGCCCGAGCTTCCGGCGCGCGACTCCATGGACGTGCTCCAGAAGGTCCACGGCTTTTACGAGGTCAAGAACGAAGACGACTTGCGGCAGTGCATGGAAGGCCTCAACGCTCTCTTCAGCCGCGCGATCGATCTCGAGATGGACGTCGAGGCGGCGCCACGCAAGCCAGCACCACGCATCAAGAAAGCACCTCGGCCCGCAACGACGCCACGAAGCCCGCGGTCGACCGCCTACCTCGACCGCGCTGCCGAGATTTTGGCGGCGACCGATTCCAATGCCCTCTTCCCCCTCCTCCAGGTAGTGCATGGTCAGCATTTAGCCGCTTGAACGCGATCCTAGTCGCCCGACATGCAGCACGCGCTCAACGTTACGGGCATTCGACCGGAGGACTTGGTGGCGAAAGCGCAAGAGGACTTTATCAAGGAGCGCGACCGGTACTGCGATCGTTGACGCAACGCGCTCAGAGAATCGACTGCGTAGGGCGTGGCGCGTGCCCTCCGAAGTCGCTGCGATGCGCTTCAAGCACTATGAAAAGTCCCGGAAGAGCAGCGTTGCCCTTCTGCTGCAAGTCGCCGAATCGCAGGAAGTACCCCAGTCGGACGACGCCAAAGACTTTGACCGAGAGCTCGACCACGAGCGCCGGCTCCTTGAAGAGATGATTCGCGGACGGCTTCGCTACGAAAAGGTGGCCACCCTCAACCAACAACGAAAGCTTTTGACCCCTACTAGGTGCTCGAGAGAGAGGCCGAAGTGATCCGCCGGAAGCGCGCCAAGTTCCTCGTACGTACTGGCCCTTGCATGTGTTGTACTCCACGCTGGACAAGGTGCAAGAGAATGGCGTCTTTCAGCGCCGCGGCGACGCGCCCCCCGCGTTCAAAGATCACGTGCACGCCGAACGGTAGACGCTGCGAAATCGATGTCGCTCGAGGTGTCGCCGTAGGTCCGAGGCCAACCGGCTCAAGATGGAGCGCGTTCGGGCGCAGCGGCAGCTCCTCGAGCAGGTACTGTGAACGCGTGTCACGTCTCTAGTTACAAGGCTATCACGCTAACTAGACCAAGCAAGAGAACGCAGATGCGCGCCGGCGCTACGAACAGTCGCGGGCTGCGCAGACGAAGAAAGAAAAGGACGACCAGCTCAAACTCAAGCGCGTGCTTGGCGACGAGCGCGAGCGGAAGCGGCTACAGGTCAACCGCATGACCCACTTTTCAAGCCCGTGCCAAATAACCACGGTGGCGTGCAGGTCGTTGAAGACGCGAGAGAGCTCGACCGGCAGCGGCGCGAATGCATTGAGCTCGCTCTTCACGAAAGGGTTTGTCGACAGACCGCACATGCCATCGTGTTGAAGAAGAGCGTAGGAAGCGCACTTGGAAGCGACTCGCAAGCGAGCGCTGCACAGTAATATGCTCGCCAACGAGGTAATGGGAACAACAACATCGACGCGCTTTCGTCACGTGGCGTCGAGTAGCGCAAGCGTCTCGCACAGCACGCGCGCGAAGTGACAGTCCAGCGCGCCAAGAACATTCAGTCGTTCAAAACGAACGAAGCGAGCAAGAAGCTCCACGCGACGACCGAGCGCGTCGACAACCTCAAGGTTCGTAGTCATGCTGGTACCTTTGCTGCTGCAAGAATCTTGGGCCGCAGGAGATTCGCCGCGCAATTCTACAAGAGCGCAACCGCATCCATGTGCTCACGCGCAGTCGCAAAGCCCACTGCAAAAGCCTGCGCGATGAAATCGACGTGCTGCCGGTAGCGTTCCGATACATTGATACTTTTCGCCACTTTAGGGGTAGGGACCAGGCGAATACAGCGTGCGGTGGGCCGACCACACGCGTGGTGGGTACATTGGCCACGCAGTCGCAACCGAGACTGTCCCGCACACACCGGTGCGTCACCTTTGCTCGAGCTTATATTGTTTAGTCGTTACTGATAATGATGTTGTTGATAATGAATTAGGGACCGGGCGCCTACGACGAGCTGAGCTCGATCGCCGACGCAATGCGAACGTCCGGCCACGCGTTTCCCAAGAGCCGGTCGCTCGAGACGCTCGAGGGCCCGCCGACACCGTACGTCCTTGCATGTTGTAGCACGGTGAATCGCATGCCACGTTGTAGCGGTCCGGGACAGTACATGGATCCACTGCGGCCGCACAAAGCGCTGGGTCCGTCCTTTCCCCTTGCGACGATCACGCCGTTTGATTTGAGCTTGCGCCACGCAGCTGAGCTGCCGGTAAGCAAACCTCGCAATCAGCAGTGCTAAAGAGTTTGTGGAGGCCCCGTGCGACTACTCGGCCACCACCGCAGTGCCGTCGCACTCCAAAGCGACCAAGGTCTTCAAGCGGTCGCTGCATGCAATGACAACGTCGTACCTCCATGCGTGCCAGGGCGCGGGCGAAGTCATGATCGACAAGGACGTTCGTGCGCTCGAGGCCGAGCCGCCCGAGTGAGCCAAGAGTCGATCTTGTTTAGTTTGCACTTGTTAGTCGAATAGTTTGCTCTAGTTAGTCGAATTGTTGGCATCGCACAACGTGTTGATGCCAATGTGTGCGTGGGAGACAAGTCAATGGGTTTTGTACAATAGGTTAGTTAATTCATACTACTTATTAACTTAACTAAATATTAATACCTCGTAAATATATATACGTGTAAATACTCAGGGCGCAATTCAAAATGACAAGTCCAACCACGGAATGTCTTCGGGGTCGTTGAGGGGCGAGAGGGGGACCTCCCATGTGTCGTCGTCGGCACCAAACAGCATCGAGGTGTCAATGACGGCCGGGGCGCTGACAGGCAGCTGGATGCCGGCGGGCAGCTTCAAACAGTTGCGCGAGAGCACAACCGAGCGCGGGTCCACCGAGACCGTGGGCCGTACGTCCGTGATGGGCTCCGCCTTGATGTCGTCGCCAAAGGTGAGGTCGTCGAGGATCGCGTTGTCGATCACGTCGTTCTCGTCCATCTCTTGCTTCGTGGGCTGCTTGTACGGAACGTGCGTGAAGAACGCCATTTCTTGCTTGGCGTTGAAGCTCGTCTCGACCGGACTCTTCCAGAGCGGCGGCTTCATTGATTCGGCGGACCGCGTCGGCACCAAAGTGATGTTGGTGGCGCTGTCTTGGAAGCCGAGACCCGTGCCGTAGATGCTTGCCGCATGGCTCATGGCCATGTGATGTGGGCGCATCGACTTCATCATGACCTTGCCCATGTCCTTTCGGCCGTGCAAGTCGACCATCGGAGGCACAACGCAGGGCGCCATGCCGGGCTTCAACGCCGGCGACATGTTGTCGTTCAAGAGCATCGACGGGTTCTGCAGTCCTGAGAGTGGTTTGCTCAGCGGGGACGAGCACTGGTCGTCGCGGCCGGGCATACCTGACGCCGTTGGGTTCACGCTGCCCGACGTGTACCCGGGCGCATCCGTGTCGTAGCGCTGCTTGCTGCTGAGCGGATCGACCCACGGGTCCTTGGCCTTGCCCGCGCCGCGTCGCTTAATGTTCGGGAGCAGGTCTGGCCGGCCTTGGCGAAAGTGCGTGTGCTGGTAGATGATCGAGCTGCCTTCCGTCACCTTGTAGAAGCTGTAAAAGTTGAGCTGGCGGATGAGGCTCGAGAAGCGGCCGTGGCGAAAGTACTTGGGCAGGTACGTTTCGGCGAGCACCTTGGGCTGTACGATGCAAAAGGCCGTGCCTTCGCGGATCCACGTCACGACCGAGTCGGGCTCCGTCTCGACCATCGCAAAGAGCTTCGTCACAAAGCTGCCGGTCGCGTTGCCGTTGCCGAGGCCGTCGGCGTCAGCGTCGTAGGCCATGCTACCGTGCATGGCGTTCAGCATCATGGTCATCGAGGTCGTCTCGTCCGTCCTCATGGCTTGCGTGTCCATCGTCGTCATCGGGTCAGCTTCTGGGACCTTCGACAAATTCGCAACTGACTCGGTTTGTATCTTGCCGCCGATCTCCCAAACTGGCCTTTTCGGCGAATAATATTGCGGTCACGATATATCAACGCGGCCATTATATTACGCAAGATATTATTATTATATTTGACATTCAATACCACCGCCAGACATGGCGCAGCGTTTAAAAAAGAAGCCATGGGAGCATCACTCGGGCAATTCGAATTTGAAGCCGCTTGGGCGACCAATCAAATCGCGTCTTGCACGCCGTCATGGGCCATGATTGGCGCATCAACGTTGAAGTTGCAATGCGCCGCCGCATGATTGGCCACTTCGAGACCGCGTCATCACGGATTGTGCAATCCAAGGCTGGACCAAGCCTGGAATTTTTCACGTCTGATCCCCGTGGGACGGCAATGACTTGGTTTAAGTATGCTTGTATTTTAATAGAATGCGCTGCCTTTTCTTGAACTTCAACCTTCGGGGTGTATGTCCCTTTGATGCTTCGGGCATGTTCGAAATAATTTAATACTGTCGCGCTGATTTGCATACGAAATCCGGGGTGCGGGCAAGCTCGGTGGATTATTATTATCACGATGAGTTGGTACCTATTTAAATGAAATTTCAAAACGCCCCGAGTTGCACGGGCGGTTTCGAAAAAAACGGGCGCAGCTGCCCATACAAAACACAAGATACGCAGACTTTGGGTTGTTGATGCGCGTCAATGAAAGATATGGTTTTGCGGATAGCACGCGAATCTTGGGGCAACCCTCAACCCTCGAGCTCCTTGACCATGTACGGGCCTTCCAGCACATACCCGAGCTTGCGGTAATAGTCGCGTGTGCCCACGCCTATGCAATTTTAGTCGACCTATAAGCGGCCACATGGCGCAGAAGTAGCCAACGCACCGGAAATCACCACAATTTTGCGCGAGCCATGCTCGTCGCGCGCAATGCGTTCGGCTTCCTCCATGAGGAGCGTCCCGAATCCCTGAGTTGCATCGTATTACGGAGTGGGATCCACAAGTGCATCGAACCTGGTGTTGGAACTTGGTCGGGTCACGCGCGTGCAACGGCACGGCCGAGCCGTAGACATGCAGCTCGCGCACGATGGACGTGCCCGGCGGGATCTCAGGTCGAAAAGCAGTTGCACTACAAGAGCTCGACTGAGTATGCGATGAAGCGGTCGAATCTCGCACCTTGCTTGGCGCAATCGAAGGAGGCCGACTAGAATGTCTTGGTCGACGTCTTCGTAGGCGAGGAAAGTCTCCCACCTGCGACTGATGAGCACCCAGAAATATACTTGAACGATGCTTGAAGTACCCTCCGTTGGCCACGTAATCCCGCCGGATGAGCTCGACGTGATCCGGCGACACCTGGTCGTGGATGCCCTTCATGCCAACCTCGCGTGTACGCACGTCGCGGCAGGCGAGGCCCTAAAATGCCTGGTCTCAGACTCAGATCATACGCACCGCAGCGGCGTACGAGGTCCTTCATGCGCGCCAACGCAAGCTCGCGCAAGTTGCCATTCTCGACGCCCGAGGTGACGAGCGGCATGGGGATATCGCGCTGGATGCGGTACACGCGCGTCCACGGCGGCACGAGCGCGAGCAGCCGCGCCATCAGATCCACGAGCTCGTTGGGCGAGTAGTTCTACGTCTCATGCGGACACAGATACCAACATGCAGCTGCCGCACCTTGTACTGGCCTGTCTTCCAGAGCTCGTAAAGGCCTGTCCCGCGGATCACCAGCGTCGGATAGATCTTGAGGCCATCCGTCCGAAACAGCGGGTTCTCAAAGTACTCTTTGAAGCCATTGAGGTCCCGCTCCATGCCTGCATAAGATCGTAGTTGATGTCTGCAATGGTATATCGTGCATCGCGTACCCATGTTGGGCAAGTCCGGCATCACGTGCGCAACGATCTTGTAGCCGCAGTCTTTGGCGAGCTGGAACGAGTGGCACACCTGCCCACTGACATGAATCTTTGGAGCTCGCTCGGTGCACAAATGTACCGCCGCGACGGTGTGCCCGCGGTTCGAGTCGCGCGCCACGTCTTCGTAAATGCTCTGGACGCCAATCTCGATGCGCGTGCAGCCGTACGCGAGCATGTCGTTCAGATGCGGCTTCAAGCAGTAGTCGGGTCGGGTCTCGATCGTGATCGCCGTGCACTATCGTCCCACATAGGAATCATTGCTGAGTCGGAGAGGCGTATCGTACTTTGGTTTGGCTCTGCGCCGAGTACCGGACAGCCTCGGCGACGGACGCTGACGTGTGGCCCGAGAGCGCATCGTGGAGATTCCGAATAAAGTAGTCGCGGTACTCCTTGTCGAGCGAGAGAAACGTGCCTCCCATCACGATAAATTCAACCTACGAGCATGCTTAGGTGTGGGAACGACCGCGGCGACGCACCTTGTCGACGTTGTGGCCGAGGCGCCGGAGCTGGTCCACGCGTGTCTTTGTTTGCACGTACGGGTTGTAGCGAGCGCGAATCGCGCGCATGCTCGTCGGTTCGTACCCCGTGTACGCCTGCATGGGCAGTATGAGGGCCATCGGCGATGGTTTGGTGGGTACCTGTGTCGAGTACTCAAAGTCCGAGTCGGGTCCGCCCGGGCAGTAGACGCAGATGTTGCCCGTCATTGCAATGTGCGGGCACCGGTGCGGCTTGCACATGACGGCCTACGAGCTATTAGTGTTGGGGCGGCGAGACAGGTGAACGAAGCGAGCGTACAACGACCGCGATGCCGGACGCTGTGCGCACGGGCTTGGCCTTCAAGTACGGCAGTAGCTCTTCCTTGTACTCTTCCGGAATCGCCGAGATAATGTCGACCAGCTACAGCCATCGATGCAGATGACAGCCATTGCAGCGTCGCACTACCTTGGGCATGGACGGCAGGCGATAGCCCTTGGCGACGTCGTTCTTGAGCCGCGTCATGTTGACCGGCTCCTGCTTCTCATAGGCCTTGATGATCTCTTCCACGATGGACGAGATCGCCTTGACGTACGTCTCCGAGTCGACGCCTATATCGCTTCAGACAACGCTATGCGTGGCTCGATGAGCGTACCCGCGTTGCTCATCACGTCCGTGTCGTCCGTGATTGGTGCAGGCGGCGTATCTATTGAACCGGTTCATCTAACCGGTTACTACCTCGTCCTCCGTATACGGCGCATCGGTATCCGGTAGATCCAAACTCCGGACGGGATGTCGCCTGCTGCAACACTTCTGCCCAACAAGCAAGACACGCGTCCAGCAGCCTCGCAGTAGGAGCCTCCATAACTACTAGCAGTCCGAGACGCGTACCGTAGCTACTAACTACGTACATGTGCTCGGTCAATGACGGCAGAAGCGGGATCGGCAAGACACGCACGTACAGACGGCGCGGGAGGACTGAAGAAAGCGCTTGGGCTGGCTTCAATCAAATAGAAATACAAGTACTGCGTACGAGGTGTTGTTCTGCAATGGCTGCCGAAGGTGGCTGGTTGCATTGGCCATCTATCTATGCGATGCTTTAGACCCAATGTAAAGACTTCGCATGCCATAAGCAAGCTTCAAGGTGGCAGACCGGCCACTTGTACTAGACAAGCGAATGTACCCACTGCCAGCTGGATACGCAGCCATGTCTTACGATATGAACAGTGGGCGTGCAACGTACAATAACAAGAACGTTGGATAAATTCCCTTAGATAGTTGCACCCGAGCGTGTTTCACGCAATCGAATTAGTGTACATTTTGCCGACCGCCACCGATCCCGCGCGGTTCCATCTGCCACCGGCTTCGCATGATGGAGAGAACCAAGTCGGTACTGCTGCTGTCTCCCCAGAGCAACCTGCATGGGGCGACCCCGACCGACACGGTCTTCCTGGCCGCGTCGACGCCGCCCCGCGAAGAGGACTTCGTCGGACCTCATCGGTGCACCCCCGCCCGCAAGACGCTAATGCTCATGCGCTCCATGTAGGAGGTCGACCGATCGCGCGTCCATGCGCCAGTCGATCCACTCGTACATCGCCGCCGAAGACCTCGACGAACCCGAGCCGGCCAAGCCCAAGTTCTTCTCCCGCGCGACCCTCATGAAGGTTGTCTACTTCCTCTCGGACGTCGTGTACTCGCTCGCGCTTCTCGGCTGCGGCGTCCTTCGCGCCAACTTTGTCTCGTCCATGTACCTCTTTGGGTGGGTCCTTGGCACCATGTACACGTTCAAGTCGCGCGTCTTGAGCATTTTTACACTTGTCGTGTCGGCCTGCGCGATCGCCGGCCACATTTACGCGGCCGTCTCCTTTACAAAGTCGTCGTCGCCCCATCTCCTCTTTGGTCTATTTGGCTTTGCGTTCCGCGACGATGCGTGGGACATTACGCTCAACGCTGGTCCCGACGTGCTCATGTTTCTCATCAGCATCCTCCAAGTCTACGTTGTCCAAAAGCAAATTCGCGGTGCGCTCCCTGCTGCGACGCTGCAAGCGACGGCGGCAAGCGTCCGCGGCAACGACCCCACGAACGCCCGCGACGCTCGGGCGAATGTCCGGTGGCGCGAGAACGTCCTTGGCGCCAGTGAGTTTATCGTGTTTGCTGCACTCTTTGTCGCGGCCTTTGCGACGACGGGCTTTGTGAGCTTTGTCTACTACCTTTTTTTGCTTCAGCGCCTCGCGGTCTGGACACTCTTCCCGAAAGCACTCAGCCTCCAGGAACTCGAAGCCGGCGCGTCGCTCTACCGGCCGTTCTTTGGCGCCAGGACAATTCGTCTGCTTCTTGCGTACTCGATCCTTGTGATTGCGATCTGGTGCGTGCTTGTACCATCGTGATCTTATCTCACGATTTTCTAGTCAAGCGTACCAGTTTCCAGATGTGCACAACTCGAGTATCGGACCGGATCTCGGCAACTACACTGGCCTCTTTGTCATGCCCGGGGTATTACCTTGCGATGAATGTTTGCATGTTGTGATCCTCGTTGTAGACATCCGCCGACTGGTCGGGGTACGTCTTTTACGTAACGCAGTGTGTCCTCTTTATCGCGGTCGCGCGGACGCTGCCCAACTATGCGAAATGGCAAGCGGCGCGCAACGCATTGTCAACGACAAACGAAGCGTCGTCGTCGAGGTCCAGCTCGCACGCGTCCTTCTACTCGGCGCACGAGTCGCCACTCGACTCAGCGACGGAACATCGGCCGGTCCAGGAGCTCCTCTCGCACGAGCCATTTTTTGTGCGCCTCTTTCTTGAAGAGCGCGGGATTCTCTGGGCGACGCTCGCCGCGATATTTTGGAGTGTGTCGTACCCGTCGTACATGAACGCCGGTCTCTTGGCGATTGCGCTCGGACTTCTCGCCACGTTCGGCCTCGTCTTGCCGCGGAAGCTCCTCGTCTTTCTCAATGTGTACGCGCTGGGCATCTCGATCGCGACCGTCGTCTTCTTGCTGCCGCTCGACTGGCCATCGAAGCTCCCGTCGCTCTCAGCCATGCGCATGGTGCAAATCGGCATTGGTACGATGGAGTACCCGCTGTTGGACTTGTCGGTGCAGCACCTCTGCGTGCTCGTCATTTGCTGTTGCGTCCGCGTGCGCCTCCAGTACCAGTACATTGTCAAGGAAGTCCGCGTCGAGCGAGAACTGCACGACCTCCAGCACGCACCATCGGTGTACGACGACATGATGGCGTCCGGTACGCAAACCCCGGGGCACGCGATTCCCGTGCACGAAAACCTCCAGCTCGTACGTCTCGTTTCTGTGACTGTAGCCAAGACATTCATCGACATTGTAGCACCGCATGGGGTCGGTCGAAGTCACAAAGCTTTGGGTCAAGGATGCGCAGAGCATCTTCATCGCTTCGCTCGACATGACGGTGCTCTTTACCATCTTTGGTATGGCGACAATCGACATGTGCTCTAAAATGACGGCATCTTCGTGTAGTGACCGTGTTGAGTACGTCGGTGACGATCCTCCAGACTGGCTACTTGGCGCTTGCGACGTTTCTTTCAGTGTTTCAGCGCTTCCGGCGCCGGCTCTGGCGCGCGCTGCTCGTGTACGCGCTCATTGTGTGCCTCGCCATGTACAGCTGGAACGTCGTGTGCCCCGAGAGCGTGGACAAGACTCGCTTTGATACGATCGGCCTCACGTGCTTCAAGACGTACCCGCGCAGCAACTGGGCCGCGCTGTGGCCGACGCTCTTCTCGGCGCAGCTCTTCCTCATCTTCCAGGTCGTGCTCCAGCTTTGCATCTACCTACGCACGGACAATGGCGCGGACGAGCGCGCGCGCATGCTCGCACAGGCCAACCGCCGACCGATCTACTTTGTGTCGCGCCTCGCGCGCGAAGTCGACCACATCTTTCGCGTCCTCGGCATCGTCGTCGCGTACATTGGGTTCATCGTCGTCGCTTTTGTGTACGAAGTCAACGACGCCGGCCATGTCACGCTCGTCGGCTTGCTCCAAGTGCTCTTACTGTTCACGCTCCTCGGTTCGCACCTCTCGACGGTCGTGCAGTGTCCGCGTGGCAACTCGCTCAAGACGCAGCGGCAGTGGCGCCTCGTGCTCGCGTACGAGGCGTTTGTCCTCGTCACGCGGTACCTCTACCAGTTCAAGGGCATCGCGTCGTGGGTGCAAGGCCAATGGCCCGACAGCGCGAGCCGCGTCATTTCGATCCGAGACGTGGGCTATGTCCAGTATGCGTCGACGGAGCGCCTCTCGGGGCTCTTCATGTACCTCTTCCCGACCGCCTGCGTACGTAGATCGCAAGCTCTGTCTCCTCTGACCTGCATTTTGTAGCTTGCGGGTCTTGTGACGTGGAACCTGGCGTCGATGCGCAAGAAGTTGCACAACTATGACGTGCTCGTGCGCGGTCGTAGCAACTGGATGGACAGCTTTTGCACGCTCCTTGAGCTCTGCCAGCGCATGGTCTACTTCAACAGCCCGATCGTGCTCCTTGTCGTCAACATGGCGATCGTCTGCAGCAACATTTCTGCGTTCAACATCACGTACCTCGGCGTGCTCCTCATTACGCTCGGCCGGCCGCAGTGGACGCACTGCTGGAAACCCATCTTTTGGCTCTCGTCGGTCTTTACATTGTGCCTATACGCGTTCCAGTTCGAAGCGTTCCAGCCCACCAAGCTCGCGGTGCTTGTCGGTGGTCATGCCGCCGACGCGTTTGAGCACAGCGCTGTTTGGTTTGGCCTCGCACGCATTGCGACAAGTGCGACGAACCGCACGGTCACTGAGGCAATCACGGTGGCGGCGGCATCGTCCGACTCGTGGAACGCCGGCGACGCCACGTATCCGTCCGTGTGGGCGCTCACGGGCGAGCACATGCTCGTGCTGCTGCTCTGCGTCATCACGCGCGTGTCGCACTTTTGGGATCCGCTCAAGGACGTGCCAGCGCCGGCTGTGAAGCGCCAGTCGTCGCTCGCGTCCGAACCGTGGGCGCCCGTGGGCATGGCGGACGAGACACCGTTTCTCGAGTCGCTACAGGCGTTCTTTGTGCGCTTTACGAGCGAGGGCTCGGTGATTCTGACGATGCTTCTCCTCCTCGTGTCGTCGTTCATCCACCGCAACATCATTTCGGTCGTGTACATGCTGGTCGTCCGCGCGATCATGGTCGCGTCGCCGCTCACCGTGTGCATTCGCTGGTACCTCATCGCGGGTCTCGTCGTCTTTGTGTGCGTCTCGCAGTACTTTATCATGCTGTGGGTGCCGCCGTTCTTGGATTGGCACCGCGAATCGCTCCCGCCGTGGACGTGGTGCACGCCCGCGTACGAGTACTTTTTTGCGCTGCACTATCAGCACCGGTGGGCGCTCTTCTGCGACTACCTCGTGCTCCTCGTGACGTTTATGATCCCGGCCGCCAAGCCCTACTACCTCGCCAAGCACGGCAAGAGCCTCGGCGACACGCCACGCGAAGAGATTTCGCTCCTCGAGCCAGTGGAGGCCAAAGGCGACGAGCACTTGGCACCGGTCGTCGTGCAGCCGGGCTACGATGTCGACGACTTTACGGTCGCCAACGCCGCCAACACGTCGCTGTGGCAGCTGTGCCTCTTTGTCGTGATGAACTTTTGGATCTTTGCGCTGCTGATCGTCGTCTTCATCACGGGCTGTGTCCGGTCGGGGATTGCGTCCGGTATCTACCTCGGCTTTTCGATCTACATGCTGCTGCACGTCCAGCGCGTCGGGTCGCCTGGCGACAAACTCTTGCGCTGGCTGCGCGACTTTACGTGGCTCTACATGTTTGTGAGCATTCTCTTCCAGCTGCCGTTCTTTACCGACAAGACGGTCACGTGCGCCCTCGGCACGAACGATCCGCAAGATGGCGTGTGCCTCAGCATCCCGTCCATCTTTGATTTGAACAAGTACCCCGTGTCGTACCCGGGCGCGCCACCGTACTTTGCGTCATTGCCCGTGCTCTCGGTGGTCATTTTCTGGATGATCAACATCCAGGAGCTCATTTTTCAGTCGCCGCTCTATGCGTACATCCACGCGCACACGCAGCGCGAAGAAGCTCAAAGCGACCTCCGCCGCAGCCGCCTCACCGACGCGGTATGCCTCTCGACATGATGCAGAGATCGGTGACATGGGCAATAGATTCTCAAGGAGCGGCTCGTGCGCTGGACGGCGCTCAAGCAGGACAAGGCGGCGGCCATCGTGCGTCTCAAGTCGATTGTATCCCGGCTCGTCAACAAGGTCGAGGAGATGATGGACATTGCGATGGGCCTCAACTACAGCCTTCCGCCGAGCGCGCCAGAAAAGCCATTTGTGCAACCCGACGAAGCGACGCAAAATTCAATCACACTGCACTGGAAAGCCCCGGACGCGCCGATCCACCGCGTCCGAGCGTACAAGGTCACGCGACAGGTATAGTTCTTGTGTAAATGTCTTGGTGCACATATTGAAGGACGCCAATGCATAGATGTACCCCACGTCGACGCTTCTCGGCGACTACTCGGACCCGATCGAGGTCGCGGCGAGTGCGGGAACAAGCCTCGTGGTCGAGGGTCTCCGGCCCGGTGCCGCGTACCAGTTCAAGGTCGCCGCCATCAGTCGCATGGGTGAAGGGCCATTTAGCGCGCCCAGCGAGCCGGCGCGGACGATTTCGCTCAACTGGGGCGGGTCGTGCCTCGCGGGCTGGGTGCACTACACGAAAGCAGCGCTCCCAAAGCGCTGGTACGCCTCGTTGTGGTCACCCAAGCCGATCGTGCGCTACATCGTTGTCGACGCGCATGCCTTTGTGTGGTACAAGAGCGAGAACTTGGCGCTCAAGCACCGGAGCACGAAGAAGCGCAAGCGCATGAAGACGTCGTTCCTTATGCGCAACGTGCTCTCGATGGACCTCTCGGAAGAGCCGATTCGCCTCGACGACAACTCGACGCCGATCCACACGCTCGACGTGGTCGCGACGCTGCGCAACTCGAACGCGCAGGTCCGGTACAGCTTTCACCTCGAGCGCGCCGACGAGTTTGACAAGTGGGCGACGGCGCTCGGGCAAATGCTGCCGCGTGACGTGCTCAGCGATCGTTTCCTTGCGTATTTGGAGCTCAATGGTCTTCCGATGCCGCCGGACGCCGACGAGAACGACGAAGACGAGGTCGAAGACGGCGCCAAGAACGCTGGCGGAAGCGAGTGGAGCAGTGTCACGGGCGACGAGAGCTGGCTCGGGGACGCCGAGGACGAAGAAATGGCCAAGCGCCCGACGTATGGCTGGATCTGGCTCAAGATCTACCAAGCCCTCTACGTACGCGTGTTACTCAATGTCTATGCTCGTGATGACCAAAATGAAATGTGCGTAGAACGCCCAAGACGCGGCGCTGCGACAGGAGCACCAGTTGTACGAAGACGACGACGAGATTCTCCCGTCGTTCCTCGAGACGCTCTTCGTGCTCATCAACGCGATCCGAAGCCACTCGCGCGACATTTGCTGCCTCACGTTCATGTGCAGCTTCATGTTCCAGGTGCGTCGACGCGCCTGCATCATACGCGTCCTATCGTAGACGTATAGGGCGACTTGCTCAATGCGTTCTACGTGCTCGCAACCTTTGGCTTTGTCTTGCTCGAGAACCCACGGCCGCACTCGGGTGCTTGGCACTTCTTTCTCGTCTACGTACGCCCATGTTGCTATGTGGATGTATTGTCACTAAAGCTTTGCCTAGTCGTTTGTGGTCGTCTCGCTGCGCTACTTTTTCCAGCTGCCCTTCTTTTGCCAGCAGTTTACCAAGAAGAACGTCTTGTACCCGAGCCTCCAGCCGTTCTGCCCCACCGATCTGAGCGTCTTTACGAGCGGCCAGCTCAACCCGATCCAGCCCATGGTCATCTTTGGCTTGTACAAGTTTGACGGCACGGCGAATCCGCACGTCGACACGATGCTGCGCGGCGTCGCATGGAACTTTATCGTGATCCTCGCGATCCTCTTTCATCGCCGCGAGCTGCAGCTGCGCGGCATGTGGTACGCAGGTGTGTCGAGCGAGGCGGCGGACGACAAGAACCCACAGCAGTCGATCATGGGACGGCAGTCGACGCGCATGTCGACGCGCCGCGGAAGCAACCTTTCGGTGGACTCGCTCGACTTGGACGATTACGAGGTCGCGGACTTTCTCGCGCGGCACGAGCAAGCGAAACGCGCGATCGAGCCGACCGAGCTGCCGCGCCGCCGTGTCTTGCCCAAGTCGCAGCGTGTCGCGTTCGAAGACAGCGATTCACCGCGGTCGCTGGACGCAGAGCTCGATGCTGTCGCCGATGAAGTGAGCGATGCGTCGCCCCTGCTGGCGCCGTCGTCGCCGCATGCGCAGGCACAGCAGCTCGTGGCCGCGCCGCTTCCGAGCGCGTCATCGCCCGAGCCCGAACACCGCAGCCTCGTCAAGAAAAACAAGGCGCTCGAGTGGTGCAAAGCGCGCCTTCCGAGCGGCGTGGTGCAGTTTTGCCGGCGCGTCGTCTCGCCCGCGCCCGAGCACTGGGACCGGAATATCAACAAGGCGATCACGGGCGTCAAGCCCGGTCGCGACTACTACTTGCTCCTGCTCTTCCTCCCGCTTGTCTCGATCGTCTACGTCATCTTGCTCTTCCAGTACTTTGGCGAGCCCAACACGAGCAGCGACAGCTTCTCGCTCCAGCTCAGCGACTCGATGCTCAACGGGTACATGGTGCTCATCGTGTTCTGCGAGCTCGTCGTGATGATTTGGGACCGCGCCGCGTACGTCTATGGCTCGATGATCTCCAAGATGGTGCTGCACTACGTCTTCTTGCTTTCAGTCCATATCGGGCTTTGGATTCTTCTACCCATGTACTCGCAGTCGTACTTTCAGACGCGGCTCGGGCTCCAAGGTCTCTACTTGCTCCAGTGCTTTTACCTCTGGACGTCGGCGCAACAGCTCAAGTACGGGTACCTCGTCTTCCGCGGGCACCATTTTGTGAAAAAGCCGGGCGCGGACGTGACCGCGTCGATGCTCGTGATTGAAAAGTGCTTCAAGCTCTACTACGCCGTGCCGTTTGCGTTTGAGATCCGGTGCCTCCTCGACTGGATCTGCTCGACGACGGCGCTCGACATGGAAATGTGGTTCCTCCTCGAAGAGATCGCGGCCGAAATGTACCTCGTGCGCCAAGAAATGAACGGCCGCATCGACAATGCTGACGTTCTTCAAGGCAACAAGCGCCAGCCGGTCCTCTTCAAGTTGCTCAAAGGCGGCATCCTCCTCCTCTTGCTGCTCGTGTGCGTCATCGGACCCCTCGCCATCTTTTCGACGGCCAACCCGTCGACGTCGGCGAATCCGATCACGACAACGTCGGTCTCGTTTGGCCTCCAGCAGCTCGACGGGACGGTCCAGCAGCTGTATGCGAGCGGCGACACCAACAGCCCCGCGTATGCAGGCCTTCAAATCACGTCGACCGACACGGCGACGCAAAAGATTGCGTTCTCGTCCTACTCACAAAACATCTGGACGAGCACGCCGCCGATGCGTCGCAACCTTGTCGCCCAAATCAACTCGACCGAGCCGATCAAGTGGCTCCTGAGCTTGACGTTCACGCGGTCGGGCCCGGACGGCAAGCAGACCGTGTCGCTGACGTTTGACCAAATGATGACGCCGGCGCATCGGACGCAATTCATCTCGGTGCTCCTCGCCGGCGGCTCGACGGCTGACCTGGCCAGAGGGAACTCGTCGACCAACGTCACGGGGCTCTCGCCGCTTTCCGGCGCGTCGATTGCAGTCGACGCCGACACGATCACGGCGCCACCGATTGTCATCCCGCAGTTTTACACGCCCGTGCTCAAGGTCGGCGCTACGAATGACCCGGTCGCGCGCGCGAGCTTTGTGAAGCGATCGATCTTGCTCCAGCGCAACTCGGAGGACGGTGTGAGCTGGTGGGCTGTCTCGTCGCCCGACGACATCGCGTACGGCTCGCTCGAGGTTGGTGACGCAGCGCGCGTGACGTGTGCGGACCCGCTCTCGCCCATGAAGGACGGTATCTGCCTCGTGACGGTCTCGGACAACATTGTCAACGGGCTCACAAGCCTCGGGATCGGCACATACGGCATTACAGCCGCGTACATTTTCGTCATCTTTACGATCGGCGGCTTTGTCAAGAACGCGTTCCGTGGCGAGCTCTACAAGGTGCTCTACAAGGAGCTGCCCAACCCGAACAAACTCCTCGAGCTCGTCGAGGTGCATTCAAAATTCTTATTTGTCTCAAGTCCCATGCAAATCCTTAGGGCGTCTACATTGCACGCAAGGAAGACTACCTCGGGCATCTCAAGGTACACTCGCCACCAACGCTCCATCCTAATGGTCTGGTGTAGGACGAAGGTCGGTTGTACGAGACGCTCATTCGCGTGCTGCGGTCGCCCGAGACGCTCCTCAAGGTCACCGGTCCCAACGTGATTCACATTCCCGTGCCCAAGGACAAGATTGACTAGCTTGTGATCCTGCATATAACTATAGATAGAGTCTCATTTCGACGCTATTTTGGATCTTGAAGAGACGCAAGATGGTGCTCGCGCAAGATGAGATCGATGCGTGCCGGGAGGCTTTCCTCGCGTTCGACAAGGACCGGTGCGGCCAGCCGCTCGTATTGTCAGCATCGGGATGCAGCTGCGTAGGAGTGGCACGATCGACGTCTGGGAGCTGCGCCAGGTGCTCGAAGGTACCAATGTCGAGACATTGAATTTGTCTTTGACCGAGGACTTGCAGCCATGGGGCAGCAGCCGACCGAAGAAGAGCTCTTTCAGATGATCAGCGAGGTCGACGAAGACATGAGCGGCGCGATTGGTACACTCGGCAAATCTTGCATGTCGCCGAGTTGACGACTAGATTTTGCCGAGTTTCTTCAAGTGATTGACAACCAGAAGGACCGTGCTGCCATGTACAACGACGAAAGCGACATGAGTAGGAAGGATATCGTCGCACGGGAGTATACACCTGGGACGACCTATCCTAGTTGACGCCTTTGTCGCATGCGGCGGCAAACCCGACAAGACGGGCGTCGTCAAGCGCGATACGCTCGTCAAGATCATCAAGGTCGACTTTGGCTTGACCATCAACATCGAGGTACTTGGGCCCAAAAGACGGCCGCTCATCGCAGGCTGGTAGGAAATGATCAACAAGCTCGACGTCGATCAGAGCGGCGAGATTGAGTTTGCCGAATTCAAAGCCATCTTGACATGATTCACAGCCTTCGTAACATAAAATGCAACAAAAACGTGATGCTAAACCGACAAGAACATGAATTAAAACGTACGACAACAGAGGGCTATCTATTTCACGTGCTTGGCTTTCGGACCCGTCGGCGTCTCGGGCTTGGTCGCGTACACGAAGAGGCTGTTGCGCACAGCGACCGCGACTTCGTTCTGCGTCGGGTGCCACGTTGTCTGGAGCACTTTGGCCTTGTAGTCGAGCGGCTCGGCCTCGGCACCGGCCGCGAGCTGCCGCGCAATTGCATTGTGCGGCGCGGACGAGCGTCGTCGACCAGCGTGCACCATCGGGTTGAGGCAGTAGTCCGACCGGCCGTACCGGTCATAGATGTGAAACTCGCTATTGTACGAGCCCGTGATAAAGTTGTTGCCGTCACCGCTCACGGCACACTCAAACTTGTCAAAGATGCTGTCCGTGTCGTAGAGCTCGCAGAGACGCGGACGTAAATGCTCGTGGATCTACAGACATGTTGATTGAGCTTCTATCGCCGGCGTCGGAGCCACGTACGTTGATCGTCTGGACAGGTCGGGTCTCCATGTTGACGTCCCAGATCTTGAGCGTGAGGTAGTCGCGCGAAATGATGTAGCGGCCGTCGGGCGAAAACTTGATGTCGGATATGGACGCGATGATTTCGGAGAAGAAGCTGCGCGACGCGGGGTCCTCTTGGTCCTCAAACACTAGACAAGGCACGCACGCGATGAGCGATCGCGCTGCTAGGGTGCGCGAGGCGTACGCCGGGAGTGCGAGTCGCAGAGCGCCGACGTGCGCATGTCGCCGAGCTTGACCGACCCACGGCTCGTGCTGTACATCATGATGTTGCAGTGCGACGGGTGGAAATCGGCTGCCGTGATGACCTCTGTAAGCTCCTCCATGTTGTTGGGCTTGATGTCGACAATGTCTATCAATGACCGTGGTCGATTCGGTGTCTATGATATCGGACGAGAGCTTACTGAAGCTTTGGTTGGACACGCCTAGGTGCCACAAATTGATGCGCAGGTCGTCGGCCGATAGGAAGGTTTCGCCGTCGCTGTTGAGCGCGATCGAGTTGATGTGGTACGTGTGGGCGTTGGCAAAGACGCGTTTGGGCGTCGCAACCGCCACCGTGTCAGTGACGCTCATGGTCGGAAACATGATGCGCTCGCCGTACGTCATGTTGGCGCGCTGGGTGCTACGCACGTGGCGGTCATGCAGCTTCCAGAACTTGATCGTCTTGTCGTTTGTCGAGAGCAAGTAGAGCGCATTGTTGGACGCCCGGCACCACTTGATCTTGTTGACTTTCTCTTCAATCTCCAAGCTCTTCAGGTAGTCAAACTCGGGCGTATGGCTCTGGAACGTCTTGTAGTTGGCGTACTTGGAGGGTTCTTGGGATTGGAACGACCGGCGGAGCTTCTCCTTCTGCGGATCGCGTGAGCTCGGTGGTGGCCGCCAGGTGTACCTTATGGGCGCCGCCTTCCTTGGAGTAGACGATGACTTGGCCCCCCTTCGTACCGGTCGCGAGGTACTCGCCGGACCGATCGTACTCGATGGCCGTGATCGTGTCGACTACAGGTCGCATGTCAATGACCTGGGTATCGTTGGAACGCGGTTGCACGTACGGTCGCGTGCTTCGGCGCGCGCGGGCACGTCTGTCCGCTGTGGCTCCATGATGCGCTGGTTGAGGCTCCACCCGCCGGCGCCTGCCATCGCGCCTGCCTCCCCTCGCATCATCATGGAGCTGGTCCTGACCTCCTGCGGCATGATCCGTCGTCCAACGTTGGGGCTGCGGGGCGAGTTGGAATATGCGAATAAAAATACGCGGCTGGGCACTGCGCTTCAGTATGCGCAAGCCCACCTTGCGGTTTCATGCCGGATTTAATTTAAATGGGATCTTTTTTTTAATATTCCAAAGATCGCTCACTTCAACGGCAGCTGTTTATTTTATTATCCGGATAATGCCGCTCCAACTTCGATTTTCGAGGCTATTTATAGCGCGCGGCTCCTTTTCCGGCCCAGCCCAATTGCACGGGCGGGATTTAATTTCATCGAAGGATATTTGATTTCGTCCATGTTGATGGTGCCATCTGGGCACCGTGGGAGGCTCGGTACTGTAGAACATGAAGAGGTCCATTGTATGGTCGAACTCGGTGCCTAGCAACTCTAGACGGGGCTTCGACTGCCCGTGGGTCGTTGCGACCGACAGGCGGCAACAAAGACGTGAGCATTTGCAAGATTCCTCGCCGGCCGTTTTGCTGAAGCGCATGGAACTTTGCTGGTGTGATGTTGCCGCGCACAGCAACGGCAAGTCAATTCTTCTTCGTTCGTCGCGGCGGAGAACGATGCGAATTGATTCTTAGCCCACAAAGGTACTAGTACGGCGCGTGTCGAGGGAAGCGAGCAAGGGCGTCCGATACGCTCTTGTCATCTCCGCCTTGACCTGCTTTTCGAGGCGCTCCAAGGAATGGAATGCGGAGAACTATCGTGCCAGCGTCCGTGAGTGGTACCCTTTGGAGCGGCAGACAAATTGGATTGCGCGACGTTTCGGGTCAACTGGCCGCGGAGCGTGCCACGTCACGGGTGGTGGGCAATTCCCTTTAATCGAGGTCGTTCAGGGATACGAGCGGAAACGGTTGCCAACGCCCACGACGAACGCATGGCGGCCTGCGCGCCACCCGCACCGGTGGTGATCGGACTCGGTAGCAGCAGCGGTCCTTCGCCCACCGTCATCACGCTCGTCGCAGCCTACTTTACAGGTCCCATCGCGTTCACAGTGCTCGGCTCGGTCGCGCGATCGTGGCGCGCTGCTGTGCTTGCCGACTCGGTGTGGCGCGAGCTCGTTGCCCGGGACTTTCCAGCCTCGCCGCTGCAGCCGTGGCCTGGTGCCTCGTGGCGGTGCGTGTACGTGGCCGAGTATCGCCAGGTCGGGTCGCCGTCGCTCGTGCCACCGTGTGAGAACCACTCGATCGTAAACCCATCGACGTTCCACGTCAGCTGGGGGAGCACGCCCTTCCGCCTCGTGCTGGACGGGCACCGCTACGCTCGGCTAGCGCATGTTATGGACATGTGGAAGACACGCCGGTTCAAGAAGAATGGGTGGAAGGTCGTCGAGGTCGTCGTGTCCGAGACAGGCGTCGTCGTCCATACGCCAGACGGCATTCGCCTCAAAGCGCGGCTGCCATTGCAGTACATCGTACGATTCCACCGAAGGTTTTGGGGAATCTTCAGGACGCTCATAGGGAAGCATCGTGGCGCACGACGACGGTGAGATACATATCACCCCCATGGAGGGCTCGCCGTACCCGCGGCGCATCCACTTGCGTGCGTCGTCGCCAGCGCTCGCGCGTCTCTGGGTGGCCGTTGCGATCGAAAACACCGCCGTCTTCACCGCCAAGCACAACCTCATCTTGCACTCGACGCCGTCAGTCGTACGTCAAGAGCAACTACAGTACGTGCTAAGCTAAAGCTCTCTAGTCGGACGAATTGCAGAGTCGCCTCCAAGATATTCTCAGCTTGCGCAAATTGCACGCGTTTCGATTGGCCCAAGACGTCTTCAAGACGCTGCCAGCCAACGCTGCGCGGAAGAACTCCATCTCCCAGGACGCACTCCACGCGTTCACCGAGAAGCACGCGCTCAGCTTTCTCTCGCACAAAAGTGCGGCACACGCAAAGAAGCTTCCAAGCTTCCGCCTTCCGAGGCTGACAAAGTCGGCGCGGAGCGGCATCCAGCGCGAGTGCGCGGCACTGCACCTCGTACCGGAGCCCGCCCTCCTTGTCGCAACGTGGCTCCACGACCAAGGTAGGACGACGCGATTCTCTTGCTCGTTCCGACCTTTTGGCATCGTAGATACCTTTGAAGGCCACACGTGTGCGCACTTTATCCGCACCGCGCGCGCCAAGACCACGAGCGCTGCGTCCCCGCAACACTGCCACGCGTACCTCTGTGACGTCCGCGACGTCATCGCACACGTGATGCGCTATGTGTTGGCCTATCGCAAAAGTGAGCTCGGTGTGTTTGAGCTCTCGCAAGAGAGTCTCGAGACCGCCGTGCTCGCCGCGATTGAGCGCAAGCTATGTACCGACTTGGCCAAGCCCATCAAAGAGTGGGCGCGAGGCTATACGTCTCCAATGAACGAAGCCAGTCTCGCGGCCAAGCTCACCAAATGGAGCAAATTACCACCGTCGAGTCCTCAAGTACGAGACCAAATTTGCTTGTGGGGTTGGCATCCCTTTCATGTCTCTTAGTTTGGCCTCGGCCCCGAGTTTTGCCTCCAGTGGGACACCGTCCTCGACCAGCTCGTGCTCATGGAGACCGAGATGCTGCCGTCTGGGAAGCTCCGGCTCCTCCTCGGCGCCGCCAAAGACGTGTACACGACGTTCGCCAAAGCCAGCGTCGGGGCGCGCCCACTGGCGGCCGACGACTTTTTACCGATTTTCATCTTTTGCATTTGCAACGCCAAGCTCAAGACGCCACTGACGACGCTCGAGCTCATGTGGTCGCTCTGCAACCAAGAGTCGCTGCAAGGTGTGTGCTCTCAAACACCGTGGTCCATGCGCGAAATGCAACTAGGGGAAGCCGGCTACTACCTCACCATGTTGGAGGCCTCGCTCGAGTACCTGCGCGCCGCCGACTAGTCGTAGTTGCGGATCTAAGGAGCGCCTTGAACAGAATAACACTCCATGACAAGTCGTAGCTCGATGGGAGCTGTGACGCTTTTTCTAATACTGTGCTACTATGGCTACTATGGTCGTCCACCGCCGCAACGAGCTGGCAGTGTTCCAGGTATTCGTAGCCGAGTTCGCGCTGCTCGAGTGTCGCCGGGGAGGAATTCCGTTGCAGAGGCAGGAATTCCGGATACCAATGACGCAGCGGGTGGCATGTAGCAGTACGAATTCTGCGCGAAGCACGTGATGAAGCTCCGCATCCTCTGCCTCCACGGCCACCGCCAAAGCGCCAAGAAGCTCAAGGGCAAGATGGCCGCGCTCACCCGCGCCGTCAAGGCGACGACCGAGTTTGGTGCGTCTCCGTTGCCATCCTCTTCCTAACCTCGTCCTCGCGCAGTCTTCATCGACGGGCCGTTTGAAGTGCCATACGAGCCGACGTCGGACGACCACTTGCAAAAGTAGGCCTCTTTGATGATCATGGCCTGTACGACAAAGTGCTTTTGCCATAGATTGGAAGGCATGACGGAGGCCGAGCTCGCAGAACTCAAGCTCTCGATGGAGCAGTTTGCGTGGTGGAACTTTTCCCAGGACCCGGTCACCAAGGCGTACGTGTACCATGGCGTCGACGAGGCCGTCGCCTACATCCGCAACATCGTCGCGACGCAAGGTCCCTTCCACGGCGTCTTTGGCTTTAGCCAAGGCGGTATGTTTGCCGCGCACCTCTTGGCACTCGATTACGGGAGTGGCGCGCGCACGTTTGAGTTTGGCGTCTTTTGCGCGTCGGCCTGCCTCACAGATCCTGCGTACAAGAAGGAGTTGCCGCCAGCGTCCCTTCTCATGCCATCGCTCCACATTATCGGTGAGCAAGACGAGCTGGTGGTGCCGTCGCGGTCCGACGAACTCGCGGCTGTGTTTGCAAGCGCCGACGTGCTCCGCCACCCGGGTGGCCACTACATTCCAACACAGAAGGAGCCTCGGACGGTCTGGAAGACCTTCTTCGAAGCTCAAGCCGCACGCTTGCAGCCAAGAGCCTAAGTCGGTCCAATACGCCGTCCATAGAGATAGACGCATGCTCTTATGCTTTGGATTTTGGTAGCTCTTCGAAATAGCCCGTGCGCTCGTTCCGCAAGCAGCTGCCCGCGGGCATCACGCGGCCATGGGCTGCAACATACACGCCGTGGCGCAACGTAGAGCACACGCCGATCGCAAAGCCGAGCGCAAAGGTTGCGTCCGACGCCGTCTCTGTCGCGGGTAGAGTCGCGCCCGTAAACACGATCACTTTGGGCGCGGTCGGTACGTTTTGCTGCACGTAGCGCGCCGATTCGAGAAGCGTCTCGAGGCCGTGGGTCACAATCACGTGCGAGGCCGACGTCTACGAAGGACGAGTGTTACACCTAGCGACGGTGGATATGTACGCGAAAGAGCGCTGCGAGGAGCGCTTTGCGGTCGGCGAGGGTGACGTCGGCGCCTTCACGTTTACAGACCGAGATGGCTTCGTAGCCGCGACTGTAGTTGCCGACACTGAGGATGTTGCGCACGCACGGGTCGCCAATCTCAAACTGCGTTCTTTCACCAAACCGACCGGTGCTGACACTGCGACGGTCCATGGCGCCGCCCATTTGAAGAAAACACCAGTCCACAATGTCGTCGCCTACTAGTACGAGCAACATGAGCCGTCAGCTTGGATGACAGCGAGGCACCGAGGCCGATCGAGGTCGACGACGCCAGCCGACTGGAATTCGGACGGCTCGAGTTGAGGCGCGCGCTGGGCGGCGGTGGCGGCACCGAACTGCTCTCGGTCGTCGATCCGTGGCCCAAGAGCAGCTGGATCACGTCAGGCACCCGGGGTTTTCGTGTCGTCCGGGCCTCTACGCAGTTTTATCATCAAAATCATGATGCTGCACTGGCAAGAAGCCTACCGTGGGCAAATGCAACGACGTCGTTGATGGCCTCGGCGATGCCCAAGGCGTGTTGGCGGTGGAGCCAAAGCGCCAAGACATTGGCGGTGCGCGATTGGCCCTGTGCACATGGAAGGTACAACACGTCTCGTAGGGCATACCGTCGAGCAAAAGACGACGATCTTCTCGCTGGCGCTGACCGCGCGCGTCATGCTGCCAAGCAGCGTCACAAGCTGCCACGAATTGGCGACGTCGACGTGCGTCACGTTTGCGTCGCCAAAGCTCGCGCCGAAGGTCTCCAAGAGCGGTCTTGCGTAAAATCGCAGTTCTTCTTTGGTTAAGAGGCACAGTACGTGGGCGATCCCCGCGGCTTGCATAAAGTCAATCCACTTTTGCACGGTCGCCTCGTCCACGTCCGGCCCTGGCAGGTGTCAGGATGACTTCGCCGCGGTGGGCATCTTACCCCGCGGTGTTGCTGGCTGGTCGCGTGTCAAGTGGACGTAGCCAGGCCGCTCGGCGCCGTAGACCAGCTCGCAGCGCGACGACGCGCGGCCAAAGTTGTACCGGCGCAGCGCCTCGTCGGCCATGTGCGATCTTTTCAAACTTCCTACAAATGCCTGTGAAACCGGATGCTCGATTGCATATATTCTCAGAGGTGTATCAACCCACATGGGCAAGGCCAGCGACGAGTGCCCGTGCCGGAAGGCGCTGCTGCGCAAGAGCATCTTCACCGCCGCCCAGGACGGCGACCTCGACCACGTGCGCAGCTTCTTCGAGTGCCACAAGGCGCACCTGCACGTGGATTTCCCCGATGACTTTGGCTACACGTCGCTGCACTACGCCGCGCAGTGGGACCGCGTCGACGTCGTCGCGTACCTCTTTCAGAAAGGCGCGTCCGTCGACGCGCGTGCGTGCGGCGCCACGCCATTGCATCGCGCGGCCTTTCGCGGCTCCGTTGCCAGCGTCCGCCTCTTGCTCGCCCACGGCGCAGACGCCAACCTGCCCGACACGTCCTTTGGCGACTTGCGCACCGCCTTGCACAAAGCAGCGAGCGAGGTATAGTACGCGTATGCACATCAACCACGTGCCCAGGAACCTAGCGCTGCGTGTAGGGTCACGACGACATTGTGGCGCTCCTCCTCTCGGCGCAGGCGGATCCGACGGCGCGGGACGCCACGGGCAAGCTCTACGCCGACTGCCGCGCCGAGTGCACCCTGCTTCGCACCACCAAACCGGACAAAATGCTACCACGCGACGTGGCAGAAAATGCTGATGTGTTGCCAGACGAAGCATTATCGAGCACCGGACTTGCGTGTAGCCAATGCCACCGTCCAAGTCTCGTGATCGTCCGGACGCCGTGCTGCCGATTCCCCGAGTGCGAACCCTGCCATGAGCTGCAGCGGCCGTGTGCTTGCTGCGGCACCATCTCGAATCGTCCCAACACGATTGCCATGGAGCTAGCGTCCATTCCCGAGCCTCATTGTCCATCGTCGCAGGTCCCACTCCGCCCAGTTGGCGCACGCCTCGGCGGTCTCTTCAACCTCAAGCGTCGAACCGAGCAGCAAAATGTATCCTAATCGACGCATCCCGTTAAAAAAGCTCAAAGCGGCCTGCAGGCGCCTCGGTGGGGGCCGGCTTGTCGCCGCTCAAGTACGTTTTCAGTGAGTCGAGCTTGCGGCGGTGCTGCAGAAACGCAAAGATCCAGATGTAGAGCACGCCGAGCGCGCACGTCACGGAGAGCAACAGCAGCGGCAAGAACGGATACCGCGGCAGCAAAATCGGTAGCAGCATCGCAAGGCCAGCGACGCCAACGAGCAGCGTCACGTACGCTGCCTGGAGGCGCGTGAGGCCGATGCCGGCGTACTTGATGCGCCGCGCCTTGAGCGAGTAGGCGTGGAACGGGTCGAGACAGACGTTGGCAAAGAGGGCGTGCGTCGCGGTAAGGAGCGCGCGCGTGCTGAGTTCGGCCGGCGTAAACAGCAGTGGGAAGAGCGAAATGTTGCCGACGAGCGTCGCGATGCGGTAGAGCTTGGCGTCCCGCGTGCTCTCGGCCGCCAAGAGGCCGAGTGGCAACGTGACTTGGAGAATCGCCTTCTCGTGCACGTGGTACCCAAAGAGGAACGAGCAGAGCATGCAGTAGACGAGCGCCGGCATGAAGAGCGACGGGTCCGGGTACTTGGCGACGTCGCGGAGCACGGGCAACATTGTGAGCAGCGTCAAGAGGAGGCACACGATGGGCGCGACCGACGGCAAGACCACGAAGCTCGCTTCTTGGACGAGGCCACCGCTCATGGTGCCGACGGGCGACGGCACGCGCAAGAGCGTAGCGAGTACCTTGTCAGCAAACGCGTAGAGCGCCCAGACGTTCGGGGCCCAGTACGCATGGCAGAGACCTCGCTGGACAGGGAAGAGTCGCGACGCAATCTGCTGTACATGCGCGAGCACGCCACGGGAAGTCGGGTCGCCAACAATCACCGAGGCAAAGGCGACGCCAAAGACCGAAATGACGACGGCGCCAAGCGTGAGGAACCGGCGGAAGCGGAAGCGACCTTGGCCGTTCACGAGCGCTTCGAGCGTTTCCTGGACGTCTGTGTTGGAGAGCGACCGCTTCCGGAGCTGCGCCGACCTCGGCACCGTGTAGCAGTAGTGCCCCAAGAGGTAAACGAAATAGAGCAGCGCAACGTAGAGGTAAATGTGCTTGAGCATGAGCAAGACCGCGTAGACGAACGCACCTTTGACGTCTTGGCCCTCGCGGATGTACGCGACGCTGAGAATGAGAAGGCCGAGGAGCATGCCGTTGTACTGGAAGTGCACGTGGTCGACCATGAGGAGCCCGGCGTCGAGGAACGTGAGGAGGAGCACGACGACGCGCTTGTTCGTGTTGAACGCGACTTCGGTCGTCGTCACGCGCGGCCACGAGTTGCAGTACTTGATGATGCCAAAGTACAAGACGACGTCCGAGGCGATGACCGAGAGGCGCTGGAATACGACGGTGCCATCGCTGGCATAGTTGAGCGGCGTGAGCGCGAGCATGGCCGGGTCCACGTATGCGGCAAAGAGCCCAAGACAGCGTTCAAACCACGCAAAGAACGGCGGGTAGTCCAGCGTCCACTCGCTGCCCGCATCAAAGTACCACTCGGTGCGCGGCAAGGACGCTGTGATCGCGAGCCAGTTGCGGTGCACTTCAAAGTCGGTGCTCTTGTACGATGGCATCAAGAGCAGCTTCAGAAGCGTGCCGAGAAGGAAGACGCCGAGGACTGGCACGTCGACAGCCTTCTCGAACGCAGCCGTCGGCGGCGCCTCAGCGGGTACCTCGGCGGGTGCCTCAGCGGACGGCGCGGCTGCCGAGCGCCCTCCTGTCGGCCGGACCATGTGGGACAAACTGGCAAATTGGGGTAAATCCCAGGCGCAGCGGCAACACGGGCGTGGGAAACGAAATTATCTTGCGCACTGTATGTGATGCCAGCCAATTGAATTAAAATACGTCGTCGGCTCGCCACGTCATTCGCCGTTTGTGGTCAAGATGATGTCCTTGCGCACGCTCCTCAAGATGACGCTGCTCCTCGCGGCGCTCGTCGCCATCCATGGCCTCAAGGAGAAGACCAAGTCGTAAGATGCATGCGCCTGTCACTCGCAGGACGATGGCGGAACATGCGAATGCTAGGGTCGGTGGCCTCGTGCCCGAGATCGGGTTGACGGAAGCGCAGCTCGCCAAGCTCGGCTACGTCAAGAAGAACCAGCACTCGTCGACGTCGTTTCAAGTAGTTGTGTATGGCCCACCACATGTAGGTGCTCATCGTAGTAGCGTAGGTGACGCCACGCAAGCATGCGCCGCAGTTCCATGACGTCAAGTCTGTGGTCAACGAGAAGTTCACGACGGTCTCGCTCGACGACTACAAGGGCAAGTGGCTCGTGCTCTTCTTCTACCCGTTCGACTTTACGTTCGTGTGCCCGACCGAGATTGTGAGCTTCAGCGACTCGATCAAGAGCTTCCGCTCCATCAATGCCGAGGTGCTCGCGATCTCGACCGACTCGCACCACACGCACTTGGCGTGGATCAAGACGCCCCGCGAGAAGGGTGGTCTCGGCAAGATGAACATCCCGATCCTCGCTGATATCTCCAAGCGCATCTCATCCGACTATGGTGTCCTCGTCACGGACGAAGACGACGAGATGTTTGGTGCGGCGCTCCGCGGTCTCTTCATCATCGACCCCAAGGGCGTGGTGCGCTCGATCCAGATCAACGACGACCAGGTCGGCCGCAGCGTCGACGAGACCTTGCGCATCCTCAAGGCATTCAGCTACGCCGATAGCCACCCTGGCGAGGTGTGCCCGGCCAACTGGACGCCCGGCTCCAAGACGATCAAGGCCGATCAAGAGGCCAAGTACGCGTTCTTCGAGGCGACGTACGGCAATGAGAAGGAGCTTTAAACGCTCTCCCTCTGTGGGCTGAAGTAAGCCATTTTGAGCCAAGAGGTTATGGCTCGTTGCTCTCAACTGCAAGGCGTCCCAACCTACGACTAGAAGTAATTTCCAGACAGCTCGCATACATGGACCATTGTGAGAAACGTCGATGGAGGCGGGCATCATGCCAAGAGTCGCGGTAACCTTCCGATACGAACGTCATCGCGGCGCCATGTAGCGGACGGCAACAGGGTACGCGGTGCAGACGAGACCGCTCACGTCGCTTCGCCGCGGCCTCCTCCACGCAGCCTCCTAGGTCGGGTCAACGGGTCTTTCTCGGGCGACCTAGGGCAAGTCCCTGCGTCCAGTCGCTCGTATCACATCCAGCCAAACTCTAGCCCGCATGATTGTCACGGGACGGCAGTCGACTAGACGCATGCCCCATCTCGCTCACAAAGGCTTCTTGATCGTCCCACGCTGCGCCGCGACTGTTCCGAGACTACACGTTAATCAAATATATTGAAATAAACAGCGCTGGTGCCAGGTCTATGCGGCGACGCAGTTTCTGCAGAGGCGCAAATTTACTCTTCCTTCTTCTGGGGGAAGCCGTGCTTGAAGTTCTGGAACTTGCAGCAGCCGACCGTGACGACCGCGCCACCGCCGACGATGGCGATGATGCCGGCGCCGATCGACTTGGAGTTGAACGGGCCGTCCTCGAACACGCGGTGCTCGTGGTGGTGGTCCTCGCCCATGCGGCGGGCCGAGCGCGAGATGCCACGGGTCATGGGGGCAGTGATCTTCGAGACGGAGCGGGCGAACATGGTGGAGGTGGTGACTGAAGAGGCAACTGACTGGTTCCAAAATGGCCACACGACGGGTGTTGTGTAATCTCTGCCTCTGAAAAGGCATACCTCGTGAACGGTCGATTTTTACTCTTTTATCCGATTATAGAGGTTTTCCGGTGCGATTGCAGTTTTTTTGGCCCGGCGCCGAAGGCCAGCGTCGACACCCGCCAACCAGCGGATGGTCGCGACGGTTGCTCATCCAAGATGGCACAAATGCGACGGTGGGACGCGTGGCCGGCGACTGGCAAATCGCAACCGCTCGACCGCGATGACGACGACGACGCATATTGCTGCTGTGTCTACCAGATTGATCGGCGGCCGAGCGAGCGAGCCGCGGTGCCACTTGGCCGTGAGTGGTCAGAGTTGTACGTGACCGCAGTATAGACGCGGGTCCCGCCCGAGTATAGAACCGGTCCAAGGTCATGACGTTGCCGCAGCGACATAAAGCTGACGCTTTTGGCAACGAGGCAACACTGGTCTGCATCACATGGGTCTGCATGAGCTGTGTCCGATGACATGGCAGGTACACACAATGGTGTGGGCACGGCATGGGCATAAGACCATCAAGACGACCGAGAAATGGACTACATTCGGGATACATCGATGGACCTTAGTCGCGCTTGACGAAGTCGCCGACGATGGGTGCGTGCAAGAGCAAGGACGCTGGGTACAAAGTGCTGGCACTGGCGTCGTACATGCTGAGCCACTCTTGGAGCGCACTGCGGCACGCGTCCGTGTTCTTGAAATCAGCGACGAGCCCACGTTCTTCGCACGCAAAGACGAGTTCATTGTGCGAGAGCTTGTCGAGGCCTTCCTGAAGCAAGAGTCGATCGTCGATACCGATCTCCAGCGCCCGCGTCCGGAGACGGTCGACGAGCTTGGCCCGCGGCAAGAATGTGTAGAGACGCACCAACGGCGACGCAGACGTGGCGAGCACGAGGAGCTTGAGATGCGCCGTTGGCAGCTGCTCAAGAACACCAGGGCCTTCAAAGAGCTTTTGGTACTCGACAAGAACCTTCGGGTCCAGCTACAACGTCAAGCCATGAGCACGGTGCAAGCATACAAGCAACGAAGTGGTAATACTGTACCTTGGTCAGCTTCTTTTCGTGGTAGGACGCGAGGACAGACTCGAGGAACGGGTCCCAAGTCGCAACAAGCTTGGCGACATCACCGTAGTACGCCGCCTTGGTCGTGACGTCTTCGGTGAAGAACTGCGCTTTTTGCTCGGGCGTCCAGAATTGCCACGGCAGCGTGAGCTTTGGAAACTTGTAACCGATCAGAGGCGCCAAGTTGCCGAGGAGCGGAATGCCAAACGCAAAGAGGAGCGGGATCGACTTGAGCAAGTCGCGCGGGGCTTGGCGCAGCACAAACATCTCACGCCGAGAGAGCACCGTGTCGGGTTTCTCGTACAGCTTGCGGCGGCTGGCCCACGCCTCCTTGTTTTCGTGCACGAGCTCCTTGGCGCCGTTCGTGAACGGAGCGAGCCATAGCTTGAGCTTCTGGAACGGCGAGAGCTGCTCGTCCGCCTTCTTCGTCTCGTTGGGGGAGGACGTCGAGTAAAAGTGCAGCGCCAGCGCAGGCCGCCCGGGCGCTGCACCGTGCATGCACAAGGCGATGAGACCTGACGGGCGGCCGCGTGCCACACGCGTCAACGACGTCGTCGCCAGCATTTCAAAAAAAGGATTTTAGTGGTTGGCGGATAAAATCACCCAACTCACATTGCACTTTCGATGCCGTCCAACAACGCGAACGCTGTTCCAAGCACAAAGAGGCGGTTGTGGGCTCCATCTTTTGTGGCCTTTGCGCGACCCTCGTGTCGTACGTCTAAACGAGGTCTCATGGGTGCTCTGCGTGCTGTCGGTGTGGGCGCGTGTGAGCAGCCCTCTGCGCCGCAGGTTCCGGCACGATTTATTTTAATTGACTGGATTGTTGTAAGTCACCGTCTTTGGGATTATTAAAAACGTCACACTGGTTGTGATTGGTCATTTTGTGATCCAGCGATGCGGGCTTTCCCGGGCTTGCGGCGACCCGCACTTGTCCTCGTCGTAAGCCCCCATGACGTGCTCGAGCCGGCAGCGCTAAAGCAAGCGCTCCGAACCTTGACCATCGACGCTATCCAGCTACGGAACAATCCCGATATGCCCGTACCTAACTCGATCTACATCAAGACAGCCACCCAACTCGCGGCCATGCGCGGCCGGCGAGGCCGGTGCCCGCTGCTCATCCTCAATGCGCCTTACGATACGAGCTTTCAGCACCTTTATCCCGAGGTTGCCGATGTATTCCATTATCCCGAGCGCACCATCATGGACACCGCGGTGGCGGACGACCTGCAACGCGGGCCGTCTATCTACGGGTTCTCGGTGCACTCGGTGCCTTCCGCCCGCCGAGCGATCAAGCTTGGCGCCTCTTACCTCCAGGTTGGCGTGAAAGCATGCTGCCAACATCGTCTTCACTTGCGTGCGACTAGGTCGGCACGATGTTCCCCACGGCGTCGCATCCTGAGAAGAAGGTCGTCGAAGGACCTGCGCTCATCCACGAGATCCACAAACGCTTTCCGAACGTGCCACTCATCGGCATCGGTGGCATCGACGAGACCAACTGCGCCGAGGTCCTTGCGGCTGGTGCGAGCGGCGTCTCCGTCATCCGTGCCATCCTTGCGGCAAAGGGCCCCAGCACCGTGGCCGAGCATCTCCGGCGCGAACTCGATACTCGCCGTGGCGACTAAGCCAATCTCTCAAACTCGCTATAACGCATCAGCTAAACATTGTTCCTGATGGCTACACACAGAGATGTAGGTGCATCTCGCATTCGTGGCTGAAGTTGGCATTGCCCGTGGCTGGGCAAGGCGAGATGCCTGGCCTCAGGTTCTTTCGCCCATGACAGCGTGCCACAGGGCAGTGCTTCGTAAGCGACATGGCATCCGTCGGCGACAGGAGCGCGTCGCCCGCGCGGCTATGGCTCGCATGAACGTGGCGCTTCCGTCCGCTCTCCCCGCTTCGTGTGTTTGGCAGTGCAGGTGAATTTATGGAATTCAAATGTTCAAAGCCCCGTGTCTTTTTTTGTCGCCAATGCCTGTCACATACAAAGAGCAAGTGAGTGCCAGTCAATGGTATATAAATTAAATAAGTTGGGCTTGACTTGCATCGCAATTTCCTTGCAGAGCGGCCGGCGCTGATCCCCATCTTGGCCAAGGACGATTGAAGAGGGTATGGGATGCTTCCTGAGTGATAGGGACGGACTCGCGCTGTAGGACGGACGCAAGATGGGCATTCTCGACGGTATCTGGGCCTCCATGGGCGGTCCTGCGCGCCAAGCTGCGGTCTCGTTCGCTTCCGTGGCCAAGAGCGACGATGAGCCCGACCTGTACGAAGAAGACGGCGACTTCAACTCGGCGTGGCGCTACTATGACAGCGCGCTTGCTACAACGGAAGACGCAGGTACGCCCGTGTGCGCTCGAATCGCGACAGCATGATTGCCATGTTAGAGCGGGCGCTGACCGCGACACCCGTCCAGAGCTTCGTGCTTTGGAACGATCGAACCGATGAAGCTAATGCGCTCTTCTTGACGATACACATGGAGGTAATGTCATTGCGGTCCCTTGCGCACGCCTCGTATGCGCTATCTTAGCCGCGGACCTTTGAGCACCACTCGCTCGGCCACCTCGTGAACGGCTGGAGCCTCATGCAGCCGTGCGGGAAGAAGACATGCTCTGGCATGGACTGCGCGTCGTGCTACTCGATCCTGCACCTCGATGAGGTGCTCTCGACCGCGTACGCCAATGTTTGCTGCTTGGACAGGAGGTGCTCATGGCACCGACGTCGCAGGTACCCGCAAGCGACGCTTGGTCTGCGTCGCGACCATACCAATCGTGCATCGTACCTGGAACACGTTGCATGGTATTTCCTTTCCGATACATCTGTCGTCCAAGTGTCCTCACGCATCCTGGCAGGTGGGCGGGTGCGTCGCCATCGATCGAACTCGTCGTGCCCCGCGCCCCGATCCTCAATGACATGCGTTGCGTGCACCACGTCGATACGTCGACGTCGACCTCCATTGTCACGATCACCCTCGTGCGCTCGGCCAGCACTCTCTGCGCTGCCGGGATCACGCGCGGCTTTCGCCTTCTCTCGGTATATACATTCGTCGATCACATCGACGGCGTTGACCTTCAAGTGTGTAGGTCGACGAGACGCCGATCCATAGCGTCCACGGTGTCGCGGCCGCCGTCGCAGCGTCCGACGCACCGTTTGTCCGCTTGCACCTGCACGCCCCATGCGTCCCGTCGCCGTCATCGATAGACGCCCCGACGCTCATGTGCGACACGTACCAAGTGACGTTCGCACCGCTCCCGAGCCGGGGCATTGAGCACCTTGGCGACGTCGGCCTCCGCTTTCGCAAGATCATGGACACGATCTGCGTCGTCGACGTCACTGGGTACGCTGCGTCCCGCCACGTCCGCCGCGGCAGCCTCGTGTTGCGCATCAACGGTCTGTCCCATTGGTGTCCAAACCGTCGATTTCATCCAACAAACTGTAGGTACACGGACGCCCTTTCTGAGCTTTGATCGGCTCTCTGAGTTTACAGCGAGCAGCGCTTTCTTCCGACTGCCCTTGACGCTCGACCTCGTCGCGCTGCCGCAGGAAACGTACTTTATTGACCGGGAGAAGGCGCTCATCTCGGCGTCGCTGGCCGCGTACCAGATGGCCAAGGTCGCCGAGCACGTGCGTATCCATTTGCATACGTTGCAGCCACACGTGCTCTGCGCCCACGGGCTCGCCGACGCCTTTGACACGAGTGCGTTCGCGGCGCTTGGGCCCAATGCGCGCCGTGCGATCCTCCCGTTCGTGGCACCCCGCATGCTCTCGAACGTCCCGATTCCCGCCGACATGGTGCGGCTCCTTGGCGTGCTCAAGGCGCATTTCGGGCGCACGGTGGCTCTGGGCAACGACGCGATTGAAGTCGTGCTCTTGATTGTGTACAGCTTGTGCTACGTGGAAGAGGTCTCGGTGCACCGCGAGGTAGCAGACGCAATGTGAGGCTGGTACAAACACTGTCTATCTGTAGGCGGTGCACGCATTTCGCGAGCTCATCAAGATGGTGCCCATGGCGTGCCTCCTCGAGTACGTTCTCCCGCTCATCTCGACGCTCAAGAGCAACAGCAAGACGCTGCTGCGTGCGGCGTCGGTCTCGCTCTGGCTCGAGTTTCTCCGGCGTCTTCAAACCCAAGCGATGCTCCTTGATGCCGACGAAGACGAACGCATGCCGGGCATCTCGATGGCCGACATGGACCACCTTCGGTGGCGCCACCAAGTGCTCGAGGCGGGTGTGGCCTTTGCCGAGCTCTCGTCCGACTTGGAACCAGCCGTCTCGTGCTCCGCAAGACAGCACTTGACGTCACTCGTCCAAGAGCTTATCGTGCCCGAGCCCTCGGACAGCGTGCATTGGTGCTGGCTCATCCCGCTCGTCGAAGCGCTCTCCAAAGCACTTATGCCTGATGGCCGCCTCGATGCGCTCCACCTCACGTACCAGCTCGCGCCATGGACGTCGCCGGACCAAGCTCACTGGCGCTGGCGCCTCGCGCTTGTCTTTGCGAGCCTTGCCAACGACGGCAACGACCTCATTCGCAAGGTCGCGGCCCAAAAGTTTGTATCGTTTGTCGAGTACCTCCAGATCCAGGTACGACATTTGATACCTGGTGCCCCAGTGTTCGACGGATATCGGTATTAGGACTTGTCGGCCTTGTACGATGCGACCACGATCACGAATGCGCCACTGAGTCCGCAAAACTCGCTTCTCGAAATGTCCGACATTCGGTACACGGAGCGCGCGCTCAGCGTGGCCAAGGAGCCCAAAAAGAAAGCCGACGACGACGACCGACCGCGCGGCTTGTCGGCCATTTCGTGGCTCGGGTCGGCGAGCATCGACAGTGACGGCTCGGACTTGCGGCGGCGCTGCATGAGCCTCGACAGTTTGCACCAGATCACGGCCGGCGACAGCACGCACCACGTGCTCTTTGCTCTCATCGACGGCTACATGAACCTCATGCATGTACGCTCCTCCTGCTTCAAGACGCACGTCGATGGTGGGGCGTAGGATGCGCCGACCGAGATCAAGAAGATCGTGTGCCGCAACGTCGGCCGCGTCGCCGAGCTCTTTGGCCACGAAATCCTCATCAAGTTTCTCGTGCCGACGATCCAAGATGTGATCGCGATGGACATGGACGACTGCAAATGCCACGGCAGCAGCGCCGTGTACGACTCGATCCACCACGTACGTCGACACGCATGACGTCGGCCGCGTCATCACCTCTAGATTTTGACGCGGGAGCTCTGTCGGCTGTCGCCACTGTTTGTTGACGACCCGGACGGACTCGCTTGCGACGTGCTTCCGTTCCTTATTGGTATCCTCACCCACCCGACCCAGCACACGCACGTACGATCGCACTCGCACAACCGCCTCTGCTACCTCTATGATATGCATAGGTTGTGGTCGAGATCCTCGAAAACCTCGACTACTTGGGCTTTGTACGCTGCGTCCCATGTTTTCTCGGGGGCTGATGCAACAATGCTGCATTAGGCGCTCGGCAAAGCCACGTTTCTCGCCGAGCTCGGACCTGTTCTCTGCCATGCGATGGAGAACGGCGAGTGGAAGGTGCGCGTGGCAGTCGCATACAACCTTGGCCCGCTCGCGCGCTGGCTCGGCGCGTCCATCTTTATGCAGCACTTTCAAAAACTCGTCGAGACGCTCTCGCAAGACCTCGTGTACCAAGTGCGCAACCTGGCGCTGCAGCCACTCCAGCTGCTCGTGGAGCAGGACGGTCCGTGGCGCGCGTACGCCCTCGGCTTTGTCTCGTCCGTGCTCGTGGCGCATGCCAACTATCAAATGCGCGTCGGCACCCTCTTGTGGTTTGCGGTGCGTACTTGCATGTGGTTGTGGCGGTTGCCTCATCAAGGTGTCGTAGGCCGTGCGGGAGCATCTCGACGCCGACAACCAAGCCACGTACGTTGTACCGGCGATTGAAGTGCTGGCAAAGGACCCGGTCGCCAATGTCCGCGTCGTATGCGCGCGGGAGCTGCACACGCTGGCGCTACCGGCGGACGTTCTTGCGTCGGTCGTCGCCACCTTTAGCGCCGATGCCGACATGGACGTGCAGTTCTTCGCCAAGGACACGTAGAGGGCCGCGATACCATGTTGTCATATATTTGAACGTCATCTAGCGTGTTCGGGATGGGGCAATCGATGGCGCGGGCCAAATGCACGACAACGACTCTACCACTTGGTCAACTTGTTGCGCTCATCGCCCAACTTGCGGACTTCCTCGACCTTGTCGTCCAAATAAAAGTTCATCGGCTCCTGGATGGCCTGGATGTCCTCCGGGAGGTACGCGCGCTTGAAGCTCAAGTCGGACGCACGGACGAGGCGGCGCTGGCGCGCGACCTTCTCTTCCTTGCCGAGCCACGAGACAGCCTTGTTGACCTCGGCGACCTCGACGAGCGCGTCGTCGTAGCGCAGGCCGAGCTGGCGCAGGCTCTTGCCGACCTGGCGCTGGTACAACTTGGCGAGGGCTCCGATCATGTTATTTCGAGGTTGGACAGTCAGTCGGGTTCTGAGGGCGCCCGTGCCAGCCACCAAACGAGAAATTCCCCCCACTTTTGGCCAATCACAACGCGCGATGCCCGCAACCTGCCGCTTTTTATAGCATCGGCGGCGTTCCGGCCTCTCAAAACCCATACATGCGTCTCGTGTCTTTGTGATGTTTAAAACACTGCGCCAGGAGACAAGATAGAATGCCCAAGACACTGAGCTGGCCAACGGTCGTGGGCCGTGTTTAAAACAGATTTTAAACACAAAATAGGAAGGTCCCGAAAGGTTGCCCTTGACGACAAGGTTACGTGAGGCGGATGCAGACTGGCGCCATCGGTAGCGTCTGCATGACCTTGCGCAGACGCAGGTCGCCGACGAAATGCTTTGCGAGCGGAAGCAACGTCGTTGCAGCGACGTCCTCCCAGGTGCGCGTGGGCAGCACGAGCTTTGTAAACGTCCCGGATGCATGGCGCCGGCGAATGTTGTCGACCATCTCTACACACAAAGCGGCTTGTTTCTTGTTATGGTCGATATAGCTCAACGTACCGCTCGATGTCTTGCCGGCACCGCATTCCGTGGATTCGCGCTGTCCGTTGAACGTGTACACGCTGTGCACGTACATGCCGACGTCGCTAGGCAATTGGCCCTGCACGGGCGTCGCGATTGCGAGGTGCCCAGGAGGATGCGCTGCGTGCAACACGGCAAAGCCAACGTTCGCCTTCATGGCTGCGTTCAATACGGGCGGCAACTCGGCAAGTAGGTAGTACCCCGGCCTACTCGGATCACTTCAATGTGATAAGCTGAAGTTGCACGGTACACTGCAGTCGAGAAGGCACTCTTGGCCAAGGCTGCATCCACTTGCATGCACTCGAGCTCGTCTGGCAGCTCGGCTTCACTCACGATGCGCAGACTGGCCTCCCATCGGGCGCAGTAGGCCTCGATAGCCACGTCGTCGTTGGGTGGCGCCGGTGTCGGATGGGTAAGAAGTTTTCGGCGCTTGCGCTCTTGCACAGCGTCTTCGTCTTCATCGCTCTCTGTGTCGCTCTCAAACGACGTCATGGGGCGGACCTTGACGAGTGCTACGATGCATGAGCCCATTGCTGTGAGAGCTAGGCGACGTACTGGGAAAGCAGTCTTGGACGTGCGACACCAACCGCAGCACAGGTACCCCGGACGCCACAAGCGACGGCATTTTGGAGCCGGGCAGTCGCAGCATAAGCAGCGTGTCAGCGTCCGGGCTGTGGTTGGGGAAGGCGTAGCATGAGAGCTGCGCGTTTCCTTCGTTGTCCGGGACGAGGCCGGATAGGCTCGCACCGTTGGTCAAGCTAATGTAGAGATGCTTATGTATGGACGACAGTCAGCATCGAGGGCCGTCGCACCAGGTATCGGTCCATGCCGCCTCGCCGTCGTATCGGCGCAACGCCAGCATCATCGTCGAGTCCGCCATCGCACGCTTGACGTGATTGGGGGATTTATAGGAAAGTCCGCGAATCAGCGCGTGCGTGTATGGTTCGAAGCCGCCATTTCAACCAATCCATTCGGTCGCGGGAGGCCCTTGGAGTCCCTTGGAGTTGAAGCAACCGCAACGCGACACAATCCTCATTAAGATGCTCTTCGTTGGCAAGACAAACTAGATCTTGGTTCGCGATCAACGACCTATTGCTAGTCGCATCTACCGGCGCTCCTTGAAGTTTTTGAGTTCCGAGAGGCGGACGTAGCGGTGATAAATGATGGGGTTGAGCTGGCTCAGACGGTCGGGGTTCTGTGCAAAGCACACAAAGAGCGTCTTGACCGCAGTATTGAGCATCGCGGTTGCAGTCGAGCTCACCGAGTAGCCAACGACGAAGCTGAGCACGGTGCCGTACACTTGCAAGTGGGAGCCAAAGAGGACGAGACTGGCGAGCGTGCCCATGCAGCCGGCGCCACTGTTGGCAGCAAACAAGAGGAGACGGCTCGTCAAGTCGTCGTCGACCATGGCCTCGATACCGCATTCCTCAAAGAGGCTCCAGACCTCCGCAGCGGCCACGTAAAACGACTGCGAGTACGCCGCGACGTAGCTCAGCGTGTACTTGTGGTAGAGCTGCGTGAACGCATCGATGCGCGGTGCCAGCGGCAGCACGACGCCGCGAAGCCAGCGGTACGAGCCGTCGCGCTTCGCCATGCGCAACACGGTCCAAAAAAAGTGAGCGATGGGACTGCAAAGCGCGCCAAGGCAGACCGAGCCAAAGACCGACGTCATGGCCACGCGCGTGTAGTGCAAGACAATTGTGTTGGCAGATGGCGCGTTGTTCGTCTTGGGCTCCATCTCGATCGATGCCGTTCGAAGCGACGACCGAGGCGACGTGAGCACCATGGGCACGGTGGGCGACTCGGGCTGGTCGTCACCCCAGTGGTGGTACCAGTACATGACCGTGCCGGACACCACGACAGAGATGAGCGTCTTAAAGAAGTGCGACGTCCAGTAAAAGTGGAACAGTAGCCAAAGGAGGCCGATGGACCAGCCGTCGTCCTCGCCGACGTTCGAGAGAAGCTGGCAGCACCAATACGACCACATGCTTGAAACGAGGAGGATCACGCCCGAGACAGCGATCACGGCTGGTGACGCTTGCAGCATTTCGGCCACGAGCTCAAAGACGACGGCGACAAAGTCGAAGCCGAGCTTGTTCTTGCGCGTCCAAATAAAGTCCGAGAACGCGAGCGCAAGCACGCCAAGGCTCACAAAGAAGCCGGTCCACGTCGGGCTCACAAGGAGGACCAGCGCCATGGGCGCCATGCCGGCGAACGAAAGCGTCGTGGAGACGCGGATGTAGAGGTCTTTCGGCGCGGCAAAGAAGAACGCCACCCAGATGAGGCCGTAGATCGTGCCGACGATGACCATGGCGCCAATGTACGGGACACCGTCGGGCCGCGGTTGCGAGTACGTAGGGCTCGCGACGACCAGAATCATCGTGATGAGGCACTGCATGCCAAAGAGCGCGCCGTACATGACGTCCTTGTTCATTGGGCGCAGCGTCAGCACCGGCGGCGGCTTTACCGTCCTCTTCACTGAGCTCGAGTCCAATGGTATGAGCGACTGCAGGTCCCTTGTCGGCGACAGCGTGAGGTCTTCCATCTCGGCTTCGGTCGGGACCGACACGTCGTGCTCGACCTCGGGCAGCATCTCGTCGGGCTACGAGCGTTGTTTGGATTGGCTAAAATTCTATATCCGGATACTGTCAATATGCCGGATAGACAAGCGACAGCGCAGAGATGCTCGCGATACCGCGCGCGCCTGCGTCCATGCGCGGCGCGTCCTGGTTGCCAACGAGACCATCACTGACAACGCACGCAAGACTGTAGGTCCTTTTTATGCGATTGGAAGCGACTGGCGCAGAGTCGCCGCGCGGACGTCCGGGACGATGGCCCGTCTACAAGTTCTCGATTGCAACAGAGTCTCGCGAATGTGACCGAAGCCGCGTCAAAGGATTAGGCGCTATGGCCTACGAGCTTGGCCTACGTGCGTCATCACTTGGTGATAAGCGGCAGTTTCTCGCAGCGTTTCGCTGTTCCTGGTGGCTCTAATAACCGCCGGCAGGAGAGGACAACCGACTTCATGCAACGACGCTGCCACGTCGCTCCTGCCTACGTCCCGCGTGCGAGCATGTGAAACAGCAATCCGTGGTATAGGTTCCTATATATTGAGCAGCAAGAACTGGTTGCGGCGTCAGCGTTTGCAGTCGGGGCGATGATGGGCCGGCCGCCATCAACGGATCTTTCCTGGCGACTGGCCTCGATAATTTAATTATCAAGTCGAATAAAAATCGTGGTCCATGACGCCAGCGTTCTATGACCATCGTCTGTCAATTAAATGAAGGCATAGGATAAAAATATCGACGATCCGAATGACGGTCGCCCATCATTCTCGGCTGGGCCGCGAGAACCAGGTAACGACCAATCAGCGTCGCGGTCGACACTGTATCGACCAATCATAGGTGACCACTCTCCGACGTTTTGCTTGGCCGGTGAATTTTCTCACATCTGGAAGTCGCCCGAAAGCCCGTAAGTCGATGGCATATTCGCGATCCCAGCCTAGCCGACATGTCCGTAGGTCTCATGTACCACCACCGCAGCCGCGCCGCCACGCACAAGGGCGCTACGTCCCACTACCACATGAAGTACTCGGCCATGGAGCTCGAGGACGAGCTCATGGACAGCTACGCCTGCAACTACAACTTCGACCATGGCCACGCCGCGAGCCACCGCCAGGTTCAGACGTCGGCGACGGCAAGCGACGCGACTGCTGACTTGCAGATGCTCGTCACAGCGTTCCCAGAGGTCGATGCGGCGATCGTTCAAGACATCTTCATTGCCAAAAACTACGACGTTTGCAGCACTGCTGAAGCCTTGAGCGGTCTCATGGCCCCGGCGCCGGTCGTTACTGCCCCGTCCGACACGGACGACGACGACGACCAGTGGAGCTTTCACGACGATGCTGAAGACACTGCTTCCGTTGGCTCTCTTGACTGGGTCGTCGTGCAAGACGATTGGGATGTGGCTGACGACGGCGGCGCGCACCCCTCTTGTCGCTCGTACAGTGACGTGCTCGTCGCGCCGTTCGCTGGGCAAGGTGTCCCATTTGAGTTCTTTCCGCCGGCCAAGGCGTTGCGTGACGACGCGCCTGTCGTCACCACCCACAGCAGCAACATCGAGAAGGATGCATTCCAAGAAGTCAACGACTACTACAGCATCAAAGAGTATGGCCAGCGCCGCGCCCACCACGACCGTCTCCACCCCCGCAAGACCAAGGCCGCTAAAGCGCCATCGACGAAGAAGGGCAAGTAGGCCACCACCAGCCACCACCTGCCTGCGTGTACACTACGGTACTTAATATTTATTATGTGTACGTGTGTACACATACTCGACCGATGCCTCTTCAACTAATTCCAACTAATTCATAACTAATTTGAACATCAAATGCATGCTTCATTCTCTCCAACGGCCATTGCCAAGTACCGTCAATGATCAATGACCTCGACTTGTGTGATCGAGACCGAAAATCATTCGGAGCAGAAGACTCCAGTCGACGCAGAACGCCAATCTCAAGGCCCATTCTACCAGTACGGGTAGTATGATGAGGGCGTAGGCTACGCCCTCGTCGCAGTGTGTTGGGCTAATGTAGCTGTAGTTGGGACCCCGTAGACGATAGTGCGTGGTGTGTAGTACGGCCTGACGTCGCCTGCTCGGCCCTCACACGCTCAACGAGGCAATGACGGTGGCAGCGAGTCAACGACTCGTGTGCCCGGCTACGCTATGCTTTGGATGAGTGCGGTGGGCAGGAAGAAGACGAGGCGAATCATAAATACACGAGTGTATGCTGAGAGAATCATCATTCTATTGAGTACAATGACATCGCACTAGATCGCTTATTCCTCATCGGCTTCCTCATCCTTGTTGTTGTGGATGTTGAAGTAGCGGAGCTCGTACGTCGACTTGTCCGAGGCAATGACGTGGAGGTAGTCGCGGAGCTGCTGCTTCTTCAAGTACTTCTTGGTGAGGTACTTGAGGTAGCGCTTCGAGAACGGCGCGACGGCGGCGATGTGGAGCTTGGTCTTCTCACGCGAGATCGTGACGACGTCGCCGAGGACACCGGTCTTGCCGTTGACCTTGATGCGGTCGTGGAGGAACTTCTCGAACGAAGCCACGTCCAAGACCTGGTCCTCGACGGGCGTCGAGCAGTCGATCGTGAACTTGAGCAAGTTCTTCTTGCCAGTCTTGGGGGCGGTCTTGGTCTAAGACACACCAACGTCACAACCACGTTCATCGCACAAGGCGCCCGTCGCGTTGCATGCAGCATCCCAGTATCATCCCTCGGACCTCCTCTTCCCACCCTTCCATCACTCCGTGGCTACGAAGATGAGGAGGACTGGCGAAGAAGCCCGAGCAGAGAAGAGGACTCTGCAGCTAGCTCCGTTCGTCGTCATGAATAAGCACTTACAGCAGGGGCCATGTTTGATCTCAACAGCAAAGTTTGATAATAATCGCCTTCAGCAACGCTGCGCAGTCGGCACGCGCTATTGGCCACCCAACGCCGTCCCCTACACCTACGTATACAAACCCGCTGCTTGCAGGCTTCGACGGCATTTGATTGGCTATAGTACATTATTTTGAACATTCGGATATACTGTGAGGTCGGGCGGCCCCCCGAGAGGCTGCTAGCAGCGTGGTGCGGGTATCCCATCCTTGTTTTGACAATGGACGAGCGCACGATGAATCGGTTGTCGGATCCAGGGCACTGCCGAGTCAAGTAGAGGCGTACTAGCATTGACGAGTGAAGATTCAGTGGGTCGTCCATTCACCGAGCATGCTTGGCAGGTTGGACGTGGGATTGCGCCGACTACCGTGCACGGACAGTAGATCGTTGCTTGGTACTTGCTGTGTGGCGCTTGCAGTGTGTTCTAAAGCAGCGAGAGCATCGGAGGCAGAATTGCGCGCAATCTTGTGAAATAGTGTACGCTAAGACTATTTGCGTATGCTCCTAATTAGGATGCCAGACTGGTGGCGGGAAGTGGGTGCTGAAATTCGGATAATCCGAAATCGAGATGATTGGATAGGGGCTAGTGCTGTATGGTTATCCGGATCGGCCAGCCCTTGCGCATGAGCGCTCAAAATCTTGTTTCCGGGCTCGTATTACCTTAATTTGATTCAAGAAGATGCGTTACGTTGCTGCATATTTGTTGGTTGCGCTCTCGGGCAAGGACGAAGTCACGGCCGCCGATGTCAAGAACGTCTTGACCAAGGCCGGCGTTGAGATCGACGCTGCCCGCCTCGCCAAGCTCTTCGAAGACGTCGCCGACAAGAGCATCGACGAGATCATCGCCGCCGGCTCGAAGAAGCTCGCCTCGTTCGGTGGTGCCGCCCCGGCTGCCGCTGCTGCCCCCGCCGCTGGTGCCGCCGCTGCTGCCCCGGCCGCCAAGGAAGAGAAGAAGGAAGAAGAAGAGGCTGACCTCGGCGGTGGCATGGACATGTTCGGCGGTGGCTCGGACTACTAAGCATCCAACCCAACCATCAAGCACGCATGACGACCCAAGCGACTCTCACCGGCCACTTGGAATTTAGATAATGCAATGCAGGCAATGTGCCCATCTCATCCTCATTTTCTCTTGCCACGAACCTCCTACTGGATCGAGCACTTCTTGTCCGGCCGCCGCATGTCGGGCGCCGCGACATCCGGGTCGTTCTGGTCGTGGTTGATGATCGTTGCCTTGACAATCGGTGTCGTGATCTCAACTTCGGGGCGTGTCACAATGATGCCGGCGAGGTCGGCTGCAATTTGGAAAAACGTCGAGTTGACCTGGCGTGCGTTGTCATTCATTGACAGCATCTGATCCAACATACCTGGTCGCCCGTCTTGGCCGACATCGTGTAGCTCTTCATGTCGTTTTCATCGGCAAACTGCTTGTGCTTGGCAGCCTTGACCGTCCGTAGGTGGTTCATATCGCCTAGCACGCGCGCATGAGCTCCATCACAATTCGAGTCCTTTGTGTACATTTGTTGCCGCAGAGGCCAATGTAGGGCAGCTTCGAGTCCCCAAATGTGCGCTGCACAAGGCGTAACCAGTCCTCGAGGTTCTGGAAGCTTTCGTAGTTGGTGATGTCATATACGAGGAGGACGGCCTACGAGGAGCCTCGGTTTGGCGCTCCGTGCGTCGACGTGAACGTACGTGGGCGCCAAAAATGTAGTTTTTGAGCATCTTGCCGCCAATGGTTTGGCCACCAATGTCCCAAAGCTGAAGCGCGACTTGAACGTCACCTATGATTTGTCCCTCGCTATGAGTCTTCCTCTGGTGACAGCTGACGGACCTGGCAGGGCAAGACGCTTGAGGTAAAAGTCGAGGCCAATTGTTTGCTTGTAGACGTTGGAGAAGGTGTTCTCGGTGTGGCGCATCGCAATCGATGTCTTCCCGACAGCGCCGTCGCCAAGGATGATGACCTATCGTGTACAGATAGGGTCTTTGCGGGTATGACGGAGGGTGACCTTGAATTGGAGCTGCTCGAGCTCATGCTCACTCGCGTCCTTCTCTTCCGCCATTCTACGTGGTCGTGTAGCCCCTCTTTGTTTCGGCGATCCGTTTCGAACCCAATCCTGGATCTTGGAAACGGTCAAACCTTGGCCCATCAATGGCAGATCCTGCCAATTCGCTAACGTTAGGATGGATCTCGCGCTTCACGAGAACGCATGCCAAGAGTCCTCGATAAAAAGTTGTGCTTGACTCTCACGATACCAGTACACACAGATCTGAGTTGCGACGGAGCAAACGCATCGCGACCGTACAAAGTATGGATTTATTGCTGTTCGGGGTGCTCCTGAGTAGTCAACATACACGGCACCGCCCCCATGAGCAAACGCAGGACAGTCATCAAATGGCAATGACCTTCGGAGCGGGCACTTTACCGGTACACTGAAGTCACTCGATTAAAAGGTAGTATGGACGTCGCACAGCGTGCGATTCACCAGCGTGATGAGCGTCAGACACCCAGCTTTTGACTCCTCCCTACAAGATGCATCCTTTTCTTGCATTTGCTTCGGAGCAAGACCAAGCGCAATCGGCACGTCAAAGTCGTCGATCAAAGCAAATCGGATCTGCGCGAGCGACTGCGACAACTTCAACATGAATATAATGACTCGTGTTACAAATATCAAGTCAGTATTCGGCTTTTTATTTTATCAATGGTCGCTCGATGTTGAAGTTGCCGTTATCAAACCTGGGCGACGTTCCGCCCAAGGGCTGCTACAAAATCGACTGCTGCTGACGTCAAAATGCATTCTATTCTCATGCAAACTACCCCGTCGCGCGCTCTCGGGGATGAAGTCACCACTGGGCTCGTTGCTGTCATGCAGTCTCCTCTACCGACGTACCATGTACTAGTACCAGCACACTACGAGTAACGTCGAAGGCTGCTTGAGTTGGCGGTAACTTGTGCAAGAGGCTCCGCCGCACACCTGGAGGAGCGCGAGTCCTTGCGAATCTCTGTTCGCCTTCCCCAGGCTGCGTTCCTATGGCGATGGGCCGAATGACCATCCTGCCCAACCGTGCCACGTCACGCATTCGCAACCCATTTTGAATTCGGCCTTTTTTCGTGCACGCTGCCGCCGACCAGCAAGGCCTCGCACAAAATGCAGGACCGAGGACTGGTGGTCACAGCGCGGCCATGGATAAAATAAAGTGTTTTCACACAGCGAATGCATCATGCTCCCACTGGCCGCGCCCCCCACATCACTTCGAATCTGTCTCGAGTGGCAAGATTTGGCACTGGCAAAGCAGTTTGTCTGCGCGACGTGGCATTGCTCACGGGTGTCTCTGAGTCGTCTTTAGCAGCGCGAACCGAGCTTTCCACGGAACCTTCCTCCAACGTCGCAATGCCAAGCACTCGTGTGGCTTCTTCCGCCGCGCTCTTTGAGACTCGTACGACACCACGTCCACGTCCTCGCACAGAGACAAAGGCGCCAAGCTGCTATCATCCTGCCATCACCCTGCATAAAATCGGCGGCGACGAAGCATTTAAATAATGCATGGGCGTGTCGCAGGGGCGTGTGACGCCACGATTCTTTGGCGGTGTGCCATTGAAGAAATGGGATTCTCGTCGCTTGATTGGCTGAAAATCGGACCCAAAGTCAGCGAATCGCAAGCATCGGATCCTAGGCGAGCCGACTGTGGGGCTGATCTTCGTCAGTTGCCAATTTCCCTCGTCGAGCGTTTAGCATGAGCGGATTCGCTGCGTTTGAAGCCAAGATGGAGGCCGCCGGCCTCAGCCAGGCCGCGATCAAGGCCTTCGAGTACTCGTACGCGTCGCTCCTCAGCGGCGACTCGGGCACGATGCCCGAGACGTCGATCGAGAACGTCGCCGACCTTACGTACCTCGAGGGCCGCCCGGGCTCGATCCGCGAGTCGATCAAGGCCGATGCGAGCCTCCTCCAGAAGACGGTCGTGCTCAAGCTCAACGGCGGCCTTGGCACGAGCATGGGCCTCGACAAGGTCAAGAGCCTCCTCAACATCAAGGGCAGCGACAACTTTCTCGACATGACGGCCAAGCAGATCATTGAGATGCGCAAGAAGTACAACTCGAACGTGCGCTTCATCTTGATGAACAGCTTCAGCACGAGCGCCGACACGCTCGACTATTTGCAAAAGTATCCCGAGATTGTGAGCGACGTCGACCTTGAGCTCCTCCAGAACAAGGTGCCCAAGATTGACGTCACGACGATGCAGCCCGCTGAGTGGAAGCTCAACCCGTCCAAGGAATGGTGCCCGCCCGGCCACGGCGATCTCTACCCGTCGCTCCTCGGCTCGGGCAAGCTCGACAAGCTCCTCGCCCAAGGCTACAAGTACATGTTTGTCTCCAACTCGGACAACCTCGGCGCGACGCTCGACTTGGAGCTCCTCACGCACTTTGCGCAGTTGGACACGTCGTTCATGATGGAGTGCTGCGAGCGCACGGAGAACGACAAGAAGGGCGGCCACCTCGCCAAGCGTGTCTCGGATGGCCACCTCGTCTTGCGCGAGTCGGCGCAGTGCGACCCGGCCGACGAAGCCGAGTTCCAGAACATTGCCAAGCACCGCTACTTCAACACGAACAACTTGTGGATCCGCTTGGACAAGCTTGCGGAAGAGCTCCACCGCCAGGGCGGCCTCATCAAGCTCCCGATGATCCGCAACTCGAAGACGGTCGACCCCAAGGACGGCGACTCGCCGGCGGTCTTCCAGCTCGAGACGGCCATGGGCGCCGCCATTGAATGCTTTGACAACTCCACGGCGGTGTGCGTGCCCCGCACGCGCTTTGCGCCCGTCAAGAAGTGCGATGACTTGCTCTTGCTTCGCTCGGATGCGTACGTGGTCACGGACGACTACCGCCTCGTCTTGGCCCCCGAGCGCAACGGCAACGCGACCGTCATGGGCCTCGATGGCAAGAAGTTCAAGCTCGTCCAGCAGCTTGAGGCCGCGCTCCGTGGCAACGTCCCGTCGCTCATCAACTGCAACCGCCTCAAGATTACGGGCGATGTCGGCTTTGCGCCCGATGTTGTCTTTGAAGGTGACATTGCGATCGTCAACAACAGCAAGGAGCAAAAGACGGTGCTCAGCGGCACGTATCGCGACCAGACGATCGACTTGACGAGCCAGCCCGGCCTCGGCAAGCTCAAGGCGTCGGTCGTCTCGACGGCCCCGATCGAAGGCCAGAAGCCCGGCACATCGGGTCTCCGCAAGAAGACCAAGGCGTTTATGGCCGAGCACTACCTCAACAACTTTGTCCAGTCGACGTTTGACGCGCTTCCGTCCAAGGACCTCCACGGCGGCACCCTCGTCGTCTCGGGCGACGGCCGCTACTTCAACAAGGAGGCGATCCAGACGATCATCAAGATGGCGGTCGCCTCGGGCGTTGACCGCGTCTGGGTCGGCCAGAACGGTCTTCTTTCGACGCCGGCCGTGTCGGCGGTCATTCGCGAGCGCGAAGGCGGCGCAGTTGCGTTTGGCGCCTTCATCTTGACGGCGAGCCACAACCCGGGTGGCATTGACGAGGACTTTGGCATCAAGTACAACTGCGAGAACGGCGGCCCGGCCCCCGAGAAGCTCACGGACGAGATCTTCAACAACACCAAGGTCATTGCGTCGTACAAGATTGCCTCGAACTTTCCCAATGTGGATGTCTCGCGCGTCGGCGCCACGTGCGTCAAGTCGGACGATGGCAGCCGCACGGTGGTCGTCGAGGTCTTTGACGCGGCCGAGGACCACGTCGACTTGCTCAAGACCATCTTTGACTTCAAGGCCATCAAGGATCTGATTGCGCGCGACGACTTTTCGTTTGTGTACGACTGCATGAGCGGCGTCCAGGGCCCGTACGCCCACCGCGTGTTTGTCGACGAGCTCGGCGCGCCCGAGTCGAGCCTCCTCAACGCGGTGTCGAAGGAGGACTTTGGCGGCCACCACGCCGACCCGAACCTTACGTACGCGCACGAGCTCACGCACATTATGGGCGTCGACCCCAAGGGATCGGCGATCCACGGCCAGGCGCACAAGGTGCCGGCGTTTGGCGCGGCCTGCGACGGCGACGCTGACCGCAACATGATTCTCGGCTCGCGTTTCTTTGTGACGCCGTCCGACTCGCTCGCGGTCATTGCGGCCAACGCCAACGTGATCCCGTTCTTCCGCAAGAAGGGCGGTCTCCGCGGCGTCGCGCGCTCGATGCCGACGTCGGGCGCCGTCGACTTGGTGGCCAAGAAGCTCGGCATTTCGCTCTTTGAAGTGCCGACGGGCTGGAAGTTTTTCGGCAACCTCATGGACTCGAAGGAGGTGTACGGCAAGGAAGACTACACGCCGTTCATTTGCGGCGAGGAGAGCTTTGGTACGGGCTCCAACCACATTCGCGAGAAGGACGGCATGTGGGCCGTCCTCGCGTGGCTCTCGATCCTCGCGGCCAAGAACACACCGGGCGCGCCGCTCGTCTCGGTCGAGGACATTGTCGTCAACCACTGGAAGACGTATGGCCGCAACTACTATTGCCGCTACGACTATGAAGGCGTCGACAAGGCGCAGGCCGAGAAGATGATGGCGGCCATGGTGGCCACCAACAAGGCTGGCGAGAGCCTGAACGGCTTTACGCTCGCGACCAACGACGAGTTTACGTACCACGACCCCGTCGACGGCAGCATCTCGCGCAACCAGGGCATCCGCTTTATCTTTACGGACGGCTCGCGCGTCATCTTCCGCCTCTCGGGCACGGGTGTCGCCGGTGCGACCGTCCGCATGTACATTGAAAAGTACGAGCCGGCCTCGGGCAACCTCGCGCAGTCGGCGGCCGACGCGCTCCGTCCGCTGATTGCCGCGGGCTTGACGCTCTCGGCCCTCGAAGCGTACACGGGCCGCAAGGAACCCACCGTGATCACGTAAATCGCGTAAAGCGGTTAAATATATGTTATGCACACGCACACTTCGCATCTCCTAGGCGTCCGTGTCGGAGAGGAACTCGTCGTCGCCAGCGTACACGCCTTGGTCTTGGTCTATCGCTTCATCGGCTTCGTACGACTCGTTGTCGTCCCATGCGCCCTCGGAGCGAGGAGTGTCTGGGAGCAGTGCCTCTTCGGACACTAGCACGTCTGCCGGCGGTGGGTCGGGGGACGCTGCGGGAACGGGTGCTGACACGTGCTCCGTGACGCTGTCGCTACTGCTTCTGGCCGTGTCATGGTTGCTTTGAGTCGTGCCTTGGTTGCTTCTGGCCGTGTCGTCGCTGGTTTCAGCCAGCCCATTCCAGATGATTGCAGTGTCGTTGTCGATATTGGCGTCCGCACGCGCATATCGGGTATCGTCGAGGCTTGCATATGCGTCCAAAGCGCCATGAGAGTGGCTGTCGCGTGACGGTGGAGCGTCAAGAAAGGCTTCTTGCTCCGCGTCGTGGAGTGCCGAGTGCTTCGAGTCCAGCGACAATGGCATGACTCTTGGCGTTGACATGGGAGAGATGGTGCGCGGTGTCGCGTCTCGAGATGCTGATGTTCTGTCTACGCTTGGCGTCTCGGCGCGAGAAGGTGGCTCGTCGATGCGAGGCCGTTCCAGGTTCCAACTGACAACTTGAGCCAGTGGCGGCGCATCGAGGTCTTGACTTTGTTCGTCGTGGGTCTCACTGGTGCGACCCGAATGCGGTCGTTGGACTGCGCAGCCGTCGTTGAAGAAGAGCACGTCGTCGTCCTGCTTGGTGGTGCGCGCCTTACTTTTGGCAGACGATGCTCGCTCTTCTGGAATCGGCGCGGGCTTGGCGCGCGGTCGCAGCGGGCTCTTGGTTGACGTTTTGCTCTACGTCGCCATGTAGAAACGTGTTGTCGGACGTTGGTGTACCGAGACCGGTGGCACCATCTTGGTCGACGGCTTGCGTAGCGTGACCGACTTGCGTGCCTCGGTGGGATCCCACGGCTGCGACCGTTGGCTCAGCGAGTCGCGTCGCTTGACCGAGAGGTAGTTGATGACGTTGAGCGTCGTCGGGTCCTCCGTCTTGGGCAGCGCGAGTTTGTACACCACGACAAAGTCATTCTCGAGGTCGTCGTCGTTCGGTTGCTCTCGCCGCTCGCGCGTTGAGCGCTGTTCCTACGTCGACGCAACACGCTCCATCGACCGTGCATTGCGCCTTTGTCGTTGACGTACATGCACGAGATCGCGGTGCTCTTGAAGCCGCGCGGCGAGCCGAGCCGCGAGCTTGGACCGCGCTGGTGCCTCGGGCACTGGCTTTGGTGCTGGCTGTAGCGCCTCAAACTCCATAAAGTGCGCAAATGGATCGGGCTGCTCGAGTATCGGCGGCGGAACTTCAACGATAGCCACATGCGGTGCTGGCTCGGGCATCGCGTACAGCTCTCGCAGCAACGAGAGGTCGCCATCGCGAAGTCGCGCTTGCTTGACACTTTGCTTGACGTGGTGGCACTTGAGCTAGACAGAGCCATGCAGCGACCTTGCTGTTGCAAGGGAGAACCGTACCGCCACGTTGACGTACGGGTATACGTGCAAGAGAAGGACAACGTGGGCAATGTCGTGGAGACTCACACTATGCAGCTTGAGCTGGTCGATGGACCGGATCGCTTGCGAGCTTGGATGCACGAGCTCGTGGACTGCGGCGACGTTGTGTACCCACATGCGTAGCGCGGCCCCAACGACGGACCGTCGTTCGATCGCGGCCATCGAAAACGTGGCTTGGCCGCAATGCAAATAAAGCAGTGCGAGCGACCTACGTACACCCACGAGCAAACTGTTAGCTGCCATTTGAAATCAAACGAAAAGACCGAGGGTCGAGGTCCGCGATCGTGACGGCTTGGAGCGTCTCGACGAGCGAGTCTTGAAAGACGCTTCGCACAATCGTCCATGGCAGCCAGCGCCAGCGGTCCACGAGCTGGACCGTCGACGGCGTCTCGAGCGCGACAATCTTGTAGAGCACCGAGGCAAGAATGTAAATCTCGGGCGTGGGTTTGACCCAGAAGCGCAGTTGCTGGAGCGAGTCGGCACGGTACGCGCTCTGGCTGTGCAGCTGGGTCATGTAGCGCTGGCTTTCCATCGTAGCCCTAAGACACTTTGGGTACAACCGTAGTAGACATAATGGGAATGTATACTGGTGGCTCTCAATCTCGGGGGTCGCCGAGAGCGAAGCAACGAGGTTGTCCATGCGCGTCGCAATCTCATCTTGGTTTGCAATATATGCGACGGGCAAGCTAGATAGCCGCGTGGATGCCCAGCGGCGATAAGAAGGCACTCACCTCGGGTGGAGAAACACGGGCGGCGACTTCTTCTTGCGCTTCTTCATGGACGGCGTTGCAGCGCGGCGCTTGGCGGTGAGGAGCTTGACACGCTCGATGGCCTCGAGGTGGCTCTGAACGTTCGCCAGCCGAATGGTTTCGACCTGCTTGACGAGCTCGCGTTGGGCCGCTTGGTCTCTCTACGCGCTGCCTCGCATCATGAACCACGCAGGCAATCAAGGGTACGGCGAGTGCTTCGCTTCGGGCTGCACGCTCTTGCGATTTGACGCGCTTCCATTCGTCAAACGACGCTTCACTCTACGCGTTTTTGAGTTGAGTCGAGCACATGTCGCAACAACCTGCGCTTTGAGCTTGGCTTTTTTGAGCTCGGCTTGCTCGGCCTCGCGCACCTTGGCGCGTTCCTTGGCCTTCTCTTCTCTAATGCGCTCGTTCTTCTCGTCGCACCATGCGCGCCAGCACGCCTAATGATATCTCGTTCGAGAACAGGTCGTCGCGAATGCCGACCTCGCCGTCGTCGAGCTTCTTCTTGCGCATGCGTGTTTCGTCGTCCTTGGAGACCGAGAGAGGCCGCCTGCATAGACACTTGTTATATCGACGACTCCTCACAGGTGCGCGTACAGCTGCTTGGTGCTTACGCCTTTCCGGAGACGCGGCGCCTCGCCCGCCGACGTTCGTGGCCGGAGGTCCTATGCAGAGCGAGCGTATTCATCAACCTGCGGCTAGCTTTGGAGCGTACAGGCTGGCTCTGAGCCACCATGAGGTCGCGCTCCAGGCTCGAGAGCCACACCGCGTTCATCGGGTCGGTAACTTCGAACTTCGCCGGTTCACGCGGAAACGGTTGCAGAACGGGCAGTTCGGGATGCAAGAGCCGCCAAAGGAGGACGCGTCGGCGGCGACCGAGCCCGTGGGCCCAGGCCCGCCGCCCGGCGATGATGACGGAGACAACAACAAGGACGACGAGGACGAATCCTACGACTCGTATGACTCGCACGACGAGCTGTCCGATAGAGGAAGCCACAAGCCCCCCAGCGGCGTCGACAAGATTGCGCGAGGGCTCATGCTAAGCGACGATGACGACGACGATGGGCAGCACGTTTCCGCGTACATGAGTCGCCAAGCCGAGCGCGCTGAGGTCACGGGGCTCTCGCCTATGGAAGAGATCAAGCTGGCGCAAGGCGAGCTTGCGGCCAAAGCTGCGCAGTCCGAGACGCACGACGACCACCCCCACGCGCTCCCGCACAAGCGACAGCTCTGGCGTGTCGTCAAGACGTCCGTGCTTCTCAGCTCAACGCAAACGCAAAATCACATCTTGCCGGCAGCCGTCACCGTCGACCAAGAAGTCAAGCGCATCGCAAAAGACTTGGAACACGACGTGGACAAGATGACGGCGGGTGCGTCATAACGAGCCAGAACCGAGGCGAATACCTCGCTTTATGTAGCGCAAGCTCGCAACTTTGTCGAGAGCGTGGCCAAAAGCGAGACCATCATGAAGTCGCGCCAAGACGACAAGACGGCCAAGCGGATCCCGTGGTACCTCATCAACCCCAGCGGCCGCTTTCGAATTCAATGGGACGTGCTCAGCGTCGTGCTCATTATCTGTACGACGTGATGGCCTTCGCTTGGCTCTTGTCGACTCATGGGAAAACTAGATAACGGGTTTTACATTCCGGTGCCTGCAGTCTCAGGTTGCGCATCAACTGAAGCCACATGTTTGTCATGTAGCTCTCGCTTGCGTTTGGGCGAGACAGCGCCTACCCGATCATCACGCAGCTCGACCAGGCGCAATGGGCCTTTAGCCTCCTCTACTTGGCCGACGTCGTACGTCGCTTGCTCAACTCGATGCCCTATCCACAGCGCGTCTCCACTGCTAGATTGTCAACTTTTTCTCAGCCTACGAAACGCGCGGCAAGATTGAGATGCGCTGGCCCGTGATCATTTTCAACTATTTAAGAACCTGGTGCTTTGCGACACTTCCGACGCGCTCGTATGCTATACGTATCATCTAGGTTCCTCGTCGATAGTCTCGCGGCGTTCCCGTTCGACATTGTGTTGTCCCCGTCCGAGGCCTCGACAGGGATGTTTCAAATTCTTCGGCTCCTCAAGCTCTTTCGCATGTTGAGCTTCATGCGCATTCTGCACCGGTAGTTGTATATGCACCGTCCAACACGCGGGCTTGACTCGATTCTAGACTCGAGTATGTGCTTTTGATCCGCTCCAACGTGAGCAGCCTCTTGAAGTTTTGCCTCCTCGTCTTCTTGACGTCCCACTGGTTCAGGTCGATGATCCACAGCGTTCACGTGCGAATGCCAACGCGTTTTGCGTAGCTGCTTCTTCTACTACATCTCGTACGACAACCCCACGGGCTGGGTCAGCAATCAAAAGCTCCAAAACGACACGCTCTATGCGAAATACGGTGCGGTCGCGGCGGTGTTTGTCAAGTCTCATCGTGTCTAGTCAATGCCTTCTACTGGTCCATCATGACCATGTATGGCACTTGTCTTTGAAAATGTGGATGCTGATATTGTCATGTGTATGTAGGACCACAGTTGGCTACGGCGACGGTGCGCTGGCCTTGATGACGCATCGATACGATTCACATCGCTGGGTCTAGTGTGCGCCGGCAACACGCAAGAGCGGGCGTTTGCTATCTTTGCCATGGTCATTGGCGCGTGGATTTTTGCCTACGGCATCACCAACGTACTAAGCTCTACATAGTGTTTGCCTGCGATTCGGCGCGTAGGTGGTCGCCACGGTGGCCAATTTGAACCCAAGCGACACGTGTTTCCAGCGCAAGATGGTAGACAACCACCCTTTTTTATTTTGGAAAAACACCATGTCGTAGGACGTTGTGAACGCGTACATGGACGTACGTCGTACTGTGTTGTCGATGCATATAGACTGTGGACCTAGCGCCGCGATCTTCCCATGATGCTTCGCAGCGAAATTCGCGAATTTCTTCTCAACGCTCGCCTCTCAACCGATAGCAAGCTCAAAAATGTAAGAAATAGGGCTGATACGCATGGGGAATATCCCCTTTTTCCATAGGAAAGCAAGATCCTCGGCGAGCTCTCGGCACTGCTTCGCTCCAAGATTGCGCTCGCTATCAACGACAGCGTTCTCAACAAGATGCCATTCTTCGAAGGCGCCGACCACAATTTTCTCATGGAGCTCGCGCTCTCGATGAAGATGGTGTGCTTCCCGCCCCACGAAGACGTGATCATCGAAGGCGAGATTGGCGAAGAGATGTTTTTCATCTTTCGCGGTGCCGTCGAAGTGCTTCAAAGTGCGCAACAAATCTGCGTCCTTGGTGAACAACAGTACTTTGGTACACACACTCTCGACTTGATACCTTGATAGAATACAACATGTAGGCGAAATGGCGATTCTCAACGCCAACTGCCTTCGCACCGCGACCGTGCGAACACTGTGCTTTAGTGAGCTCCGGATGCTGACGCGCCAAAAGTTTCTCTTGGCGCTCACGCACTTTCCGGCGATGCGCCAGCGGATCGCCCACATTGTACACAGCCGCGATCAGCAGTCGGCGCGCAAGTCCATCTCGCGCGTCCGACCGTCCGTGGCGCCGGGCTCGGTCCTCGAGAAGATGGCCGTGTCGATTGCACGAGAAAGCGGCCTCTTTGATCCGTCGGGCGACGGGAAGATCGTCGGGTCGACGCTCCAGCGCATTTCCCAAATGGACATCAAGACGCAGGAAGTCCAGGACGGCCATTCAAATCTCGAGGCCGTGATCCAGCGCCTCGTCGAAACACAAGACATGCTCGTCGTTGAGCTCGGCCGCCTTGAAGAAAAAATGGAGCAGCGAATAGCACGATAGTGTACAGTTTGGAACACGACCATATTTAGCCGCTGCCTTTTTATATCGGTTTCGCACACAAGCTATTCTGGTTTCGACAAGGAACCGAGCGCTCTAGCAAGGCCAGCTGGCAACAGAGCGCAGACCATGTCGCTGCGCGGACGAAGGAGCTTTTCGTCGCCACCCATGAAACACGACGACGGCGATGATCTGATGTCCGACATGCCACTGCGCACGGTGCGGTCGTTTGACGGAACCCTCACGGGCCTTCCGCCGCTTGGAACGGACGACCTCACGCTCCGACGTGACATTGGCATCCCCATGGACAAGTACGACGAGGAAGACGCCGAGGCAAAGATCGAAGAAGGCATGACGCCATCGCCCGCCAAGGCCTCGGTCGTCCCGTCGGCCTACATGGTTCGGCAGGCGCAGAAGGACCACATCGTCGGGCTCTCGCCCATCGAAGAGCTCAAGATTGTTCAAGGCGAGTTCCAAGCGCGCGCTGCGTCCAAGTACCCACGTCTGAGCCTCTCGTCGCGGCTCTCGTCGCGCTTCTCGACGTCGATCAAGCGGGACGCGCCCCGCATAAAGGAGCGACTTCACGTGCCGTTTCTGGGCCGCAAACGCATCGTGCCCATGCCGCGCGGGAGTGAGGTCTTTCCGGACGCCGAATTTCGCAAGATCAAGCAGACACTCCACAAGGACGTCGAGTCGATGACCCCCGGTACGCCTGTGATAGATCATCGATATATCGATTCACGTGGTGGCGTAGAGCAAGCGCTGAATTTTGTCAACGACGCGGCCAACACGGAGTTTATCTTGCGCAAACAGGCCGTCAAGTCCCAAACGCGGTCCTTGCCGTGGTTCATGCTGCACCCGACGGGCAAGCTGCGCGTTCGCTGGGACGTGGTGACGCTCTTCTTGCTTATTTGTACGAATGGATTGCGTCCAAGGCGGCTCCTATCACTGCGTTAGATACGTCCGTGTACACGCCCATGGCACTGGCGTTCACGGCCAACATTGTGCAGTCGGACTTTTTCCCCATGTTTGATTGGATCGTCGACGGCTTCTTCTGCGTCGATGTGGTGCGTCATAAGATGCGTGCGGGATATTGAGCAACAATATTGTCTGCGTGTAGGGACTCAATTTTATCACGGCCTTTGAAATCAAGGGCATTCTCGAGTCGCGGAGTCGGCACATTGTCGTGCATTATCTTCAGAGCTGGTGCGCGACGCAAAAATCATGGCTAAACGAACGGTGGCCATCGCTGTAGGTTTCTCATTGACGCGGCCAGCGCGTTTCCGTATACGCTCCTACTCGACCATGCGATCGAGAACCCGTCCAAACGACTGCGGCAGATCTTTCAGCTCGCCAAAGTGCTGCGTGTGACGCGTGCGCGCCGCGCGCTACGGCGGTACGTCACAACCTATCTACGATATGTCTGCAGGACATGATGCTGCGTTAGACTCGACTATTCGATTCTCGTGCGGTCGACGATCAGCAGCCTCATCAAGTTCTTCATCCTTGTCATGGTCACCTCCCATTGGTTCAGGTACACGACTCCTCGGATGCCGAGAGGTGATGAGCTTCGCGTCATATCAGCTGCTTCTTCTTTGGCATGTCGAACGGTGACGACACTGGCTGGGTCGCCAAACAAAATCTGAATGCGTCCTCGCTCTACGCGCAATATGGTACCTCCTTGAGAGAGACGGCTTTTGATTATGGCCACACTAGTGAGCTCGTTTTACTGGTCCATCATGACCATGTACGTCGTGTGCCATGTCGAATGACGAGGTGACTCATGACGTTCTTGACGGATAGGACAACGGTTGGATACGGAGACGGTGCGGCTATCTTTTGAGCGAGGCTGCAGTACGATGCCGATCCATGTAGTGACGGGCCAAAACACGAACGAACGCCTCTTCAGTATCTTTGCCATGATCAACGGCGCGTGGATCTTCGCCTACGGCATTACCAACGTATGTTTTGAAAAAACTCCCGTTTCTGCAGTTTCTACGTTAGGTTGTCGCAATGGTGTCCAACCTTAACAGCACCGACACTCAGTTTCAGCAAAAAATGGTACAGATTTATAAAGTATCACTGTATCGGTATGACAATGGACCACCTTTCGTAGGATCGCATCAACGCCTACATGGAGGTATTTAGACCGTTTACAGATCCCATACACGAGCACTCTAGGCGCGGGACTTGCCGTTGGAACTACGCTCGGAAATCCGCGAGTTCTTCTTCAATACGCGCCTCAGTGCCGATAGCAAGCTACGCAACGTACGACGTCGTCTCGCATCAGACGCAGTTGCAAGCTCTATTGTAGGAAAGCAAGATCCTCGGCGAGCTCTCGGCGCTGCTTCGCTCCAAGATTGCGCTCGCTATCAACGACAGCGTTCTCAACAAGATGCCATTCTTCGAAGGCGCCGACCACAATTTTCTCATGGAGCTCGCGCTCTCGATGAAGATGGTGTGCTTCCCGCCCAACGAAGACGTGATCATCGAAGGCGAGATTGGCGAAGAGATGTTTTTCATCTTTCGCGGCGCTGTCGAAGTCGTACAAGGAGGTCGGCAGATTGCTGTCCTCGGCGAACAACAGTACTTTGGTACACCCTCTCGACTTGATACCTTGATAGGATACGGACATGTAGGCGAAATGGCCATTTTGAACCGCAACTGCTTACGCATTGCGACCGTCGTCACGCTCTGCTTTTGTGAACTCCGGATGCTGACGCGGGAAAAGTTTCTCTTGGCACTCACACACTACCCGAGCATGCGCCACCGCATCGCCAAATTCGTCCACAAGCGCAACCAAATGGCCAAATTGGCCAAGGCGAACGGAGACGGCAATCCATCGATGAACCGAAAAGTACGCAAATCTCCAAGCTTTTCTTTGGTGCTAAAGTGCCGGGTAGCGGTCGGTCTCGCGCCTCGATCGCGTCGTTTCAGCGTTTATGGACAAGTCCACCACGTCCCTCACGACTGTGGCGCCCGTACCCCCCGACGAAAACGGTGCTCTTTCTCGATCGAATTCAACGGGCTTAAAGGAACGACTAGACTTGCAATCGGGCTTGGCGGGCAAAGTTACGCCGCCCAGCAGGCAAGGCAGTGCACGGCGCCTGCCTCTTTCTCCCAACCAAGGAGGCAGCACGCGCAACCTCTTCAATACCGTTGGCGGGAGCTCGCGCAATTTGCTCGGTCCCAGCAGTGGTAGCACGCGCAACCTGCTCGGAGGTGGCAGCTCGCGCCACCTCTTGGGTCAAAATAGCGGCAGCACCCGAAATCTACTCGTTCGGACAAGCAACGACAGTACGCGCAACCTGCTGGCGGGCTTGGGCTCGAGCGCCCGCAAACTCGTGCCGGACGCGGACAGCCGCACCAATAGCGTGGCGGACTCGAGCATGAAGAGCCTCGGTGGTGGCTTTGACGCGAGTGCGCGCAACCTCCTCGACCCGACCGAGCGAGATGAGATGTCCACGATGCGCCGTATCACGAGCCTCGACATTATGCACCGCGAGGAGCAGCATATGGTCTCGGTCACCGAGCGCGTGAAGCGCACAATGACGACGGTGACGAGCAACCAAGACACGCTCGTGAATGAGATTGCGCAGCTGCACCAAAAGTTTGGCGCTGCTCAAAAGGAGCACCAAAACACCAAGCACGAGCTGGCGCTGTACAAGGCGATTTACGGTGAAATTGCCCTCGCAATGCAACACGCGCAGAAGCCGTCGGCTGGCTCCCGCCGCAACTCGATCGTCGACAACGTGGCCAAGAGCCTCCAAAAGAACGTGCATGCGGCGTCGCAGCCCGAGCTCTCCAAGCTTGGTCACTCGTCAATCGCGCAGTCGACGATCCAAGGCGTACACTTCAAGGACCTGGGGCACCACGTGCGGCCGGTGGCGCTGCCCCCACCCAAGAAGAAGGCGAGACCGCAGATCACGCGGGCCAAGACGACGATCGAGCTCATGGACCGCGACTTGCCGCTCGACGACGAGTTTGAACGCATCATGAACGACTTACTGCATTAATCCTCAGTAACACAAGTCGCGACGCTCGGACAGTGGCGGACGACGACAGATTGGAATACGGAGAGCGCTCTATTACATCATGTTGTTGCTCTCGTCCGGGATCTTGACGACCATCTTGTCCATGTCCTTTGTGACCTTGACCTGGCAGCCAAGGCGCGACGTGTCGGTCAAGCCCCATGCCAAGTCGAGCATGTCTTCTTCTTCTTCGCAGATCGCGGGCAACGTCGCAAAGATCGTCGGATCAAAGACGCAATGGCACGTCGAGCACGCGAGTTCGCCGCCGCAAGCGCCCTCGAGCTCAATGTCGTTGGCGTGGGCAATGTCCAAGATGGTCTCGCCGACTGCGGTTGTCACATCCTTCTTGGTGCCATCGGCTTCGATAAAGGTAAAGCTGATCTTGTCCGTGGACATGCTACGGGCGCTCCACGGAGCGGCCATCATGGCGCGGGCCGACGGAGCCATGCTCATCTTGCAGGCGCGGGCCATCGGAGCCAAGGCGCGGAGGTGAAGGCGGCCGATCATCGTGGACGTGGAAATTGCAGTGACCTTCCTACCATTGGACGACGTCCTTAATCGAGCACGTCGTCGTTCCGTTTAAAGTCCGGTTCAAGTGCTACATTTCATATGGCGCTTTCTATAATTCCTTAGGTACGACTTGAAGTACGAGCCAATACAAAAGGTAAGACGATCGGAGCGTCTGTACTAAAGCGTACTTGTGCGGGTCGCTGTTCGCGCCCAAATCTCAAGCGATCTTTCATTCCCGAATCCAACTTAGCCAAGAAGACAAGGACGATGAGCGCTGCTATGAAGAAGTACCGCGACGGACCAAGGAGCGATGCTTCATGGATGCTTCGTAGGGAGAAGATCAGCAAGAAGGCTCTGAAGGAGCAGCAGGCCAAGGAAGCCGAGCCGGCCCCCGTCGTCATTGAGCCAGCGATCGTGAGCGACAACGAGGAAGACCATGAGGAAGAAGCGCTCTCCTACGATCGCATCGAGGTCCTCCAAGATGCAGGGATCAACGCCACGGACATTGCCAAGCTCAAGGAAGATGGCTTCGCGACCGTTGGCCAACTCTTCCAAGTCTCCATGAAGCGATTGCTCCAAGTCAAGGGCGTGAGTGAAGCCAAGGCAGAGAAACTCATCCAGGCAGGGCGCAAGGTAACTGGCGCTCTCTCGATGCTCACGCACTCATCTGCGTCTAGATCATTGGCGAACGAAGCGGGTTCATTTCGGCCAGTGCACTCCTCATCAACAACAAGCAGAAATACTTTATCACGACGGGATCCAAGCGTACGACGATTGTTGCCACAAGTGAGAGTATGACCGTGTGATGTAGAGTTCGACATGCTTCTTGGCGGCGGGATCGAGACCATGTCCGTGACCGAGGTATCGTCGTTCCCCATTGACCATACATGCCCAAAGTTCCTGCAGGTCCACGGCGAATTCCGAACGGGAAAGACCCAGTTGTGCCACACGGTATCCAAGCCCGGCAAGGATGAGTGTCTTCTTAGGTTTTGCATTGCAATAGCTCTGTGTGACAGCCCAGCTTCCGCGCTCCCAAGGGGGCGGCGCTGGGAAAGTGGCTATCGTGGACACGGAAGGATCCTTCCGTCCGGTGCGTGAAGACGCGACTTTCGGCTGTGGTCGTTCACACCTCCATTGACAGCAACGAGTGGCCGAGATTGCCAAGACGCGATACGATCTCGATCCGAAGGACGTTTTGGACAATATCATAGTCGCCAGGTAAAAGTCTGGATGAGTTTTGTCAAGTGAACTCATACTGCAATCAACAGAGCGCACAGCCACGACGCGCAGATGGACATGGTCACCAAGCTTGGCGTTCTTTTCGCGGTGCAGTTTGTAAAGTCTATGAAGTCGCCATCTCATAGAGTGGGATGTCAACCAGGATCCTGATCGCGGTCCGTTCCGGCTTCTCATCGTGGACTCGATCACAGCCCTCTTCCGCACGGACTTCTCGGGGCGGTACAACTTTATACCTCAATCGATCGGATCCCGGATTTATGTGCTCACTTCCTTCAGGGGTGAATTAAGCGAGCGCCAACAGCGCTTGAACGTGCACCTGCAGCGACTTGTCAAGCACGCAGAGGTACTCTAGACACATGATGCCAATGTGCTGATTGATGCACAGGAGTTCAACGTCGCCGTGCTCGTCGTGAACCAAGTCATGGCAGATCCGGGTGCTAATGCTATGTTTGGCCCTGTGATCAAGCCCGTCGGTGGACACGTGATTTCCCACGCTTGCCACACCCGTGTCTTGGTAAGCGCCGCACCGCGAACCTCAAGGACGTCATTTTGATGCACTGCATTCCCCATTTTAGATGAAGAAGGGCCGCGGTGACAATCGCATCTGGTACTGTGGTGGCTTTCTCGCGTGTTGTCAACTGAGTGCCATCGATTGCGTAGCAAAGTCATCGACAGTCCGTGCATGCCCGAAGCCGAGTGCACGATTCAACTGACCTCTGGAGGCGTTAGCGACGCGGATGACTAGCCAATCGCTCCATGCACTTTGACATTAGAGTGTCGGCTTGGATAATGCATATCGATTGCATACGCCGTCTTGCGCTCATGCACCTCCGTGCTGCTTGGTCACCGTCATCATGTTGAAGACGCGCAGCAAAAAAGCACCGCGCCCGAATTCCAACACTCGGAAGGGCGTCCTTGTCGTTCTCGAAAAATCGGATACGGTATGCATTAAATATCGCCTCTCCTTCACGATCCAAATTTACTATTTCAGAGCATAGGGAATAAATCAATACAAATGGCAAGGTACGACATATCGGCACAAAATATTTGGCTTTTCCTCACGAAAAAATACGAAGGAAATGCAATGGCTCATTTTTTTGGAAGACGGTCAATTTCTGAAAGCCACAGGCCGTCGACGTTCAAGATGGCCGCGAGATCGTTGCTCCGCATGAGCCTCTGGCAACAGTCGCTCAACCGGCTGCCGCATGCGTCACAGAACACGCTCATGACATCCGAGCACCACCTCGGCGCAAGCCTCCGCAGCGGCGGCCTCCTCGGCCCGCGCCGCAACTTTTTCAGCTTCTCGCGCTCGGGCAACAACAAGAAGCTCCTGAAGCGCATGGAGCAGGATGCCAACGCGTACCCAGAGGACGCACAGCGCCAGCTCAAGTTTCTGCAAGCGCTCAACAAAGACTACCCGTCGCTCGTGATTCGCCGCGTTGAGGAAGGCCGCTTTGTGCTCTCGCAGGAAGCGTACCGAGAGTACATCAAGGCGCTCGTGGCGACCAACCGCATCGACTCGATGGACACCAACATGCTCTTCTCGCGCATGCAAGCTGCTGCGCCGCTGAACCCGCTTGCAGCTCCTTCAAGCTTTGCCAGCCTCGGTGCTGTCTCGATGGCCTCGGACATGGCGGCGTCGTCGGCTGTCGGCTCGACGGGCCTCTCCCCGATCAAGCCCATGTATGTCTCAATGGTCGATGGTGGCTTCAAGAAGAACATGTGGCGTACGGCCCGCGTTATCGCGCTTGGCTTCATGGCCATCTCGGCGATGACAGCGCTGATTGAAGAGAAGGGCCTTGGCGGCGTCGGTGTCAAGTCCAAGGTCACGGCCGCTATTGGTAGCGACAAGAAGTTTTCCGACGTCAAGGGCGTCGACGAAGCCAAGGAAGAGCTGGAGGAAATCGTGCAGTACCTCAAGGTACAAGCCTCCCATTCGATGGTGCAGTCTCTCATGGCCGTTGTAGGACCCAGACAAATTCACGCGCTTGGGCGGCAACTTGCCAAAGGGCGTCCTCCTCATGGGCCCACCCGGTACTGGTAAGACGCTCTTGGCCCGTGCGATTGCTGGCGAGGTACACGCTTTTGATTGAACCAAGTCACGCTGAGCTCTCCTTTTTAGGCGGGCGTCCCGTTCTTCTACTCGTCGGGTGCTGAATTTGAGGAGATGTACGTCGGTGTTGGCGCTCGCCGCGTCCGCGACCTCTTTGACGCGGCCAAGAAGAAGGTAGTTTCGCGCCTGTTGCATCAATATGCAATTATAACACCCGGGTTAGGGCCCGTGCATTGTCTTTATCGACGAAATCGATGCGATCGGTGGCACGCGCCATCTCAAGGAGCAGTCGGCGCTCAAGATGACGTTGAATCAGCTTCTCGTTGAGATGGACGGCTTTGACCAGAACAAGGGTATCATCGTCATTGGCGCGACCAACTTTCCCGAGTCGCTCGACAGCGCCTTGACACGTCCCGGTCGCTTTGACCGGTAGGGCCTTCCATCCATCATAGTAGATACGTATGCATCATGTAGACATGTGACGGTGCCGTTGCCCGACATTGCTGGCCGCCGCGACATTCTGGAGCTCTACACCAAGAAGATTCCGCTTGGGAACGACGTGGATCTCAACATCCTCGCGCGCGCGACGCCAGGTATGTCGGGCGCCGAGCTCTCCAACCTCGTGAACGAAGCGACGCTCCGATCGTCGTTCCTCAACAAGACGGTCGTCGACATGGCGGCCTTTGAGTTTGCCAAGGACAAGATCCTCATGGGCGCCGAGCGCAAGTCGGCGCTCATCTCACCCGAGTCGGCGCGTCTCACCGCGTACCACGAAGGCGGCCACGCGCTCGTCGCGATAAAGACGCCCGGTGCGCACCCCGTGTACAAGGCGACGATCATGCCACGCGGGAATGCGCTCGGCATGGTCTCGCAGCTGCCCGAAGACGACCAGACGAGCATCACGCGCAAGCAGCTCCTCGCGCGCCTCGACGTGTGCATGGGCGGCCGCGTCGCCGAGGAAATGGTCTTCGGAAAGGACGAAATCACCGGCGGCGCGTCTTCGGACATTCAGCAAGCGACGCGGTTGGCCCATCTCATGGTACATTTTTGATATGATGTATGCTGGTGCGTGACGCTTGGCGCTCTAGGTGACCAAATATGGCATGAGCGACGAAGTTGGCGTTGTCTTCCACGACCTCAAGGACAGCGACACGTCACCGGCGACCCGCACGCTCATTGACCAAGAGGTCCGGAAGCTCTGCGATGCGTCGTACAAGCGTGCGACGACGATCCTCCAGCGCCACCGCACCGACTTGGAGACGATCGCCAAGGCGCTCCTCGAGTACGAGACGCTGTCAGGACCCGAGATCAAGCAGCTTTTGCAGGGCGAGAAGCTCGCCCGCGCGACGCCGCCGACATCGCGTGTCCAGAAAGCTCCGTAGCCCGTTATGTTTTTGAACTACCTAAACTACCCTTGCCTCGCACACCACCTTTGTTGTACACTAGGGAATATTGTAGTAGCTCCTTTAGACCAACCAGAGACACAATCGATACGCCCCCGCTTGGATTGGTCCAAAAGCAAATCATTTCAGCCAATGGGAGCGCGCTGGGCGTTGCCAGCGGTTTCGTCGCCAGAGCATCAACATCTCCTCTCAGCGGCCGATGGAAGGGTACGTCGGTGCGAGAAGGGTTCTTGGCGCCTCATGGCGCTGTGAAGGCAGTCGACGCCGATGATCGAGGCCAAGGCCGCGGGGCCGATCTCGACGACCGTGGACACGAGCAGCGGCCATCTCAAGGTCCCCGGCGTCGTCGCGTACCCTGTCGCGGCCGTCGACCGCTACGGCTTCCTCGTCTCGGACAAGCATGTTGCCTGTCACCCCTGCATCTGCTTACATGCGATACAGGCGGTTTGCACCGAGCCCGACGGCCGCCAAGCGCAAGGACCATGAAGCTTCGTGGCTCGAGAACCACCGGACGCAAAAGTGGATCGCCATGACGGGCAAGTGCACGTACGACGAGTGGCAGTCGGTCAAGCTCCGTCACGGTGCCAAGCTCAAGTCGCGCGTATGTACACTTGCTGCACGCTGAATATCGAGTCGACTCGAATCTAGATTCGTAAGGGAATTCCCGAGGCGCTGCGCGGCCTCGCGTGGCCCCATCTCTCGGGCGCCAGCATGATGATGCAGAACCACCCGGGCATGTACCGCGACTTGCTAGCGACCGCGCATATTCCGTGCGAAGAGACCATTTCGCGCGACATTGGGCGCACGTTTCCCAAGCACCACCTCTTCAAGGACGCGCAGTCGATCGGCCAAGGCGCGCTCATGAACATTCTCAAAGCCTACTCCGTGTACGACCCCGACGTTGGCTACTGCCAGGTAGATGCATTACTGCGCTTTTTGGGTGTACACGCTAGCCTAGGGCATGGGCTTCATCTCGGCGCTCTTTCTGAGCTACATGCCGGAAGAGCACACGTTTTGGCAGCTCGTCGCGGTGCTCAACCAGAAAAAGTACGGCCTCGCCGATATGTACCGGCCAGGAATGCCCCGCGTCGTCGAGATCATTGCGATCTTTGACGCGTGCATTCGGCTCTACCTGCCCAAACTGGGCGTGCACATGGACAACGAGGGGTTGCATCCGACCATGTACGCGACGCAGTGGTTCGTCACGATCTTTGCCTACTCGTTTCCGTTTGAGTTTGTCACGCGCGTTTGGGACATCTTTCTCCACGAGGGCTGGAAAATTGTGTACCGCGTCGCGATCGCCCTCCTCAAAATCTCGGAAAGTACGTTGCTGACAGAACCGATTGGTTGGCAGTTGATTTTCGTGGTCTAGAGGCGCTTCTCGGCAAGAAATTTGAGAAAATCATGGAGTTTTTCAAAGACCTCCCGACCTCGGTGAGAACGACGCAGTGGTCGTGGGCTTCAACGGCGTCGTGTAGGTCGACGTCAAGCAATTGCTCGACACGGCGTGGGACATCCCAATGACAACGGCGCAGCTCCAGCAACTCCACGAAAAGTACCAAGCGTCTCTCACGCAAAGCTAAATGCGCACGGCTTGTATACAAACGGCTTGAATCTTGAGTCCTGTCGTGTCCTACTTGCACTGACCAGCTCGTTCTTGGAGACAAGCGACCCGAGTGCCCTATCAAGTGTCTCGCTCGATCCCTGCGTACGTCGATTGGAGTCGCCACGCGTCTCGATGCTTGGGTATTTGGCGACGGACACGCGTGTGATACAGAAATATTACTGGTGGGCTGCTACGGGCCGAGCTTTGGACCTCCTTGAACAGTAAACGTAGTACTTGTCGAATGGAGACAAACCACCGTGCCGATTTGTGCTGCTGGTATCTTTGTGAAGGAATCTAGTACGTCGCTGCAAAATGTACAAAGCCCTAGACATCTCGAGCGCACAAGGTAGACATGTCAACGCTCGTTGGTGTTGTGAGTCGATTTGGTATTCCCCTTATATTGGCGCTTTGTGGCATAAACCACATGACGACTCGGGACTGGCTCACAGACGCCTTTTCAAAGGACGACAAAATGCCCAGGGAAGGGTTAGGGTCTAGCTTTTACCGGTACAAAAGCGAGCACATGGAGAGCTAACAAAGGAGCTCATATTTTGATTCCAATTGAAATGCAAGCACCACGCTGGAACCCTTCGACTGACGCTACTGGTAATACGTCTGAGGTCAAGTCACGTCAGGCGGCGTCAAACCGAGCGGCGCCCGCCGTGTTGACTATCTGGCGTGCTGAGCAACAAGCTCATATTGCCGCTGAGACCGCCTCGAGAGTCTCTGCACCGGCTGCCAGATGCAGTTGGCGGCGTTGGCCACGACCTTGCGTGCCGAGTACCAAATTCACATCGCCGCTGTGACGACGACGCTGCAGCAAGAACACCAGAAAGCCTTGGCTGCCTCGACGGCCAAGCTGTCCCAAGATCACTCGATTAAAGAGACGGTTCTCATCTCCGAGATCACGAAGCTGGCCGCCCAGCGGGACGGCATCCTCGAGCGTGCTCAGGTTCTGTTCACTCAATCACAGGGCCTGCGCCACGATCTTCACATGCTCGCCAAGCTCAACCACCGTCTCCAAGCCACGATCGCCACGATAACCGCGAGGCCGCCACCGACTTTGCAGCGGCGACAGATGCCATCGCTGCGTCGACACGGGCGGCAACCACCGAGGTCAACTTCGTCGCCTTGCTTCAAGCGAAGCTCGAGCTCACGACCAGCAACATGGCACTCACCGAGAACAGACCAAGTGCGACCTTGCAAAGTCCAAGACGGCCGAACACGACAACGCGGTCCGCCTCCGCGATGCTACACGCACCATCCAGAGCATGGGCGAGCGCACCCAGATGCTCCAAGCGGACCCGGACGGGCATGCGCTACGGTCGCTTGGCGAAGCGTCGGCGAAGGATGACGCCTCCTTGGTCTTGCATCATGAACGCATCAATGAACTACTGGGTCCGCTTGCCATGGCTGAGTCGGCGGCTTGCAGCGCCCAGCTCCTTTACAAAGTTGCGATCGAGACCAAGGAAGCGGCCCTCCGCCAGCTTCAAGCGCATCTTGACAAACACGTCCAACGAGCGCAGCTGCGCGGTGGTGCAGTTCACCCGCTCCAGCGTGCTGTGATCACCAAGGACGAGCTTCTGGCTGCACTCAAAAGTCAAAGTCCGTGACCTCCACGGTCAGCTCCAAGTCGCCCAAGGCAAGCTTTAAGCTACCGAGGCAGCTCAAGTCTGCGCCGCTGAGCGTAATGCGAAAGCCCTTCAGAAGCAAGCTTCGAGCGACGCAGATTCCAAGGAACGAGATGAACCTGCCAGTAGTAACGCCTACGACTCTCGACCCTGTGCCCTCCATGTAGCGCCCATTAAGGCCGACGATGTTAAAGCACCTTAACACATTTGGCTCCGCTTCGACGACGATCTCCAAGCTGCATTGCTCCAGTGGCGACGACAACTGGAGATGCGTGGAACCTGTGATTCCAAATCAGCAGCAAACATCCTGGCCGTTAGCCCTTTCGATTCGCGCCAGTTGTCCGACGATGAGCAAGATGGCGGTCCCACCCGCCGTCGCCATGAAGCGAAGCAATGACGCCGCAGCGGTTGCTCTCGTGATTGGATCGAGAACCGACTGTTGAAACGCCCGCCGCCCGTCGTGCCACGTTTGACGCACTCTGGCATTCGTATGGCGACCATTAGCGGCAGCATCGAGGGCTACCTCATCAAGCTCGACGACGAGTATGGCGCGATCGTCTACTGCCTCCTCGAAGAAGGCAGTCTAATTTACTACAGCGGAAAAGGCGGCGCGCTCCTCGGCGAGCTCACGCTCACGGGCAATAAGGTCAGCGTCAACCTCATCCGTGACGCATCCGACGCGGTGCCCAACCGGTTCATTGTCTCGAGTCGAAAGCGGCCGGAGCCGCGAAAGGAGCTCCAAGGTGACGAGGCGCCGTTCCCACCCGAGCGCGATGCCGACACGCGACTTCTCTTTGCCGCGTCGACGCCCGAGTGCCAAGAGAACTGGGCGACTGCGATTCTCAACTGGAACAAGCATTGCTGGGACGACGCAGAGACGGTGTTTAGCTACAAGGACGAGCTCGACGCGCTCCGACGGCTCGTGCAGCACTACCGCCTCAAGGAAAAGCCGCGAAAGCAGTCCGAGCCCGGCAGCGGCCACGCCGTTCCAGTCTTTCCCATTGGATAGTTTGCTTGATCTATCCATCACCATCTATCTATCTAACTAACTATTCAAAGTATGCTTTGGCGACGATTATTCAAGTTACAAGCCCTTTCGCTAGACACGCAAGGTGGTGGTTTTTCGACGGTGTGCTGGAATCGGCGGTGGGTACGTCTGCACGGGACAGATCGGCGGCGCGTACGACGGCGGCGGTGGCCGCGTCTCGAGCAGCCGGCCCTGCAGCTCCTTCAAGACGTCATCCAGCACGGTCGCATTCGAAGCTTGTCCTTGTCCGTCCTTGGTCTCAACGGCGTCTTTGGCTTTGGCTGCCTTGGCGGCATACTCGAGTCGCACCTCGTCGACCAGGTGTTGCGCCTGGCCAACGAGCACCCACTGCGATTTGTCATCGAGTGTGACGCTAAACGCGTCCGGTGGACCATTGGGAAGCCCCTCAACACGCTGGATGTGACGCGCCGGCGTGTGCGCAATCAACTTGTGCCGATCACGTGATAACGTTTGCGTCAGTACGACTGTGTCGGCACAAATCGCGAGGATGCCGAGGCGCCACAGGCGGTCGCGCTGCAGCCACACGCGGCGAGTGTGCACCGCGGCACTGATGCCGTCCAATACGTCCTTTGGCGCGTCGACCAGACCACGCAACGGGACAGGACCGATGTCGCGCTCCGCCGCAGCAAAGGAGAGATGCTTCCACCACGCCGCTGTGAGCACGCTCGTGTCGGCGGCCAAGCTCATGCACTTGTGGGGCGTCACGAGCGCAATGGTGCGTTCGTCCGGCGCCAGCGCGACCTCCATGTCGTCGACGGCGATGACGCGTCGCACGCGCAATGGTCCGTGCGTCGCAATGTCCGAGTAGATGAGCATTTCTGCAAAGAGGTGGAAGAGGTACTCGCGCGGCCCCGAGCGCGAGTTGATGGTCGTCTTGCTCAGCTTGCCGTCCCGCAGCCACGTTTTCTGCGACAAATCGAGGCTCGGGAAGAGCGGTTGGAGCTTGGCGATCTTTTGCGCGTTGGCCCGCGCTTGCAGCGAGATGTTGACGGACGACGCCGTCGCCTCCATGGCAACCTTCGCCGACTCGATCTCGCGCTGCGGCAGCTGCTTGTCGAGCTCGCGCAGTAAGAGCACGTACCGAGGCAGCCGCTGGATCGGAAGGATGAGCATGTTGGCGATCGGCTCCTTCTGCGACGCTTCAAACGCAGCAAGCACGGACGCCACAGCGCTGTGCTTGCGCAGACCAGCGAGCGCACACGCCACGTCGTCGTATGTGCCAGCGTACGCCGTGTGCACCGGGCGGAGCACCTTGGCGAATAGTGCCACGAGGCGGCCGAGCGCGGCGACATCGACGACCGGCGTCGTCGCCGCACGCAGCTCATCTATCACAGTGGTTTGCATCTTGCTACTGAGGAATGCTACGTCCGTACCGAGAAAGATGACGTGCAAATCACGTAGCTGGCCGAGGAGACCGTGGGCATTGAGGCACAGTAGCACGTCGCTGCCGCGTCGCGCCTCGGGCGGACAGGCGCGCTCCAGCGGCAATGCGAGCGCGTCGATGAGCGGGCTCAAGTGCGCTACAGCCCCAACTGTCATCCATGTGCTTGGCCGCGGTCGTACCGAGGTAGGAAGCCTCAGACGCAACGAGTTCGTCGACGACCCGTGCCCACGACTGCATCTTATTGCGAATCTTTATATATAGACAGGCGACACGAAACAGTTTCTATTGCAACAATTACGCGAGCTTTTGGTTGTGCGAGACGACAAAGTGTCCGTTCTTGATGACGTGCTGGATCGGCGGGTCGGCCATCTCGTAGATGATGTGCTCCCACTGCGGCGCGTCGAGCACGACGAGGTCGCCAAACTTGCCGACTTCGATCGAGCCGTGCGTCGAGGCGCGGTTGGCCGAGCCCGCGGCGTTGATGGTCGCGCCGACAAGCGCCTCCTTCATCGTCATCTTCATGAGGCAGCACGCCATGTGCATCGTGAGCGGCATCGAGAGGCAGTGGGCGTTCGGGTTGTAGTCCGAGCCGAGCGCAACGGGCACGCCGTGCGCAATGAGCTCGCGCGCCGGCGGGCTCTGGAGCTTGAGAATGTACATGGTCGTGGGAAGGAGCACGGCGTACGTCGACGCTTGCTTCATGGCCGCAATGTTGGCCGTGTCGAGCATCTCGAGGTGCGACGCCGCGTGCGCCTGGACGCACATGCAGAGCTTCCCAGAGTCCATCGGGTTGAGCTCATCGCCGTGAAAGTTGATCTTCATGCCGGCGGCCGCGCCTGCTTCCAAGATCGTCTTGGTGTCGTCGTACTCGAACACACCCTTCTCACAAAACACGTCGCTATACATAAAGCATGAGACAACTGCCAGAAGAAGGAGAAGGAAGTTGAAGCGTACATGAACTCGGGGTTGACGAGGCCGGCCTTCTTGGCCTCGATGATGGCAGGGATCTGCTTGCGGACAATGTCTTCGGTCGCCTCGGCCGCCGACATGCCTTCAGGCACCGAGTGGCCACCGAGGTACGTCGCGACAAGGTCGATCGTGTGCGCCTGCGACGCCTTGTGCAGCACCTTGAGCATCTTGATCTCGGTCTCGGTCTCGAGACCGTACCCGCTCTTGGCCTCGGCGAGCGTCGTGCCGCACTTGAGCATGCGGTCGAGACGCTTCATCAAGAGCTCGCTGAGCTCCGTCTCGGACGACGCCTTTGTGCAGCGGACCGTGCGACCAATACCGCCGCCCATCGCGTGGACTTCCATGTACGTGGCGCCCGCAAGCTTCATTGCAAACTCGTCGACGCGGCTGCCGCTCCAGACGGGGTGTGTGTGGCCATCAACCAAGCCAGGCAAGACGCAGAGACCGGTCGCATCAAAGTCCTTGGCGAACGTCACGGGCTGCGACTGCGCCGCGACCCACGCGTCGACCGACGCCGTCGTGCCCACAGCCGCAATGCGCCCTTCGTTGTCGACAATGACGGCGCCGTCTTCAATGATGGCGACATCGTCCTGCGCAGGGCCGACCTTGGCCGTCTCGCCATTGGCGCAGACTTGGACGAGCTGACGCGCGTTGCGGATGCGGAGGCGGAACGAGCTCATGCTGACAAAATCCAAAATGGGATCTCCGTGGTTGGGCCACGTTCTATCCGGACACCGGATACCCGCCAATCGAACGCCATAAAATCTAGTTCAACCTCGCTCACATCTGCGACACGCGAACGCCTCACCGCGAGCGCCCGCCGAGCCGCGCCGAGCGAGGCCGCCCGCTGCAGCCTCGCGCCGCAGCCTCCATGGAGCGAGATACGAGGCGCCATGCGATGCTGGAGTAGGCTCAACGCGGCGAACATGACCACATCGACGGCTGACAGCGCATCTGTGACCGGTCTCGCGATCGGCTGCCGAGGCGAGCGCCTCACCACACCCAGCTGCACCAATCGCCAGCGCACTGAAGGCTGGCGCAGTCGCCATCTCTCTGTAGAGCCTTGGTGAGGCAGTCGATCCTCGTATACATTCATGGTCGATGCATTGTTTGTTAGCCTAGAGATGTAGCTCTATGTCTTGCCGAGCTTGGACTTGATTTCGCTTCGGAGCTTCTCGCAGCGCTGAGCGACTTCGTCTCGGTCCTTCTTGACGCGCTCGAGGTCCATGGCGGCTTCATTGTACTGTAGCTGGAGACTCTGAATCTCGTCGGGCGATTGGCCCTCGGCCTGCGCTTCATGGAGCGCGTCGTCGAGGAGCTCCAACGAGTCGCTATTTTCTAGAACACAGTCGTAAGCATCCGCCATCTACCTCACTTAAGAGACCGGTAAAGCGCTTGAGGGTCTCCATGTACGCCTTCTCTGCAATGTCCAGACACTCCTACAAGCCCAGTCATGAGCAGCCGTGCCCAAGGCGTCAAGCACCTGGAGCGACTGCACTTGCTGTTCCGAGTTGGCCATGAAGAACACGCGGCTCGAGCCCATTTTCTTGAGGCGTGGCGACGGTCCTCGCTTGGGCAACGCCTCGGACGACATGCTGTCGGCGCTGTCGTCGTCGATGCGCGCCAGGAACGACTGCATCTCACTCAGCCGCTGCGTAATGCGCTCCGACTGGAAGTGCAGCGGCTTCAGCTCCAACGGTGGGATCGCAGCAGGCGTTGCCACAACAGCAGGGAGGACGTGGTCGCTTTTGGCGAAAAACTCCTACGTTCCTGTCAGGCTACATCCTATGGGCGATACGCACCTGGTAGCAGCGTCCGAGGAGCCGATAGAAGCCCGTCACAAACGCCGGCGCCGTATCGTCGTCAAACGAACTCGACTGCGCCTGCTCCAACAAGGAATTTACTTAATACCGATGGTTGGCGACTGTACCTGCAGGTGGGCGAGCGTGTGCACGAGCAGAATCGCGAGCTCGGCCGCGCTCTCGAGGTGCGACTGCCGCAGATACAGAGTGCTCGATTGAGGATCCCAGTAAATCGAGTGTTGAAACACGCCTTTCGACGGGTTGAGTGGCAGTGACGTGGCAGCGACAACGCGAATGTTTGCTTCCAGCGCAGTAGCAAGCGACCGGCCAAAGTCCAAGCGGAGCTTTTGGCGGGGCGGCAGGCCAGCATCCTCCAGCGCCTGCAACGGCCCCGCCGGCGTGCGCACGTCTTGCTCGATACCCGGGTACGCTTGCAGCACGGCGGCTTTCGTGTCGGACGGTTTGATACTGTCGACGACCGGTGGCTTGGTCGTGCCAATGAGCTGGATCAAACGCTCGATGCTATCGAGCTTTTGGGCGATCACCGCAACAGGGTCCGGCCCCGCGTTCTCTGCTTTGACCGGAGCGCGTGGCGTCAGCTCGTCCTCCCGCACGGGGGCTGGTGGCTCTTGGAGAACGATGGATGCCGCTAATTGCCGACGCTCTTGCGTCTCCCGAGGTGTCGCTGGCCCCGTAAAGCTTCCCAGTCGACTCATCGTGCGCGCTTTCCCGATCGCATTTTGAAGCCGGTCGCGGCCAAAGCCCACCAGCGGCACGTTGTTGGCGCTCAAAGCGGTGGCTTCGGTTGCTGCGGGCGGCGGTGGCTGATGCTTGGCGCGTGCGATCTCGTCGGTGAGCGCGAGCATTGTCTGCGCATGCACCACGTCGATGCGCCGCTTGGTGTCGTCGTCGAGGCGCTTGAGCTTGCGCTTGCAGACGCGCTCGCATCGCTCCTTCTTCTTTTGCGCGCGCGCTTTGAGCATATTCGCCAACGACGCAAACTGCTTTTGCCACTCGGACTCGAGTGTCTTGAGCATCACCGCTTGGCGGGGGCCGTTGGACTTGGCGAGAACGCTTTGTTTCTGGATGTCGGCGGCTGTCCGCTCCATTTCGAGCTGCGCCGCTGCTTGTGCGTCGATCGTTGCCCACTCGGTGGCCAGCGTCTCGCGCAGCTGCTGCATGGCGGCACGGCTTTCTCGTACAATGTCGTCGATGCGCTTCTGCTTTTCAAGCTCGAGATGCGCGCGCAACGCAGCGTGTTCATCGTGAAGCATCAGCGAGCTCCCAATGGTGGTCGTTGTCGCTGCAGCAACTGGTGCAGTCACCAGAGGCGCCACGGGGTCGGGGAGGCACGACGGTGCAAAGCGCTCGACGAGCCCGTTGACGTCGGCCACTTGACGCGTCCGGAGCGCTTCTTGCTCGCTCAACTGGGCGGCCTCCATGTCGCTCGTGCCATGGGCCTCCATCTCTTGCTGTCGCACACGGAACGTTGCATCGAGCTCGTCGAGCTGCGCGTCCTTGGTCGCTGCATCGACGGCGCTTAGCGTTGCGAGCAGCGCTTCTTTCGCCGCGTTCTTCTCGAGCATGAGGGCGTGGAGTCCGTCGCGAAGAACCGCCGCGCGGTTGCGGTACTGCCGCGCAAAGAGGAGCGACTGCTCACGTTTGTGCCGCTTCTCGACCACGCGCTGGACGAGCGGGCGCAACTGCGAGAGCACGATTTGGTTTTGCGCCAAGAGCTTTTGGATCATGGCCACTTCGCGGTCAACTTCGAGCTTCATGGCGAGGGTTTCTTGCTGGTCTTTCTGCGCATCGCGCTCCATTTGCTGCTTGGCGAGAAGGTCCTCGGTCTTCTTGCGCTTCTTCTCTTCGAGGCGGCGCATGAGATCCTTCTTCTTCTGGCTCGACTCGAGCTTGAGACTGTCGGTGAGCGCGCGCTCTTTCTCGTGATATTCGTTTTGGACGCGGTCAAGCTCGGCTTTCACTTGGACCTGCGCCTGAGACTCGGTGAGCTGCGACTGCAACAAGGTCCGCGTCGCGTCGAGTTCTCGCTGCATCTTGGCTTGCAGCTGGCTCTGAGCGAGTTCGAGTTCCCGCTGAGCGTCATCTTCGAGTCGCTTCTTCTCAGAGGCTTGCTTGGCAAGAAGCTCGGCTCGCGCAGCCGCCAACGACGGGTCCTCGTCGGGCACGGCGTTGCCGAGCGCAGTTGCTTGGGCCAAGGCGGCGGCACCCTCGAGACGACTTTGCACTTGCTGCGCTTCGGCGGCCTGGGCCGCGAGGAGCCGCTGGGTCTCCTCTTCCTTCTTGGCTTGGAGCTCGAGTGCCTTTCGCTGTTTCTTGGCCGCCATACGCATCTCTAGCTTGCTCTTCTGCGTCGTCGCCTCCACGTGGTGGGCTTGCGCGAGCTGCGCCATTTGCGCTTGGAAATCGGCCGAGACACGGTCCAACTCGGCGGCCCGGAACGCGTCCATGGCGGCCGTTGCCGCCGCCGCTTCGATCGCGGCTTGCGCAAGCTTGTCTGTTGCTGCTTTCTCTGCATTGGCCTGGCGCTCTCGCTCTTCTTGTAGTGCGGCCTCGGCTTGGGCCGCGAGGTCCGAGGCCAACTTGGCCTTCTCGAGACGCTCTTCTTCATCGAGCGCCGCGCGGACCTTGGCGACGTTGTCGGCTTCGGCGACGTGACTCAGCTCCTTCTCTTTGGCAAGGCGGCGTTGCGCAATGCGGTCCTTGAGTTTTTGCTCTTGTCGTGCCTGCTCCGAGTCGAGGGTCGTTTGGAGCTGCTGCATCTCGGTCTCGTGCTCGCTCTTGAGCCGGGCATACTCGGACTCAGCGAGCTGCTTCTCTTCGGCGGCCCGGTGCGCCTGCAGCTCGGCGGTGGCTGCCGCTTGACGCTGCAAGGCTGCTATCTCGTCGTCGACCTTGCGCTTGGCTGCCGCGAGAGCTGCGGCTTCGTCGGCGGCGAGCTTGACACGGAGTGCCTCGACTTGAGCGGCTTCGTCCTCGTCAATGGCCTTGTCTTGCGTCTTGTCCAGGTGCTTGGCCTGGCGCCGGGCGGCAATGCGCTCCTTTAGCGCCAGCTCTTGCTTGGCGCGGTCTGCGCTCAACGACTCTTGGAGAACGCCCATTTCGCGCGCGTGGTCGCGCTTGACTTGATCGATCATGTCTTCGACCTGCTTCTGGGATGCAGCCTTTGCACTGGCGGCGGCGGCCGCAGCGGCCCGCGCCTGCACCTCGGCGTCGACCCGCTTGGCCGCCATCTCGGCCTCGATCTTGGCCATCTCTGCGTCCAGCAGCGCTTGGTCGAGCTGCACTTGATTGCTTGCGACGGACGCTTGGTCGCGCGCCTGTCGCTTCTTCTCCATGCGCTCGCGCAGCCGCGCCTTCTTGAGCGCCTCTTCTTCGTCCAAAAGACGTTGAAGCTCCAGCGCGTGCTTGGCATGCTCAGCATTGATCTACGCAGCGTCCACGCTTCAATATACCAACATCGAAACGGTAAGGATGGTACAGCTTGGATGTCGGCTTCGTGGTCTTCGAGCGTTGGGTTTGGAAAGGGCGGCGGCGACCACGCGGCGGCGCGCTTGGCGTCGACGGTCGACTCGATCGCAACCACCTCGCGGTCTTCCTCGTCGTCGAGTTGTCGCAAGAGCACGTCTTGATTGGCACTGCCCAAGGCGAGCACCTTCTCTCGCTTCTTGGCGAGCCGCTGCTGCAGCCGGTCCTTCAAGCGGGCTTCTTCGTCCCGCAACGCTTGATCGCGTACTTTGCTCGTCTCGTCGTGCTCGATGCAAAGCTACCATCATGGATTAGAGAGCAAAACACATCGAATGCACACCTGGCGAATGCGCGCTTCGTCTTCCTCGGTTGCAATCTTGGCTCTCGCTTTCTCCAGCAGCGTCGCTCGCTCCGCGTCCGCCTTTTTGTGGGCCAAATCGGCCTCGAGCTGCGCTTGGAGCTCTGCCGCCTCGGCGTCTGAGATGGCGTCGTGCCGCTTGCGCATCGCGAGGCGGTCCTGGAGCCGTCCACGGAGCCGCGAGGCTTCGTCTTCGAGCTGTTGATCGCGCTCCGCCTTGCGCTTGGCATGTTCCGCATGCAGCTACGCGCGTACTAGTATGAGTGCACAAGGCGTCGTGAAACCGGCTCACCGCATCAATCTCCGAGTCGTAGTTGGGTGGCGGTAGCACGGCCTTGACAATCGCGGCAGTCGTCGTGGCCACGGCGCGCTTGGCATCGACCACCGCTTCAATTTGCTCGACTTCCTTGCGCTCTTGCGCGTCGAGTTGCATCGTAATCGCATCCTTCTCCTCTTGTGGCTTGGCGCTCGCAGCGGTGAGCGCGCGCTTGGCCGCCAGACGCGCGCGAAGCATGTCCTTTCGCCGCTTCTCTTCGTCGTCGAGTTCGCTCTGGCGCATTTTGGCGCGAGCGGCGTGCTCTTCTTGAATCTACCCCCTCTGACATGAGCCATAGACATATTGAGCAAGGGACCTTGTGGATGAGCGCTTCGTCGTCAGATGTGAGCGCGCCGAGACGCGCCTTCTCGGCGAGCTTTTGCGCTGCGAGCTGGTCGACGCTGGCGTGAAGCTGCTTCTCCAACGCGTCTCGAAGCAGTGCCTCGTCGGCCGCCAAGTCTTTTTCGATTTGCTGCTTTTCAAGGAGCGATGCCGAGCTCTTTTCATTTTGCTGCCGCCGGTGCGAAAGGCGTTCATTGAGCCGCCCACGAAGACGCTTGGCCTCATCTGCGAGCTCGTCCTGGCGCGCACGCCAGCGCGCGTCGTGGTCCGCGACCAGCTATCGATGCCAATAGAGCATGACCTTATGTATCAAGATATCAAGGTAGCGAACACCTTGGCGATGGTCTCGTCGTCGAGGTTGCCCGTCGACAAGGTATCCAGCTGTTGTTGTTGCTCGAGCAGCGCGGCATCAATTGCATGCTCTTTGAGATCCATGCTGTGCTCAATGTCGAGCGTCACCGTCTTTTCTTCCTGCACAATATCGTGGAGGGCTTGTGCTTTGGCTTGCACGGACGGCCACGTTTTCGCCGCGAGCGCATCGCGCTTGGCCTGTAGCCGATCGTGTAAGCTGGCTTTGAGCCGCTTCTCTTCGTCCGAGAGTGCGCTCTTGAGATCCTTTCTCTTGGCGGCATGTTCCCGACGCAACTAGAAGACGTCAAATGAGTCAGATGCAAGCGATCGAGAGGTTATGGTGTACGCGCTCGATCGTGGCTTCGTCGTCGGACGAGAGATCGTTCGCTGCCTGCTTCTCGGTCAAGCGCCGGAGCTCGAGCAAATCGCGCTGCAGCTCCATTTGCCGGTCAATCTCGGCTTCGAGGACGGCTGCTTCGTCCGCGGTCTTGGGTCGTACCGCTGCCGAGTCGGATGCTACATTGCGCGCACGTTTCTTGGCCAGCCGCTCCTGGAGACGCGCTCGCAGTTGGTCTTCTTCGCTCTGAAGGCGACGCATACGATCCTTCCACGCTTGATCGTGGTCGTCCAACAGCTACATAGAGGTTAACTTGATAACAGGAAAAAAGCCAAGTTACCTGGTTGGCGAGCTTGCTGTAGTCAAAAAGACTCTTGGGCTCGCGAGTGGCCTCAACGATGACCCAAAGCTGGCGCTGCTGCGCCATGTCGTGGGCCATCACCATGCTTCGTTCAGCATGAATCGCGCTCTTGACGGCGTCAGCCATCTCGTCGCCCGGTGGGACTTCAGCCTCAAGGGCGTCGAGCGTGGCCAGTTGCGCGCGTGTGGACGCCGCCAGCGACGCCTTGACCTACATATGATGAGTCTACTGTCTCAAAGAACAGGTGCGTACAGAGGCCAACGTGGCTGCGTCGACTGGTGGCTGCTGACCGAGCTGTGCTTTTTCAAGCATGGCGCCCAAAGCGATCGCGTGGTCCTGTGCGCCACAGGCGTTCTCGACCGCCGCCGTCGCTAGAGCGTTCAGTGTAGGGTGCACTCGCTTCTTCAAACGAGCGGCCAAGCTCGCCTTGGCCATCGCATGATCGTCGCGCAGTTGCCGTTGCCGGTCGGCCCACTTGGCTTCGTGCTCGTGGAGCAGCTATCGAAATGGGTGGGTGGCGAGTAGCTAGGGCGTGGTACCTTCTCGACGAGCTCGTGGTCGTCGGGCGACAGCTGACCGAGCTTGGCCTTTGCCAATAGCAAGTCTCTGTCGAGCGCCTCTTTCTGAGTGGCAAGCGAAAGATCAATCGCACGGGTATCTTGCTCGGCCGCGACCAGAGCCACCGCTTCTGCGGCCTCGCGCTCAGCCGTCGGCAGAGCCTCGTTTCGCTTGCGCTGTCGCTGAAGTCGCGCGGCGAGGTGGTCTCGACGGAGTTGCGCCTCGTCGTCGAGCTCTTGCTGCTTCCGCGCCCACTCGCGCATGTGCGCCGCTTGCAACTAGTCGACTTTGGAGCCATACTCACAGACAAGTGAGGATCTACCGCCGCAATCGCGTCCTCATGGTCGTCCGGCGCACTCGCATTGCTTGCGGTCAGGACACCGATTTGATGTTTTTCTTGCACAGCTTGATGGAGAATGGCCGCGCGCTCGGCTTCCATTTGCGCTTGCAAGCATTCGCGGGCGGCACCGTCTTGAAGCATAACCGACAAGTTGTCTTCGAGAAGGTCGATGTCGCGGAGGCGGTCGTGCCACTTGGCATCGTGAGTCTCGACAAGCTACGCAATCCCGAGCGTCAATGATGGCTATAGGTGCAAGCGATACAACGTACAACGTCGACAGCGTCCTTTTCGCCTGGCGTGAGCACGCCGAGCTGCGCCTTCTCGAGAAGCGACGCGACGGCAACAGCTTCTTCGTTCCGGGCGACGGCATCTTCAAACTGCTTGTGCACTGCTGTTGCCAGCGGTTTGCTCTGGCGTTTGGACAGACGATCGGCCAGCTTGGCGCGAGCCACCGCTTTGTCGTCGTCGAGTTGCCGCTGGCGGGCCGCCCACTTTGTTTCGTGCTCGCAAAGCAGCTATACAAGGGACGTTGTCGCTTGCATTTTCCCCGAGCAAATACCTCGTCGACGAGGTCTCTCTCGGCCGGTGACAAGAGACCGAGGGCTGCCTTCTCCGCCAGGTTCGCGGCGACAAAGGCGTCCTGTTGAATGGCCGCCTCGAGGTCCATGGTATGCGCTTCTAGCGTCGCTTGCGCCTCGAGGAGCGCGTTTTCTGCTTCTGCTTCAGGAGGTGGAAGAGTCTCGTTGGCCTTGCGCTGCCGTTGCAGTCGGTCGGCGAGTTTAGCTCTACGCAGCTGCGTCTCGGCCTCGGCAAGGTCCCGTTCTCGCTGACGATGCCGTAGAAAGGCCTCTTGAAGCTAGACAGCAAGCATACCCGTGAGGTAAACATACTGCTGTGCGATGGTCGTACACTGGCAATGGCTGCTTCATTGTCATCAGCGCCGCGGTCGCTGGTCGGAGGTGCCAACGACGCCAACTGCGCCGCTTCGACTTGTTCAAGGTGGTCCACAAGCTCTCGCTCTTTTGCGACAATAGCCACGAGCTCTTCGATGCGCTCTGGCGTCGTCGCTGGGTCCTGCGCCAACGCGCTCTTGCCGTCGGCCTCGGCGGCCGTAAGCTCGTCGCGCCGTTTCTTCCACTTGGCGTCATGCTCGGTGGTCAACTAGACACTCCACCGTGACGATGCTGCAGTGGGACATCGAGTTTACCTCCTTCAAAGCCTGGGTGTCTGTCGCGGAAAGGTCGAGTCCGAGCTGCACCTTTTCGACGAGCGCGGCTGTCGCGAGGGCCTCGGCCACAACATTCGTATGCAAGTCGAGACCCGCCATTTCCACAGCGTTGAGCGCCTTGTTCTGGCGCTTCTTGAGCCGATCGGCCAAAGCCGCTTTGGCAAGCGCTTGGTCGTCGGCGAGAAGGCGGTTGCGGTCGGCCCACTTCTTTTCATGGCTCGTTAACAGCTACACGCGTGCAATGAGCCCCATGATGCATCGGTGGAGTCCTACGCTTTCAATATCGGCGCTATTGGCTGGTGACAACGCGTGGTCCTTGGCCGCTTGGACTAGAAGCGCCGTCGCGACCGCTTCTTTTTGCAGCGTTGATTCCAATTCGACTTGACGCGTCTCGACGGCAGCTTCGATCTCCAACGCGTGGTTGGCCGCGGCCTTCTCGTCGGTCGGAAGTGCCTCGTTGGCGAGGCGCTGGCGACGAATTCGGTCCGCGAGCTTGGCGCGTCGCGCTGCTGCCTCGTCGTCCAGTTCCTTTTGGCGACGGGTGCATGCCGCTGCGTACTCGCTCTGGACCTGCAGCAGCCATGAGACGATCCAGACACGTGGGCTACACGCACCCGGCGAAGAGCGTCGTCGTTACCGACTGCCATGTCGTCGTCCCCACTCAACGCCGCATCAAGTGCGCGCACTTGATGCGCCTCCTGGCCCGCCGCGAGTTGCAATATCTCTCGCTGCAGCGCCATCGAGTGCTCCAGCTCCTCGAGCGCCTCGGGCGTCGCTTCGTTGGTCGCTTCCAACTCGTGGCGCACGGTGGCTTCGGCCATGTCGAGTTCGCGCCGACGTTGCTGCCACTTGGTGTCCACGCCAGCCACCAGCTATGAAGGTTGTCGCAACATCGTACACAAGCATTTGGTTACCGCTGTGACCGTCGCTCGCTCTCTCGGGGATAAGGACCCAACCTGGGCCTTCTCGAGAAGCGCAGCAAGCGTGAGGCTCTCTTCGGCGGCTCTAAACTCGTCGTCGAGCGCCTTGATGGCCAGCGCGTTCAGAGGTTTCTTATCCACTCGAGCTTGAAGGCGCCGCGCTAAATTAGTCTTGGCGGCCGCGTGGTCGTCTTGAAGCGCGCGCTGGCGGCTGCCCCACTTGGTCGCATGCTCGTCCAGCAACTAGAAATCAAAGCGTCGACATCAAGAACTTAAACGAGGAGGGAAAACCCGCTGGATGTAGGCCTTGTCGTCCGCCGACAACATATCGAGTGTCGCCTTGTCGGTCAAGAGCACAGCGTGCAACGCCTCGACGGCCACGTCCGTCTCCCGAGCCACTTGGCGCTCGGCAATCGCGCTCTCAGAAGCCAAGAAAGCGAGCGCTGCGTCTTGGGCCTCAGCAGGCATCGCATCAATGAGTTGCTTTCGACGTGTGAGTCGCGCTGCCAGCTGCGCTCGCTTGAGCGCTGTCTCGGTGGCCAGCAGCTGCTTTTGTTTGGCCCAGTCCTCGGCAAACGATGCCTGCAGCTACGCATGCTGTATGAGCAAGCACAGTCGCACAGGTACGATTCCTACGGCGGCCACGTTGGCGTCAGTGGCTTGACTCGCATCTGTGGCCTTTAGAAGAGCACCAATGGTCTCCAAAGCATCCCGCTCCACAGCAAGACCGTGTAAGAGCGCCTTGTCGGTCACGTCATCCAAGGACGCCGCGAACGCGTCGCGCGGCTGGGCCCGCTTGGCCTGAAGACGCGCCATGAGCTTGCGCTTGTTTCGCGCTTTGTCCGACTCTTGCAGCGCCTGTCGCTCCTTCCACTTGGCGTCAAAGTTCTTGTAGATCTAGGTAAAACCGCATCAGCATTCGAGGAACCTTGCTGACCACGAGAATGACGCACCGCGTCCAGCGTCGTCAGGTCCACCTCGGCGAGCGAGCCCAACTGTGCTTTTTCTAGCAGCTGGGCGCTTGTTAAGACGTCGCGTTCAATCTGGAGCGCTTGGGACAGCTCTTGTTGGAGTTGCTCAAGCTCGGGCGGCAATGGTTGACCGCTCGCGGTGACAGCGCTCAGCTGAGCACGCCAAGTTGCTTCGTCCTGCGTTGCGGCTTCCAATCGCGCCGCCCAAGTCGCTGCATTGTCGTGCAGCACCTGAGAAGGCGTCATTATCTACGAGACGCAAGAGACGAAGACTCTACCTTGTTCAGAACACGAACGTCCGCAGATGTCATGGACGCACGCATCGACGTCTCGAGCAACGCTTCGTTGCGCACTTTGTCGCGCTGCGTCTCGAATGCCCTGTCCAAAAGCCGCGCTTGCAGCGTTTCGGCGGCGTGTACAAGCGCCTCTTGGTTGGGGTCCCGGATGCGCTCTCGCTTCTCGCGGAGACGGTCTTTGAGCCGCTGTTTGGCCCGCGCGTGCTCGTCGTCGAGGTTGGCTTGCTTCTCGCGCCACTTTGCATCAAACTATGAGCAGCATATATAAGCCCATCGTGCGCAAAGCTCTTGTCGAAGCGTACGCTATCGAGCATGCGATCGACAGGGTCCTCGCGCTTGTCGTGGCGCGACGTGGTCCGTGATGGCGGCAACTGCATGTCGCCTTCGTTGTTCATCTCCGCAAAATCAGGCTCGCCAAAGTCCATTTCGGGCTCGCCAAAGTCAAATTCGGCTTCGATCTTGGCTTGCTCTTCTTCAAAGGCGCGCTCCAGCGCCTGCATCTCGGCCTCTTGTTTCTCGAGCATCTCTTCCTCGAGGGCTTCGTCTTGCAAAAGTGCTTCAAGCTCCGTGTCCTTCTTGAGCTTCCGGATCGCAAGGCGGTTGCGCAGCTGCTCTTGGTGCTTCTCGCGCTCGAGCGCCAGCGTCGCCTGCAGATGCGCCATGTCCTCGTTGAACGCGTCCAAAATGCTTTCTCGCTCGGCCTCGCCAAGGTCGGGCTTGGCGTCCAACGACGTCATAAAGTCCTCCTTGAGCTTCTCGAGTCGTTCGTTGTCCCGATCGACCTCGCGTCGCAACTCGACGGCCAAAAGCGCTGTGTCAGCGTCGTCCATCGCAGCCTCGGCGGGGTGCGCCGCGACTTCGTCCGCTTCCGCGCGCTCGGCAACGTCGTCGATGAGCTTGTCGAGATTGAGCGTTGGCGCCGCGAATTGCAGCTGCCCAGGGTTGGCAAGAAGCGCTCGGAGCTGCGTCACGAGCTCCTTGACGTCCGACGTTGGCTCGGCGGCATCTTCAACGACAATCGGTTGCGTCGTTATCAAATGATCGCGTAGCTGCGCCAGCTCAGCGTCCAAATGGGTCGTTGCAGGTACGAGACGGGCCCGCGCGCTCGTTAGCGCTTGCTGGTCGGCTTGGACGCGCTGCGAGAGCTTGGTGGTGCCGCTTTGGAGCTCCTTCAGAAGCGTCCCCAGCACCTTTTCGTATTTGACGCGTACGGGCTTGAGAAGCGCGGGGTTTTGCTGCTCGACGGCGTGCTGCCACTCGTTCCGGAACGTATCGGCGAAATCCTGGAGCTTCTTGGTGTACGTGGGCACGACGCTCGCAAACTTGACGAGGTAGTCGCAGGCCTCGCTCGTCGCACCATCGCTTTCGCCATAGGCAGCTTCGCACTTGGCCTTGGCATCGAGAAGCGCGGGAGGCAGTAGCTCCTTGGTGGTGTGACCAAAGGCTTTCCAAACCGCGCTCTGGACGCGGCGCCGGTTGGCTTCGGACTGCAGTGTCGGGAGCAACCCGGTTTCGGCGACGACGCTGGCTTCTAACGAGGCGAGGTCGGCCAGTAGTGTGGCAAACGTTGGGGACATTAGACTAGGCAACGCGAGTTCGTCCATGATGGCTGACGCAAGGCTCGTCTTGGGATGCACCATCGTATGCAGCTCCTTCGCCGCATTGGCCACACGGAGCTCGACGTCGGACAAGCTCGCGACAAAGTCGGCGCGGTCGGCCGCATTCTTTTGTAGCGTGTCGAGAAGGACGAGCTCCGCGTCGCAGTTGCTCGTCGGCGACTTGTCCTTATCTTGGCTCTTTTGCGCCACGACCAACGACGCCAGAAGCATCTTGAGCTCGTCGGCTTCGTTCTGCGCGCATTGTGATGCCTCTGACAGATCGCCTATATCACGAGTAGTACCTGCAACATCTTCATCATCTTGGCAGCGCCCGTTTCCTGGTCATGAAAAGCCTTCTCGACCGAGTCGTGGTGGAATTGCAAGCGATCCACAAGCTCACGAATCCCCAAATCATCGTCGTCCCAGCTACATGCAACGATAAGTGTTTGGTGATGAACGCGAGATCCCAAACCGGTTGAGCTCAGGCACATAGTCGCCACTGGCTTGGACGTCCGGCTTGGCTTCGAGGTCTTCGGGCAAAACGGCCCCGTCAGCCTCGTTGACAGCCTTGGCTGTTTTCTTGACGACCGAGCCTTTGGTGTGGAGGTTGTTGAGGTTAAAGCCGCGCGCCTTGTCCTTGTAGCCGCCCGCGCTCGAGTGTTTGGCGACCCACGACTTGCGTCGAAAGTAGTAGAGACCACCAATCATACCTGCGACAACGCCAAAGAGCGCGCAGAGCAAACCCGCAATGAGGCCCCAGTTGGGCGCCATGATTATGTTGGAGCTAAAACAAGCGTTAACGTGAGTGTGTCCATCATGTATATGTAAACCTGGGCTTGGCGCTAAGGACAATCAAGTTGCCTTGGCTCATGGGCACGATCGGGCCATCGGTGGGGCACTTGACGCCCTACAGAAACGAGAGGGCTATTACGATTGCGGTAGTGAGAAATAGGCGTACCGTCTCCATCACGGTCACGATCGTCAACGCCGCGCTGTTGTTGCTGAGTGCAAAGACATAGGTGCCGGCCGCCGTAAACGTATACGCAAACGCCGATACAGAAGACGCGTTGGAGGCCATCGCCTCTTGCAGCGACCGGAACGGTCCATAGTCGAAGCTCGGGTTGGTGTTCATGAGCGAGTCCTTCATGTACACGGGGTACGACGCGCCGCTGATCGAGAAGAGAACCGAGTCGCTCTTTTGGAGACAGAGCATCGGGTTGAGAATACCGTTCGACTCTGTCAATCGGCGCCGCCGCGAAGTCCCCGGCAGCGCATTGCTGTACATGCCGCTAAACGCATTTCCGCCCACTTGCATGCTCAGCACTTGGCAACTCGTCGACGTATTGGTGTTGCAACTGAGACTCCCGGTAATCGCTCCTTGGTCGGCGGCTGGCACGGGCGTGTACACGTTGGTCGAGGGGTCGTAGTATTGCAGCGTGCTCGTCAGCGGGTTGAGCCGCAGCTGCGTCGTCGAGGTGCGACACGCGCTGTCGCACACCGAGTCGAGCGATGGCGCGTTCGTGCACGTGCAAATGCCAGAGGTGGCGAGGAACGTGCCAGTGCCGCCGTTGCAGGCCGATGCGCACGACACACTTGACGGATCCACGCAGCTTCCCGACGCCGACCGGACCTGAGTGGATCCGCACCGAGGGTAGACCACCGGCTGGCAGTCGGCCTGTACAGGATATATAACCATGCAATTAACATCAAGAACCAACGGTGTCGTCGCTGTCGGAGCGCAAGATGCCATTCGAGTCGTAGTACTCGTAGCCTGGTTCACAGATGCAGTAGCCGTCAGATTTTTGAAAGGCGCGGTTCTGGCCGACGCACTGGCACTGCGCCGAGCCAAGGGCTGCATTGGAGCTACATACCCATCGTGATCATACTGTCCCATCGATCGAGAGAGATTACCTCGTCGAGCACGGGTAGCACGTGGCCTGGCCCACCTGGTACTGGTACGTATTGGCCGCACATGGCGCGCACGACGTGTTCAAAGAGATGCCCAACGGCATCGGGTTGTACGTGCCGACGGGACACGGCTGCTCTTGGTACGTTCCATTGCCGCAGTAGTAGCCCTATTCTCGTGTAAAAAACGACACCGCATCGACGGGACGTACCGCAGGGCATAGATACCCATTGTCGATCGACGCGTTCCGGGGCGTGGGGGACGTACACCCTTCCGAGCAGACGTACCCTTCAGGGCACATGGTGCAGTTCGCGCCGTTGCCGTACGTTCCTTTGGGGCACAGCTGACACGCCTAATGCACGAATCGAGCCTTATCGTATGGGCGATGCGACGCACCTCGGCAAGGCTGCGGTAGAGCGACCCGTTCGGGCGCAGGAGTGAGAGAGACCCGAACGGACATGGAATTGGGCTGCTCGCTCGCGGCGGACAGTATGTCCCAAACGTGCACGCGGTTTGGTTGAAGGCGCCCATGGGGCAGTAGTAGCCCGCACTGCAAGGCACACCTGCTGTCGAGTTGAACGGACAGTAGTACCCCGGTGCACAGATCGTCATGTTGCCCGACCCGGACGGGCAGTAGAAGCCGGCTTCGCAAACGATCGGCGTGATGCTGCCCAACGGACACTCGTAGCCGGGAGGGCAGATGCGGCAACTGGCAACAGACGAGCCGCCCGTCGTCGGCAAGTACGTGCCGGCAGGACACGGGCTCGCGTCCGGCGCGCCGCGCAGACAGAACGAGCCGGCTGGGCAGTCGAACGCAGTGTCGTTGATGCTAGCGGTGCGGTTGCAATACCGACCGGCTTGGCATGGAATGCAATTTTCAACGGCGCTGGCGCCCGTGCTCGGATTAAACGTGCCTTTGGGGCACGGCTGCGGCAGTTGCGCTTGCGGGCAATAGAACCCCACCTAAACACACCATGAAGAGACCATGGGCAAGTTCGATTCGCACTGGACAGTCGACTGTCACGGCGCCGTCCAAGCAACTCTTGCCGGCGGGGCACTCTGCACAGTCGTAGAGCTCGGTGCCAAAGGGCGAGAGGCGGGACGAGTTGCCCGGACAAGGTAGCGGGTCGGTCGTATTTTCTAGCACCAAAGTCGATCATTATCGAGGTCGACGGCCCATGTCGTACGGGTGCAGTAGTAGCCAATGGGACACGCGCCGCCCGACCGCTGCTGCCACGGCAAGAGGCTTTGATTGTAGTTGAGCGGGTTGGGCTGGTAGTTGCCAAACTTGCAAAAGTAGCCACTCGCGCAAGGCCCTGTGATGGCTCCGTCGGTGCAGTACATGCCCGCGGGACACGAACTGCACTGGGATGCGTACTCGAGCCCCATCTACCAACAAGAGTTAGTTGCTAGCATACTCAGCTTGCTGCACCTGGGCGCCATAGGTTCCGTTCGGACAGAGCACGGGGGGACCCACGGGACAGTAGTACCGCTGCGGACATGGGCTCGGGACCGACGTGTTGCCAGAGCAATAGCGCCCCAGCGGACACGCATCGCAGCTTCTTTGGCCAGCAATGGCCGCGTACGTGTGAAGCGGGCACGCTTGCTCGGTGCCGTTGACGCAGAACGAGCCAGGATTGCAGAGCCGCCCGGTAACGCCGTCGACGGGGTTGGCGACACTTGCTCCGCCCAAGCACACCTACTTGCACTGTCAAGTCGATACCATCGCATTCGCCATACAAATCGATCGGAGCAGATGCCGCCCGTGCTGTCGACCGGCGTGCGCGTCCGTGCACCAAGAGTGCAATAGTACCCCGGTGCACACGGACCCGTCGGTGCCACTACATCCTGATGAGCCCCTTGAAGAATCGGCTGCGTACCTGTGGGCGGCAGGCCCGAGCAATACTGGCCAGGGGGGCACGAGGCGCACTCGAGGGAACTCGCAAGCGACGAAACGTTGCTGAGAGTCCCCGGCAGACAAGGATACTGCTGGGCGAACGTCGTGTTCATTGGGCAATAGTACCCTGCCGGACACGGTACAGGAATGACCGTTCCTGTGTAGCAGTACGACCGCGCGGGACAGCCAAAGCATGCCGCCAAGCCCGTAATGTTGGCAAACGATCCCGCAGCACACGGAACAGGAGCTGTGAGGACGCCCCCCGGGCAGTAGTGGCCGACAGGACACGTTACCTGCACATTGTTTCCGGGGCAATAGACCGTGGGTGGGCATGGCACGGACGGCAAGATCGTGCCCGTGTTGGGGCACGAGTAGCCCGCCGAGCAGGGCAGACATTGTGTGACATTGGCAAGTTGCTTGACGCTGGAGTATGTGCCCGACGGACAAGGAATCGGGTTGCTCGTGCCCGCGGGGCAGTACGTGCCAGGAGGACACTCGTTGCCAATGATGCCATTTGCAACGACTTGGCCCGTCGGCGTCGGAGTGTACGAGCCCTAAAACACAGTGTCTAGTGCACACACACCACACAGATTCATACCTGAACACAGTAAAAGCCAGGACTGCACGGACTCGCTTTTTGAAGATCTGACGAGGCGCAGTAGTGACCCGCCTCGCACGGCGTCGGGAGCGCTGTTGCGTTTGGACAGAACGTACCCACGGGGCACTGCCCCGCCCAGAGCTCTTCTTGGTCATTCGGTGACACGGCCGTCGCGCCCTT